GTCTGGCTCATTGGATCATTGTGATGATCTAATGATCCATCCGTGATTGGTAGGTCGGCCCTACATTAATCCGGTTCTGCCTACCCGGTAGGCCTGTTGGTGCGACCATAAGAGATGGGTCGTGACAATAGGCTAATAGTAGAATTAGGCGCTAATAAAGTAGCCTAATAAACAGCCTCCGCCTCCTACTCCTTACACTTAACCCACTTTAACTCCTTTAAATTATTAATCCCTTACGCAATAGTATAAGTTATTTTCTTTAACTATAGTTATTTCTATTTCCTAATACACTTAATTTTAGTATTAATAGCTTTTTATTATTCCTCTACTGCCTTTAACTTATCCTTAAACTAAGTATAAAGTAAAGTAATTTTCTATAGTTAAGCAGTAGTTAAAGGGCGAGTATTATATAAAGATTTATTATCCTTTATACACTTAGTATACTAAGTAAAATCCTCTTTAAATATTTAATATTTAAGAAAATAATATTTCTTTTTATTTAAATAATAAGTGCAATCCTTTATCTTAACTAAATAAGATAAAATAATTTCTAAAAGAATATTACAATACTCTGTCTTAGGATAAGGCTTTTTTTAAATATCTATTATAACTATTAATATATACATATTTAAATAATAAAAGGATAAAGGAAATTAATAATAAGGTAAGAAAAGCTAAAGTGGATACTTATACTTAAATAAGTAAGGTTTTAAGGATAAGACTAATAGGAGGGGAGTATTATATTATAACTTAATACTTATAGTTATAACAATAGGCCTATAGGGTAAGCGGAACCGGATTAACTTAAGACTAGGTAACTAATTAAAGCTAGATTAAGAATTAACTTCTTAATTTACTATAAGATTAATAAAATAAATAATAATCCTTAAATAAATTAAGGAATATTCCCTTAATCCTATTTAAATTAACTAAATATATAAGTTTACTTCTCCACGCTTATTTAAATAACTTAAATAGCTAGTTATTAACACAGAATTAAAATTATAACACACTTTACACTGCTTACTATCTAGTAATATTTATTATTACTATTTATATTACCCAAAGATCTCCTAATCGCTCTGCTAACATAAACCCAGAACTAAACTCTAGGTTTATCCCTTAGGAAGCCCTTGTATTACTAACTATTTAGTGTACGGTTCGTTACACCTGTGCAGTATCTCTGATGATTGGTATCTTCGAGATGAAATTGGATAGACCTCCGGGTTTTCGTAACTCGCTCAACTTGTTGAAGTCTATTCCAGAACCAATAGATGTGCCCCATCGATAGCTCAAAGTCACAAAGTCCATAGCTGCTTCGCCGCTCACAATACAATTTTCTTCTATATCAATAAGCCAATCGGGGATTATCAAGGTACTTTTGTCGAGTTCTTGGCATTTTGACCCATGCTGGTTAATACACCTTTCGTTCCACCTAGCAGCGAGTCTCAGATCTATCCAAGATGCGTCCATTTGCATTTCTCCAAATGGTATGTCAGCGCTCGAGTGAGATTTTTGAAGTATGATTTCGTAAGTTCTGTGAGGACGTTCTTTATAGTCAAGAACATCAAGTCGCGCCAAGCCGTATTGGAGTGCTTGAAGAATAAATCCATCTATACCATATCCGTTTCGATATCCGTAAAAATCAGTTATTTTCGTAATCCATTTGTAGTAAGAGTCCATAATCCATTGGAGCATAGACTCATGGGGCTCGCACGTAAATCCTTCCAGCTTCTTTTTAAAGCCAAAGGTCCCTTGCCCTCCACAGAGAAAATGTTCAAATGCAAAACATACACAGCAGCCACTTTCTGGTAAGGCTTCAAATTCCTCATGAAATCTAGAGTACAATTTTCCCCACGGCATGTTGTAGATAAGTGTAAAGGATAAGCGAGAAGTCCTAAGATAAACGATGCGATCGATGATGCAATAGCTTAATATGATGATAAAATCGGGCGATTACCATAGCCTAAGACTGTTGAGATTTAGTTACTATATTGAGAACAATGAAAGAGGGGAAAGGAACAAGGCAGACAATTAAAGATGCCCAAAGCCTTGGCTGGCGCCTGATGCCTTGATGCATAGGTCCAATGAGAGCCTGCTCTGCGGGTTGACTAATCGGCAGGATCAATGACCCATTTCTACTTGTGTATATAGAAATTGGTGGAAATTTAGGTATGTATAACTTATTGCAAAGATGCAAGTATAATTTAAAAGTCTAGGTTCCTTAGGTAGGTACCTGTAGAAAATACACCTTGCATGTGCTTTTTAAAGATATGCTTTTAGCTATAGAATAATTGCACATGATTAACTCAAACAATCTCAAAAGCCACAGCTTGCAACTTGCAGCTTGCTTCTTTGCCAGCGACATCGACCAACTTTGGCACACCATCCGGCCGTCATCCTAAAAGCGGCTTTACATGATGGTGACCGTGACTTCTTAAGTTGCAGTGTATTTAGCCACCCTCAGCCTCGTTCAATGTGCTCGTCGGCTCTATCACATCAAGCTCCCGTATCCTTTCCTCAGCTCAGGCTCCCAGATCTCCAAAGTATTTCTCAGGATTGTCGCAAGTCCCGCAATGCAAATCATAGATGACGCGCGTCTCGCCCGGCTCCGATTGAACGCTTAAAGTTAGGTGCGCTCATGAAGAGGGCCTACACGAAGGTCATTGTTCAGCCTGTACTTTTACATCGAGACTTATTCAAACCAAGCATTTCTCAAGTAACTTCTGTCAGACAGAGCATATACGTGTCGGCATTCGGATGTGAGAGATGACAATCCACTAGATGCATAGATGAAATGGGAAAATGCAGCTGGGCATGCAGAATTAAATCCACGTACAAACTTGAAAGCCGCCACACAAATTGTTGGTCCCGAGACGCCAAGATATGAACCAAGCGGTGTACCAACAAGACATGCCAACATGAGACGCAGATGATTAGTCCCTAATAGAAATTCAGTCTTAATTTAAAGTAGATGGTGCTGCAATAGGTAATAATGTGATCTCCATTCTCTACAGAAGCCGTTATATTCTATGATTTCCACCAAGAATACGATCCTCAGACCGCTCATATATCGCTCTAGGCAGCCTGTTGATAAGTCTTCTTGATATTCTCCTTCTCCCTCTGGAGGAATGCATCGAATGAGCTCAAAGGAACACCCCAAGTCTTGACCTTCTCCATGTCAACGAACGAAGCCAAATCACGCATTGCGTACTGTCCGACGATAAAAGGGTTGCCTTTCTGCTCCATAATAGCATCTTCCGGCATATACTCTGCCTTGAGTTGTCGCCCGGCAGTGGCTGAGATCTTTCCAAGAATCTGCTCAGGGTCGAGAAGCTCATCGGCAATCTCAATTGTTTGGCCGGTAAATTTGGTGGGGTTGTGAATTGCCGCAGATGCGAAGCGGGCAATGGTGGCCTCGTCGACCATGGGCAGCTTGCTTTCCTTTAGGAGAGCCGTAGTCCATACTCCTGACTCAGCAAGGCCACCATACATGGCAACTTTGGGCGGCAGATAGTTGGCCATGAAGTTGCCCGGTCGCAGGATGGTCCAATAGTCGAAGCCTGCCTCGCGCACTTCTTTCTCGATGCTCTGCTTCGAGAGCAGTGCTTTGCCCGTGATGCTGTTTGCGTCCCAAAGTTTGAGTTTCTCGGGAGCATCGACGGCAAAACCACTGGAGAATATGATGTGCTTCACTCCTGCGGCCCGTGCAGCTGCCATGATGGACTTTGCCCAGCGCAACTCAGCGGTCAGATCCTTGAAATCAGGGAAAAAGTTGAGAAAGGCGGTGGTGCAGCCAGTCAGGGCTCGTTCAATGGCAGGTATATCGTCAAAGTTTCCAGGCACGATCTCAACACCCAGAGCCTCGATGGATTGGGCTTGAGGCGAAGACGGGTCACGGACGAGGGCGGTGACCGAGATATTTTCCGAGCGAAGGTTACGAGCAACGGCGCCGCCTTGTGTGCCGGTGACGCCGCAGACAAAGACCTTTGGTTGAGCCATTATTATTCTGTCGTATGAGAAAGTTGAGAGGTAATGTTGTGTTTGCTTTGCTTTGCTTTGCTTCGTTTTGCTTTAGTCACTGAGAAGTTGTTGCGATGGACTCAACTTGTACCAGGCTCCTGGCGGGAGACACGTCCATTAATATATCCATTGGAAAGCGTATATGCATTGCAAAGCGTATTACCTGAATCATTGACCTGGTTTCAAGTATTTCTCTGCCTAAGTCCCACAGCAATTAGCAAACGAAGCGCCGTCCATGGAGGAGTTGTTGTTACATGTAACTTATTACATGTAAGTTGGCAGGCGGGGCTCCGCCCACTACGGAAGCCGGCGACGATGCCTAGCCCCGGCGGAATTCCGCCGGGCCCACTTTCTCCTGCCGGCCAGGCAGAAGCTCGCAACTACAACTTTACCCCTTTGCTGCTCGTAGGGCCATTCATCTAAACTCACCAAACAGCTGGTCTCCTCGAAAGTGGGTGGCTCATAGAATGACATGCTCTCTACAGCTCTAGCCAGTCATGTCCTTTACGGCTCGTGAGCGCAACAACCCGCCGCCCCGCAAGAAGAGTTGCGCGGCATGCATCAAGGCCAAGCGCCGATGCGACTTTGCCGTCCCAGCGTGTCTGCGGTGCTCTCAGCGATGCATCCAATGCGAGTATCCGTCACGCACGCCGCGGACGAAGGTTAGGGCCTCCATTCAGGCTGGCAACGGGCCAGTGCCGTTGCAGGACGTGGCTGTTCTTGATGGCGCCTTAAGCGATGACTGTTCAGGGGGCGCCGAGACAATTACCGGCCACCTCAGACCTACGGGGACCGGAGAGTTGGAAGAGCCCGACCAGTACAGCTTCAAACCAATTCCTTACAACTTTGAGTCCCTTGGATACGTTGCTGAGAGTCAGGATCACCATGTCATACATCAGCCGTCCATGCTGGCGGCGCCAGCCACCAAGGGATTCCATGATCGACTGAATGAGATTGTCGCAAGGAGACTGCAGTTCTCGTTGGACCAAATCCGAAAAGCTCCAAAGACCATGGTGATGGAGACGCAGACACCGTGGTCGCACCCGCTGCTTTATGCCGACAGTATGCCCCGGTCGATGCAAGGTAAGAGAAGTTTCTCTTTATCCTCTTATCAAGTCCAACATGGCTAATAAGATGAGAAACAGACGCTCATGCTTCCTGTGCACTTTATGTGGCAAAGAATCGAGCAAATGCACCCGTCATTTTCCGTTGCATCGAGTCCCGAGTGCAGGATTTGCTGTGCGAGCCTCTACCAACGACGCCAATCGACAGCCTCGCTCACACCCAGGCTCTGCTCCTCTACCAAATTATCCATCTTTTTGACGGGGACATAAGCGCCCGAGCATCAGGCGAGCGCATCATTCCATTCCTCGAGACCTCTGCAATCGGCCTCCTTGCGCACGTCATCTTCGACACTGAAGCAAACTGTTCAGACCCTTTCTCCGACTGCTGTCTGACCACACTCTCAGATCTGTGGAAAGACTGGATCTTCCAAGAGTCGGCGCGGCGAACGCTCCTATTTGCCTTTTTCTTCTTGCAGGCGTACCGTGTGCTCACAGGCAGTCAGAGTCTGAATCAATGCGATGGGCGCCTGGGCCTGTGCCATTTCTGGACAGTCTCAGAGCATCTGTGGCAGGCGGAATCAGCGCTGGATTTTAGGGACGCTTGGCAGCAGGAGAATCACTTTCTCGTCGTTGATGGACAAGTCGCCGTAGTGCTGAGAGAAGCAAAGGCCGGTGACGTCGACGTATTCGGAAAGATGTTGATATCCGCGGCGGTGGGAATTCCAGAGCTGGAGGCTTGGTTTGCTAGCCGGGGCGGTTCATTAAAGTAACACAATGAACACGGAGCTGGCATCTGGTGCTTACCCTCGCTGAGAGATGATGAACATCTCTTGTGCCTCAAGAATGCGGACTCGGCTGCCCATATAAGGACGGTCTATATCGTCGGCGCCTCACCGTAGTCGGAGCTCAGGCGTTATCAGAGAGCGGCTTCGCGCATATAGCCACGATAGTCACAACTAGAAAACTTAAACACACCGACCGGCTCTCTCGAAGCTAGCACGAAAGTGTCTCACTTATATCGACATAAGGGAATACGTCCACCGACCCGGGGCTGTGCCTTTGACGACTAAAATCATTGCATGATCACCACAGTATCATACACATTTACCACACACTCTATAATACCATACCTTTGAGATTCTGAACTTAGCAACCGCACGGAGTAGCTAGTCCAAAGCAATCAGCTTTCCATCAGGGGACTATGCAAATGCAGGGAAGCCTTTTCGTTATCGACTTGAGCGATCAAAAGAGATCTGCTTCCAGTACCAGGGTCAACAGATAGATGCAGAATACTTAGCAGCCTTGACTCAGTCAATATACTACCTATAGTAGTTATCCGTCCGGTGAGGATCGTAGGAAAGCATCATAGAGGAGACCAAGATTTGGCTGCTTTGCGAACTTCGCTGTCATATTCTACCATCCGAAGTGACAAATTAAAGCTATCATTTCCGTCTTTGCAAATGGAAAAAATATTAACAGGGTGTAGAGTAGCGATTTGCCATCTAGCGATATTTGGGCATTAAGAAGTCTCTTTGTGAATGGAAGGACAGAGTTTGTCGGCTAATGCCAAGTTCATATTCAAAAATAATTCACGTCGATTCAACAAGCCGCCTTGCGCTTGATCGGAACTTCGCAACCGTTGATTGGTCAACGGTCTTGTGACTTGCCCGGTTAGCTCAATCGGTAGAGCGTGAGACTCTTAAGACACACGTTCTGTAATCTCAAGGTTGCGGGTTCGACCCCCGCATTGGGCTTTTCCTATAACATTTCGATTGAAATACAAGGCGGTTATTTTTTGCATTTCCTCGCTCTTTTCTATTCTGCCTACCCTGAATACTGAATAATGAGTATGAAATGAAGGTTACAATGACTTGTTCTTGATTTTTTTTTTTTTTTTTTGAGTAATTTTATCGTAGTGTATATTCTCATTTCATGTCCTAGCAGACGTCAAGGACACCGCCATGGAAAGTATATGAGCTCGCATAGCTTGTAAAGAGACTGTCCATACACAATTATGCATTTTCGTACCTATAAGCTATAAAAACTAATATTCGGCACACATTCAAAAAAAAAAAAAAAAAAAAAAAATTTTTTGCTTAGCAACAAGATTCACTCATTGTTCTCATCTTTTATCAAGAAATGATGTAACCAATTATTGTTGGGGGAACCTTTTTCTGCGCCTCTCTTACTATTACACTCCCTGCTTGCGCGATGATGATTCCTCCTTCAATTTACTCTACAAGAAGACGTAGAACTACGGATTTCGCGGTGCTCCCCGGAAGAAAAATAAACTAAATTTTAAAACACATCCCAGCAATTAAGGTGACGGCTTTAGATCGATCGGATCAGATCCGTCAAACTCTTGTTCTTAGTGGCCGACCGTGCCCCTGGCTGTGCGTGGTTCGACAGAATATCTGGGTTGGGAATAGATTGCTGCTCTTCTAGGATAGAGTCGTAAATGGGATTAAGGGCACAACTTGGACGGATTGATGTGGGAGTTGCGTCGTTTTGTCTTAGCCGCTGGTTCGGAGTTATGGGTGAATTGCCTACCACGCACTAGTTGGTCGTATCTCCGACTCCCGCTTGCCCTCGGAGGATGGTCTGGCGGTCGATTAGGTATTTTATTGAAACGTAATAAATTCGAATTTATCGAATTTATCTATTTATTTATTCGAGATAAAATAGAAGCAGTTTCCTTGACTCAGGTTTTACTGGCTGAGACCGCTATTACATAACGCTTATTGGGGTGGTTGGTTGGCCATGGCGGGGTCACTTGACCGTTTCTTATCAAGTGGAGGAAGAGATAGGGAAATGCGTGAGGTTAGAAGCGGCTCTGAGGGTCTCCGAACGTCATCTAGTGATTCGAGGCCATTCTGGTGAGAAGACGGCTGTGGACTAGAGTTGCAATGAGATGCAGTCGATATAGCCTCCTGCTTGATGGGGTAAATATCTCATATTTCTACACAAGTTCATAAGCAAGAGACTCTGCATATGTTCCATAGATAAGTGTAGTAGTATATCGAGATGATACATGCAGTTATCAACTGCCAAGCGGTGTAAGCAGCCAGAGATAAGGCCCCTCGCCTCAAGGGATGTACTTTATACATGCGATTTCAGGTCAATTGGAATAAGCCAGCTTTAACAGCAAACCATCGTATCAACAATAGCCATTTCGGGCTCTCACCAGCAAGAAACGCTGCTTCTTCTTCTTTCGGGCTCATCTCATGCCATGCTCAGAAAAGTCCCGGCGGCCGCCCCCCGTCTAAATGCCCCGCGGTGGAGCCCTCCGGACGCGGCGGCTTTGCCGACTGAAGCCTTTTGGGCATTATTTCCCCTTGCCCTGCCCTGAGCAAAGCGACTTACTTATATAGAGTCTCTGTTTTCCTCTAAGTTACTAGTTCGCTCCTCTGCTCAACTCCCCTTTACCTCTAAGTTACTAGCCCGATCCGCCAGCCAGCGACAGACGCGCACACACACGCACACATGGATTCGAGCGCCTCTGCTTGACCTACCAATTGTAGGGGCCGAGCCCGCACGCGAAAGTGAAAGTGCTCAGTCTCGGCTCCCAGACTGTAGCAGCAGCAAAGCAAGGCGCAGGCATGGCCCCCCTTCTGGAGTGAGGGAAACGGGCCGCCGATTGGGGGAGGCACATGTGACCGGACGAGTATATTTACTGCTGCTGCTGCCCGCCTGAATCAACGCCTCGGTTTTTTCTCCTTCTCAGCATCAGCCTCCACCAGCTTCAAGCCAGCAATCCGCCTCTTTTTTGCTCCTGATAATCGGAATCTGAGTTCTCACGGATCTAAAATCACCTTTGTCTGCAACCCAAATCGCCCAACATGAACACCAGCACCATCAAGAGCCACTTCCTCACACACCCCGAGGATCTCGGCATCGTCACCGTAGGCTTCTCCGGTGGCCAGGTACGTTTCTATACTACATCTCTGCCAACGACTTCAAGCTTGAATGCTGACTTGCTTTGTAATAGCAAAAAGCTGGCGTCGATGCAGGCCCTACCGCCCTCATCGAGTCCGGCCTCTTGACCCAGATCCGAGAGGAGCTTGGCTACAAGGTGCACGGCGACGAGACGGTCAAGTTCTACAAGGACCTGACGCCCGCCTCCGACCCTGACTACCGCGGCATGAAGAACCCTCGCCTTGTTTCGGCCGTCAACCGAAAGATTGCGTCCGAGACATACGAGCACTCTTCCAAGGGCCGCCTCACGCTGACCCTCGGCGGCGACCACAGCATTGCCATTGGCACCATTGCCGGCACCGCTAAGGCCACGCGCGAGCGTCTGAACCGCGAGATTGCGGTCATCTGGGTTGATGCGCACGCCGATATCAACACCCCCGAGACCAGCGACAGCGGCAACATCCACGGCATGCCTGTTGCTTTCCTCACGGGCATTGCCAAGGAGGACAAGGAGGAGTGCTTTGGCTGGATTGAGGAGGACATGCGCCTGAGCGTTAAGAAGCTGGTGTACATTGGTCTGCGCGACGTGGACGCTGGCGAGAAGCGCATCCTGAGAGAGAACGGCATCAAGGCCTTTAGCATGTTTGACATTGACCAGTAAGTCTCATGGCTGCTACGAGAATATGCCCCCCCAAAGCAAGATTCAACAGATCAAAAGCTAACCCCTCGCAGTCACGGAATTGGTCGCGTCATGGAGATGGCCCTTGCCCACATCGGCAACGACACTCCCATCCACCTGTCTTTCGACGTGGATGCCCTCGACCCCATGTGGGCTCCCAGCACCGGCACTCCCGTCCGAGGCGGCCTTACCCTGCGTGAGGGCGACTACATCTGCGAGTCCGTCCACGCAACTGGCAACCTGATTGCCATTGACTTGGTCGAGGTGAACCCCAGCCTTGCTGCTACTGAGGCCGGAGCGCAGGAGACTGTTAGAGCCGGCAGCTCTCTGGTGCGCTGCGCCCTTGGTGAGACTCTGCTGTAAGCAAAATACCTTGGTTTGGGAGTAGATTTTCTTGGGTTGTTTTTTCTCTTTTAATGTCATGGCTCTTGTTTTTTATGATGACACGGAAATGTATGGGAATGGGAAATGGCATGTTTTGTATATCCTTCTGCAAGAGCAAATTGGCATGCTGCGTTGAGTAATTGCTCTTTTTAGATATTCATAGATGGAGGAATGCCAGAGTCTAGAATAGAATAGTGTGATATTCATTCTACAAAGGTCAATTTAGAAAAACTGGTCTGTCCAAGTATAATTTAAACGAAATTTATTGTATATGTAACTATCTACATCGCTTTTGATTTCGAGCATCGGCTCTTCTATATGCACGCTCTCGTAAGAAAACAGGCACAATCCCCTCTACGTCAGCCGCTTAGTAAACCTCAAGCACGTATCGGCCATCCTCCTTTAGCCGCTCAATCTCCTTGGCTGGATCAACTTTCTTGCCAGCAGCCTTGGCCTCGGCCGCGATGGCTTCCTTCAGCACCGCCGTCACATCAGGCACAGGCCATGTCGGACCGCAGAGGTAGAAGCTGCCGCCATCCTTGATGTACGCCTGCACGATGTCGTCCAGCGTCTGGCGCATCCTGTCCTGGATGTAAATCTTCTTTGGCTGGTCTCGCGAGAAGGCGCTTCCGACAAGAGTGACGACGCCGGCGGCGAGATAGGCCTCCCATTCCTCGCCGTAGAGGTACTCCTCGCGCTGGTGGCGAGAGCCGAGGTAGAGGAGGATGGAGCCAATCTCCTTGCCCTGAGCCTTTTGCATGGCGCGGTACTGCACAAACGCGCGGAAGGGGGCCAGACCAGTTCCGAGACCGGCCATGATGAGTGGCGCATCGTCTCTGGTGGGCAGCTTCATGACTGAGGGCTTCACCGAGACGGTGACAGAGGCGCCGGGTTGCAGGCTACGGAGGTAATTTGTGGCCTGGCCGATGCGAGAACGGCCCTTGGTGTCGACCCAGTCGACAACGACAATCATGAGGGCGACGGTGTCGGGAGTGACGGCCTGGGCAGAGGCGATGGAGTATTCACGGCGCTTGAGCGGGCTGACAATCTTGACCAGATCGTGGAAGCTGGGACGAGCGGAGCTAAACTCCTCGAGGATGTCGACATAAGTCACGGTGTCGATCTCAGTGCGACGCTTGAACTCAGCAGCACCATCGTTTCCACCGAGAGCAGCGAGCTTCTTCTGCTCAGTCTCGTCGGTGGCAAACTCAGACAGGGCCTCGTAGAAGCGCTTGGGGGGCTTGCCGAGGATATCGACATTCTGCATGAGCGCCTGATACACGGTGCGGACCTCGAAGACGTTGACGTCTTCACGAGAAGGCACCTGGACAAGCTCTGCGGGGTTGAGGCCGTAGAACTGGATGAAAGCACTGATCTGCTCCTCATCGTTTTCGTGGTGAATGCCCAGAGCCTCACCAATCTTGTACGTGAGACCAGAGTTGCCAATGTCAAACTCAATGTGGAAGATGTTACGGTCGTAGTCTTGGGGAGTGAGGCGGCGGTTCTCCTTGACGCGGACGGTGGCGGTCTTGACGGAAAGGTCAGGACGAAGGGTAGTTTGGGTGCCGTAGGCTTCCTTGAAGACCAAGCCCTTGGCAGCGATCTGCCAGTCTTGGAGCTTCAGGTCGTCCTCGGTCTCCTCCTTCTGGAATGAAACAAAGCCAGTTGGCTGGAGACCAATTGGCAGAGAGGGGAAGACGTAGTCGGCCTCGACCTCTGCCCACGTTGCTGGAACCTCAAGCTGGGTCAAGACTTGGTCAAGAGCACTGAGGGATTCTGCCAAGACAGTTTGGTTTCCAGCCACCTTTGCAAGCTCCTCAGCAGAGCTCTCTGGGAGAGCAATCTTCAAGAAAGAGAGCTCAAGAAGGAGCTTGGCAACTGAAGCATCCTTTTCGAAGGCGGGAGAGACGGCAGTATCCAAAATGAAGACGCTAATTTCCTTTTCTTGAACTGTCTTGCGGAAAGCAGGTGAAAGTCGCTTTTCGACTTCATCCGCCTTGAAGTTTGGCAGCTTAATGAGAAGCTTGCCGCCGGGAACGACGCTCTTCAGGACATCGACATCCTTCAAGACCACCTCGTTACCGACAACCGCGACATCAGCCTCATTGATGGCATACGGTGCTTCCAGAGCAGTCTTGGATGCGCGCAGATCCGTTCGGATAAGGCCTCCCTGAGTGAAGTTGTCATACGTCTCAAACAGGTGGACGTTGTTGGTTGACTCTTGAGACAGGAGAGTGCCGATGGCGGCGGGGGACTTTGCGGAGACAGAGTTGTCGACATCCCAAAATGTGAACTGCTGGGACTTGATGAGCGAGGGCAGAGGCTTGGCCTCATCGTCATTGCCAAAGATCTTGTGCAGAGTGCCGACAAGGCCCTGGGGAGTCAGGAACTGGGCAGGAGTGTACTTGATGTCCAAGACCTCGGGTTGCTGCTCAAACTTGCCAGCGAATGTAACTGCGGTGAGGACATCGCCGTACAGCGCAGACTGAGTGGCCTCATCAGCCAAGGCAATCTCGCCGTGAACTTGACCCAGCACGGCGATGGTGCGAGCAGAGGCGGGGATGGCCTTGAGAAAAGCCTCCTCGATGAAGGGTCGGTAGACGCGCACGTTGATAACACCGACCTTGGCTCCGTCGGCGGCAATCTTGTTGAGAGTCTCCTTGGCAACTTGAGCCTCAACGCTTCCAAGAGCAACGAGGACGACATCGGGGGTCTCATGGCCGAAGTACTCAAAGGGCTGGTAAACAGTGCCGAGCTCATCGTTGAAGAGTCTGAGAAGTTCCAGGACCTTGCCCGCAGTGTCGAGATGTTGGTTCAGCTTGCCAGCCTCGGCAACAAGCTTGTTGTACAAATCGGCGATGCCAGTCTCGCTCAAAGCATCGACGATCCTCAAAGTCTCTCTGGGAAGACGAATGCCATCGTAGATGTGGAGAGTGGGGACGACGGTGGCCAGGAGTGTCGCGAACAGTGACATGTGCTGAGACTCATACGAAGATGAGCTGGCAACAAGGCCCAGGCCAAGGTCTTCGGCCAGTCTCAAAGCAACATCATAGTTGGAGACGAGGCCTTCGCTGGCGCTGTAGTCTGCGGCAGCGATGTGAGCCACAAAGGGGCTTGAAAGGTTGTACAGGAGAGAGAGCTGGTCAAGGGTTCCGCGGAGGTTCTGGAGAGAGCCCGAGGGGGCAAGCAGCGTCTGGGGAATGTGACGCTTGTTGACATCGAAATCCGGGGAGAAGATGTAACCCAGAGCGAGGGCACCAGCACCCGTTCTGGTCTGGAGAGGCAGAACTGAAGGGGCGTATCCGTGGATGTTCTTGCTCTCATCGGCAGCCCACTGCTTAGCAGCGACGTCCAGATCAAAGGTCTCGGGGGAGTAAGAGAAGATCTTGTCAGAAAGCTTGTAGGCAATCTGCTGGACGAGAAGCTGGGCCGTCACATACGTCGGGCCAGAGATGGCCGACAGAGGCACCTGCTTGCCAAAGGGCAGCGTGGCGGATTCCTCAACCTTGGACGGCATTTTCCAAATATTCGAAAGCAAGCCTCAAAAGGTTACGACGAATACAAGCAGCCCCTTTACGTCTGGAATATACTACAGACTGGAAAAGAGAGAAAAAAAGAGAGCTGAAGGCTTAAAGGAGGAGAGGAGGAGGAGGTTCTACGAGGAGCAATTAAGCCCATGGGAATCGTGGATCACCCCGGACGGGAGCCAGCCACGGGATTTGTCAGGGTCCATTTCTTTAACAAACGACTTTTTTCTCCTGCTTAAACCCCGTGAAAGTCTTCTTCATTAGGCCTTGGATCTCGAAATTGTTGATACTGGGACAGAATCACGCAATTCACTTAGACCGTATTGAGCCTAGCACTGATGATGCCACTCGCCGAAGCCTCTCCGAAAAGACGGAAAGCTCCGCTTTTGACTCGATTTGGGGACGTGATTGGTACGGACTGTCGGGCAGGCTTGTTAGTAGGGACCGACTTCCGAGAGGGCATTGAAGACGTGATGATGATGGATATAATTAGCATTTCGTATATTGCATTTGTGGAAGTTCTTTTGGGTGAGAGAAAGGTAGACGGTGCGATGAGAGTTGCTCGAGCGCCATAACGGCACATATAGGTATAGGCATATGTACAAAGATGAAGTGGAACGGAGCAGCCGAGGAAGAGATACAGCGACCAAGTGCAAAATGTCCTAATTCAGACGAGTAAGCCAATGGCTGTGGCGATTCCGCTGGGCGCTTAATTTTTTTCTTGAAATTATTCGAGAACGCCAGAGCACAGTACGAAATGATGAGAATGACTGGCTTCAGTTTGCGTGTGCTAATTTGTCAGATTATACAGTGCAGTAAGAGGACTACCATGGGATAGCTTGTTGGTTGTTGTAGAAGCACGTGGATGGTGCGGATCATGCCAGATATAAAACATTTATACGACTTATAGTATGAGCAGCTTTGCAATACTTTTCGTGTGTTCCCGTGCAGCACAACACATACAATGAGACTCATGGCATCTATTGTGTGTGTCATATCCTCGGCATCAATCCAAAATGTCTTAGATAAGCAAGTTACAGAACCAAGCATGGAATGCTTTGTCATTCAAGACATCACGTGACCTGTACACTTTCTTCCACCTCAGCTTCACCCAAGCTTCGTCCGCACAAATGCTGCGACGCTGCAATCAATCGCCACTGCATGCTACCAGAAACTGTAAATCACTTGCATGCTGAGGGAAATGTGCCCTTGATGTCGTCACTGATGCATTCAGGCTGTCAGTTCGACGCGATACCAGTTCCTCTCCCTTACCGCCACGTGTGACTGCAACGCCGCCGGAAACCGACAACTGCCCATTTGCGGCGATTTCGTGCTTTCCAGCAGCCTCCATGATCAAATCCGATAAGCAGTGACTCGCCGTGTCTGCTAAAGTGCCGCCAAATACAAAGTACCGCTACATCATGCACCCGGTCACTGCTAGTAGCTGATGACTGCCACCTCCCAAAAGGGACCCCTGCAAGCGCTGCTCTCCTGCGACATTTGTGCCGATTTTAGCGTCAAAAGGAGACCAGGAGCGTTGCATCTTGCTATTAGTATATATTATCTGCCACGACGGTCAGCAATCGAGCAAGGTGGTAATTTCTGCTTTCCAATTTCCAAACAACTGGCTTCCATCTTGAATCATATATTTTGTTGTACGTGAGAGTGTTCAATCTGGTGTCCAAGAGTCATCTCTCTCCGACTCTTATCACTTATCACCGAGCGCGGATGTTTCACTAAGACGATTTTCGTGCTACAACATCCTTGATCTTTGTCAGAGTTCCGTCGACTAGACACCTTGCATCACTACGGCAGCAACTGCCAAAGCGCATCCCTCATCGATACCATAATTTCTATAATTAAATCGCCGGTTTGGTGCAACCGCACCGCGAGTTGTACACGATGGCGTCGTCCAATACCGTCACCACAGCCTATCTGCTAGGGAACATCCACTGCCCATCATGCGTGACTCTCATCAAGACTCTTCTGCAGGAGGCATTCGGTGACAAGATTGTTTGGGTCTCACCAAATCTTGTGACGTCCATTGTGACAGTTGAGCATGTCGACCACTCACCCGAATTCGTGCGCGCTATTGGCATGACGCTCTCAAATGTCGGGTTTGAGATTTGTGGAGTCGATACCAACGCCTCTGGCGCCGAGGATTTGAACGACAATTCTCGAGGGGATATGGCTGACAGCGGTGGCATCTTTGAGAGCTGGTCCAGTCTTTGGGCCCAGAAGCAGCCGGCGCCAGTCCCCGAGACCGTCAAGGCTGCTCATCTGGAAAACTGCGAGGCCTGCAAAGAACACAAACCACATGGTGCAGAGGATGGTAGCAGCGTTGACTATAAGCTCAAGTCCTCAATCTCGTCGAATAGCCTGCGAAAAGAACCGCTGGTCGACACGGTACCGCTCGATGGCGTGGTCACAGGCGACGGAAACCAGCCCCCTTCATGGCGAGCGACATTATCTATTGGCGGAATGACCTGTGCGGCTTGTGTTACCACCATAACGAATGAGTTGCAGAAGCTTTCCTGGGTTTTGAAAGTCGCTGTTAACCTTGTCGGAAACAGCGCCACAATCGATTTTGTGGGTGCGGATAGAGAAAGGGATCTGATTGAGGCGATTGAGGACATTGGATATGACGCGGCCCTAGATGCAGTGGTTAATCTGAACAAGAAAAAGTCTTCATCAGACGAACGACATGTGGAGATTAGAGTCGATGGTATCTTTTGTCCGCGGTGCCCTCAGAGAATCAACCAGACTTTGAAGAGCTTCGGCGCCCACAGTGTACAGGTTCTGGCTCTCCCGTCTATGGAACATCCCATATTGAAACTACGCTATATCCCAAACTCGCCGCAGTTTACAATCCGGCATATCATTAGAAGCATCGAGGCCACAGATCCATCTCTCCAAGCAAAAATCTACCATCCGCCGACGCTCGAAGAGAGATCTAGAGCCATCAGGGCAAAGCACACCCGCCAACTTTTCTACCGCGAGATGCTGACACTTGTCCTCGCCATTCCGACATTTGTGCTTGGTATAATCTACATGAGCCTTGTGCCAGACTCCAATTCTACCAAGCATTTTCTAATGAAGCCATGGGCATCTGGCCTCAGTCGCGTAGAGATTATACTTTGCCTACTTGCCACACCGGTGTACTTTTTTGCGGCGGATGTCTTCCATGTCCGCGCCATCAAGGAGCTGAGGACGCTATGGCGGCCCAGCAGCCGGACACCTTTCCTGCAGCGATTCTATAAGTTTGGCAGTATGAACATGCTCATGTCACTGGGAACTAGCATTGCTTATTGGTCTTCCATTGGTCAAATGATTGCAGCAGGGGCTGATGGCGATGCCGACATTCCTGAAGATCGGTTTTACTTCGACTCTGTAGTCTTTCTGACCCTTTTCCTTCTCGCTGGCCGACTGATTGAAGCGTACAGCAAATCCAAGGCAGGCAACGCTGTTGAAGCTTTGGCCAAGCTACGGCCAACCACCGCTCTTCTGGTAGAGCAAGATAAGTTGAAAGGCCAAGTTACTACGACCATAGATATGGACCAGTTGGAACATGGCGATATTATCCGAGTGCCCCACGGCTCATCGCCCCCGGTTGACGGTATAATCTTGGATGGCGAAACAACTTTTGACGAATCGAGTCTTACCGGTGAATCACGCCCCATCAAGAAGGGACAAGGAGACGAAGTATTCGCAGGTACCGTCAACAAGGGATCCGCAGTAGTCGTCAAGGTGACTGGAACCTCTGGCAAGTCCATGCTTGATCAGATCGTCGAGGTGGTCAGAGAAGGGCAAGCTAAAAGAGCGCCGATGGAACAAATAGCTGATCTTCTGACATCCTACTTCGTCCCGGTGGTAACCCTCGTAGCCATCATCACATGGGCTGTCTGGATGGCTCTCTGCTTTACCCACAAAGTTGACAGCGACGAACTGAACACATCGGGCGGCTCGACTTCCTTTGCTTTCCAGTTTGCCATTGCCGTGTTTGTTGTGGCATGCCCGTGCGGATTAGGTCTGGCTGCCCCAACGGCCATTTTCGTCGGAGGAGGCCTCGCAGCCAAGCATGGCATTCTTGTCAAGGGTGGTGGCGAGGCCTTTGAGAAAGCTAGCAAGGTGGGCTGCGTGGTCTTTGACAAGACAGGGACTCTCACCGTGGGAGGCGAGCCTCAAATCACGGACTCTGCTCTATTCCCTGACGGCACTAGTGACGGGATCAATGAACGGGTTCTGCTCTCTGCTGTAAAAGCTACAGAGGAAAATAGCAGCCATCCCATAGCAAAGGCCATTGTTGCCTTTTGCAAGACTGGTGCAGATCAAGTTGAGCTGGAGCAAATCGAAGAGTTACCGGGCAAGGGCATCAGAGCAAGTTGCAAGAACCAACCATTTGACATTGCGGTGGGTAACGAGGGTCTCATGAGAGACCTTTCTGCCTCTCTGTCTGCTCATGTCCAGAGCCTGCTGAATACGTGGAAGACGGAGGCCAAGTCGGTTGCTCTTGTTGCGACGAAGCTACGCAACGGTGGTAATTGGACAGTCTCAGCTGCGTTCTCAATTTCTGACCCCATCCGTGAAGAGACGCTGTCCGTGCTTGAGGCGTTGCAAAAGAGTGGCGTGGAAGTTTGGATGCTGTCAGGCGACAATGTGACCACTGCGCAGGCCGTAGCTCAGAGGGTGGGCATTCCTCCCACCAACGTGCTTGCTGAGGTTTTGCCGTCCGAAAAGGCGGCCAAGATTAGCTATCTCCAAGCCTCGATGCACAACAGCGGCCGCCGTGCCATGGTGGCCATGGTGGGAGATGGCATCAACGACTCGCCGGCCCTCACGACAGCGGATGTCGGCATTGCCATTGGGTCTGGCAGCGACGTGGCTATTTCGAGCGCTGACTTTGTGCTAGCCACGTCAAACCTCCACTCGGTGCTGACGCTTCTGGATCTCAGCCGCGTCGTGTTCCGCCGCATCAAGCTCAACTTTGGCTGGGCGGCGGTGTACAACGTGTGCGCCATTCCTATTGCCGCTGGATGCCTCTACGCTGTCACGACCTCGAGCGGCTCGCACGTCAAGTTGGATCCTGTGTGGGCGTCGCTGGCCATGGCCCTGTCGAGTATCAGCGTGGTGCTGAGCAGTCTGAGCATGAGGACGAAGATTCCATGGCTAGGATTTCGTAATAAGCAGGTCGTGTAATTCCGGGATGCACACTGGTGGTACGAAGGAGTTCTCTGGGTACTGTGACTTTGCATAGCAAAGGGATTTATCGGTTGCAAATGGTGATACGCGTAATCTAGCCGCCACATCCATGGTCTCTGCGGATACAAGCAGTACGGATACGCTAAATATTATTGTCTTTTAGATACGAGTTCATGATTAATCGTTTGTCTTTGTATCACTGTTCTAGTTTAGGATATTTTTCATGATACCACTTTTACAATTTTGTTACTTGCGGTGCCTATGGACTCTCACCCCTATTACTTACTTGCGATAATAATAAACAGGAATGATTAAATTAGTATTAAACAGGCGGCGTACAGTTAAATTGCAGTGGTAGGTTATCCAGGGTTTAAGAGCGCTGCCTTGCGGCCTGTAGCAATAGAAGGCGAGGCTCAGGATTCATAGCCAGGCTGGCACTATTTGTTTACACGCAAGGCTGTATTTGAGGTACCTGGACCGTAAGGAAGAGTTAATGTTAATACAAAATTATTATTGCTAGGGTCACAATGAATGCCTCTTTTTGTACATTCTATACAGCCATATGTACCTAGGTAGGTATGAAGTACAAGCCACTATCACAAGACAACGGTTGGTACAGTGCGAGCTTCTTGTCATCCCTCCCAGTACGCGCATGCATGGTTCTGAGGTCTACCGCACTACTAGTTCGTCTTTAGCCCCCGAGCATTCATTCCTACGTAGCTTCACTTTATTCACGCCGCTCCCTGTGTCGAAAGTGCTTCATAACTCTCAAACTGGGAGTACATGCATTCACGGAATTTAATTTTGCCGTCAACAAATCATACGGTTGAACTTGATGCGAATACACGTACCTCCGGTCGAATTGCGGGGTAAACTCTGAACATCACCCCGTGAATCTCATCCATAAAGACCCTCTTCTAAACGCCCGCCATGAATAACATACCAGCAGAAGTGTAAGCATGAATTACTCTTTTATTGAATACAATGCTAAAAGTGACTTGTAGTATTGCATCGTCGGTCCCGTTCCGATTCCTCGTCGGGCCCAACCGGCGAGAGTTCACTGTACACTCTGCTCTCCTATCATACCTGTCTCCCGTCCTTGATAAACTGGTAAACGGAAGTTTCTCTGAAGCTGCTGAAAAATGCGTCACTTGGGACTCTGTAGATGAAGACACATTCGTCAGATTTTGGCAGTACGCTTATACGGGGAAATATACCGTTGATCTCTCGATAACTGGACTTCAATCGGAACCCCAAGCCGCTCAGGAAGCTGAGAAACGGACCGCCCAAGAAGCGATAGAAGCCGCCACAGTCGCCAAAGAAGAGAAGGAAATCGTACAGCTTATTGTCAAGAGGGACAATACCCTACGGGCCCTGTCAAGCAAGGATGAGAGGAGGCTGATTGAGCTTCAGACCAAGGCCGCAAGGAGAGCCGCTCGCGAGGCCGAGAGGCGCGCTGAAATTGCCGAAGAGGAGGAGGATTTAGCGGAATTACTACGGATGCAAGACAGGAGACCTGTACTGTTAGCAGAGGATCGTGAGCGGCTGGTTCACCTCTTGGAGAAGCAAGCATCCCGGAAAAGAGAGGGACTGGTCGCGAGCGAAACCAAAGGCGAGACTCCGTCTGGAGAGTTGACCATCCGTGAGGCTCAGTGGGATGCATTCAAACGCCAGGGAACTTTTGCCTCTTCCGGCACATCGTCTGTCACTGGTTCTTCAAAAGGAGCACCGGCCAGAAGCAACCAGGCGCATGAGGATTACACAAGCACGTTCCTCTCTCATGCGCGACTATACGTTTTCGCAGAATGCTACGGCATTACCGGCTTAATGGAGCTTTCGCTAAATGGATTACACGGCGCCTTGGTAACGTTTACGCTATATGAACAAAGGGTCAACGATGTAGTAATGCTAGTGCAGTACTGCTATGATAATTTGGTTCCGGAAGCTTTGAGAGAGATGATTACTCTATATGCGGTCTGCAAGATTGAGAAGCTGTGGGTGAGCGAGGAGTTTCAGGCACTCGTGGAGGCTCATGGGGAGCTATCGAGGTCTTTGATTGGGCACATGGTGAAGGCGTTGTGATGGGACGGTTACTTTTCTGCTAGATTGGACGCAAGATTTTGGTGCTTATTAGAGGAGCTACAGACGCTATAGATGCTGCATATGCTATAGCTATAGACGTTACAGATGCTACAGATGCTATAGATCTATAGATAATGTATGGTATTCAAGTTAGCTTCAACCGGCCATCTCTCAATTGGTTCATTTCATCACATAATCACCAATCATGTGCGGCCCTCTTCGTCGGGAGTTTGGCGATATACTGATGACAATACGATCTTGAAGCTGCGCCTCGAGAAAGCTGGGCAAGAAATACTTCTGTCACAAGTACTTTCCATGTAAATACTATATACACTCCCCTTTACAGCCCATATTTTAAGCAAAAGAATAAGATCATAAGACAGTCGGGCATTTCTTCATACTAGTAAGATGCAGCGGGCTCATTCTTGGGGGTGGAATATTCTTCTATTTTGCCCAACGCAATAGTGCTACTAGTAGTACCTAGGTAGGTAATAGCAGCACAGAGCCTAGGAATATACCTTGGGGGCGGCGCAGCACCAAAAAAAATCGCATCGGGGATTTGTTAGTCGGGATGGATGGGAGCTGAGCTCAGCTGAGATGGCAAGGCAGGGGGTTTTGTTAGTGAATGGGGACTGTGGATTTGGAATCGGCTTTGTGTGCCTTTTCTCTATCCATTGTACTGGACTATGGATCATGGTGTTAGTGCTAGTAGAATGCAGGATAATGATTGTCATCCAAAGCGATATTACCAGCAAAACAAACTGAAGGGGGGCTACAGGGGGCCAACAGGATTTAATTTGGCCTCATCGATACTGGATAGTACAGAGAGCACTTTGTTTGGTCCTTGTTATTTGCCGTGCATGCATCAGCCTCGGTACATTGATGCAAGATACTTCGATAAAGTCCATATGCATATGCCGTGCACGTAGCACATGTGTCAAGCAAACTCCAAATCAAGACTCTCTCTATAATAGTAGCATCCACGGCTATTGTGTGCAACGCACGAAAGCAAACAAAAGCAGTCATCACAAGCGTCACCCAAATAAGGCATGACACAACAGCGAAATTGTCCCGTTTTGGAAGGGGGTAACACACGCCCAACACAACCAACAGCTATTACCCATCTAAAATAAAAGCAGTCCTATTCCTTCGACAAGTCATAGGAATAAAAATGTAGCAATAGTCATAATCCTATTCTTTACTCATTGCCTTTACTTCGCCCATTGTTTTCGTTTAAAAAAAGAATTGCCCCATGTTAGTGACCCGTCGTCTGTTCCTTGGGCCGCAAATTCAACGCCGTTTGGCGCTCGAGATGGTGAATAAGCCCCAACCTCGGAGCCGAGTATTTACCCATGTACCCGACTTTTTGCATGTCCCAAACTTTCACCTGTCAGAATGTTCCCAAAATACCTACCTACCTACTTACGTTCCAGAATGATCCTCTTCCCCCGGAACATTGAATCTTCCGTCTCGGATTTTCTGCATCTTCTCTTCCGCGGCAATTGCGTATATACACGTATCAAGTACAGTATATACGAACACGGACGAAAATGGGGCTTTACGCTTTTAGATCCCGAATCAAAGCCACGCTCGCCTACGTGTTAAAAACCCTCCGCCATGCCGAGAAAACATCAAACTTGCGTCATCATCGCTTCTTTTCAAAAAGACTATATCCGAACTTTTTTTGCCTTGTCTGAATTTAAGCATTATGACCATGTCAAGTAATTGCGTACGTATCATGAACGCGACGCAAAAGAGGCAAAGGCCACTCTCCACAGGGCTGTACTCTTGAAAAGCTTCCGACCAGGTACTCATTCGCTCGCGTAAGAGAAACACGTCTCATGTTTTACCGTAAGCGGTTTTTCCCTAATCAAGCATCTTTACTGCGTTAGCAGTAGCAGTTAGCAATAGCAGCTAGAATTTATTGTTGGTGAAAAAAGACGAAACACATAGCATTCACGTTCTAGTCACGCGAGCGCTGGAGCTAACGGGCATGGACAACAAGTGCTGACACGCAGTGGTGATCAAGTAAGCTGCTTGGGGGACTTTCTGATATTGATGGAAATAATCCAAGTCTAGAGAATTGATTTATCTAAACATAGTCTGTAGATATCTCTTTCAAAAAAAAATTAAGCAGAAATAAGTGTAGTGTATATGAAATATGAGCTCACTGGCCCCCCCTCGAAAGGGGAATCCGGCGCAGTGGAAAACGTGATCTGTTTAATTCCCGTTCCCAAGAAAAACTCCAAAAGATTCCATGACAGGTTCCGATCGATTCCTAGGGCTATCCCAACCCATTGTAAGCAGGGCCCTCCAAAAATGCCCACACGCCCAATTCCCTAGCCCCCCATCGCGGCTTCGCCTCGTTGGTTTGAACCAACCCCAAATAGAAAAAAATGACAAAATATAGGAAACTCCGTTTTGCCCCCTTGGCAAATTGCAAGTCAGAGGCAGAAATTGTTTTTTGACGTATGCACATGATATCCTCTCTGTATAACATATTGGTGTAAAGAAATGTAGCGATGATTAGGTGTTTGTTATCCAAGGGCACTCGATGCGCCGGCCATGCAGCTTCTTTCGAGAGGAGACAAGTCCGAGACCCAAAAATATAGTAGTAATTGCAGATGATGTGAGAAAGAAATGGGTAAGAAAAACAAAAAGACAATCCGCGACGCCATGCTTTTCTGTAAAAAGGTAAAAACACACAAGTAAATGTTGGATAAAAAAAAGAAGCTCTATCGGACGGTGATGGCGCTGGCGCTGGCACCGCCGAGGAGACGGCCCCACACGCCGCGTCGGTGCCGCTTCTTGGTGGTGGCCTCGCTAAGCTGCTCGTATTGCTCCGCAGAGATGGCGATGTCGTAAGGCAGAGCGCGCACGCTCGGCACCTGCGCCTTGGCCTCCTCCTTGTCCATGACAATCTCCACGGGGGAGTCGTACAGGCTGCTCTGGCTGGTGCCGTAGAGGTAGGGAGACGGATCCGACTCCAGAGGCGTGGTGGACCGCGAGTGCTGGCGGCTGGAGATGGACGAGGCATAGGAGCTGGCCGAGCTGTAGACCAGGCCGGGCGGCGTGATGGAGCCGTTGCTGGCAGCGCGGTAGTGGTCGGGGCTGGCGTGTCGGGATCGTGATGGGCCCCGGGAAGAGACTGGGCTGGGATACCTGGCAGCAGCGTGGGCCGCGGCATGGAACATCTCCTGCTGGCGCTTCTTCTCCTCGCGATGACGCAGCTTGCGGGCGTAGCGCTCGGCAATCTTGATGCGCGCGGGCTCCAAGAAGACATCCAGCTCGGCGTACAGGTCGTGCTCGGTGATTCTCAGCTCCCACTCGAGCAGGAACAGCAGCTGCTTCTCCATCAGGTTGACCTCGGTGCGCGTGAAGCCAAAGGTGTAGTCGGCGGTGTTCATGTGGGTGTAGTTGGCCCAGTGCTTGTTCTTGGGCGAGCTGTCGTTGAGGTACTTTGCGGCCAGGATCAGGGCGGCCAGGAAGATGCGGTGGGTGGTGCATCGCAGGCCGCGGGCCATGGGCTGCAGCTTGGACCTGAGGCGGTTGAGGTAGACCAGGGTCGACATGAGAGTTGGGACCTGGACGTTGGAGGAGACGACCAGCTGGGTGATGAACTCTTCCAGCGAGGGCAGCGCGTCGTCGGTGCTGGAGACGGCCCGGGGCTCGGGGCTTCGTGGGGGAGTGGGAGGCCCATCCCGGGACTTGTTTGATGACGATGATTCCCGGGGTGGTGGCATGAGGGTCGTGTCGCAGGCAATGACGTTGTGGGCAGCGTTGGCCAGGTATGCAATCATTTCACGGCTGACGGGCTGGTAGACGAACTGCTCCAGGGCGGCCTTGTTGAGCTCGTCCATGGAGAGATATCTTGACGCCATGATTGCGTGGATGTGATGGTGATGTGAGAGGCGATGGCGAGTTAGGTATAAGTGAGAGGTGGTCAGTGCTCGAGACAGACGAATTGTACTATCGACAGAGCAATCCAGATCTGCGAAAAAAGAGAGAAGGCTGCTGATTGATGATGGAAAGCACCGAAGCGAGCAGAGAGAGCGATGATATATAGGTATAAAGAGAGAGAGCAGATAGATAAGTGCCGGCTCACAAGGGGTGGAGGAGGGAAGTGCTCAGAGCAGGAGGGATCAGATCAGGATCGAGCAAGCAGAAAACAACAACGCTAGAAAGGGAGGATCTGATCGTGAGGAGCAAGAGAGAAGCGATAAAAGAGGAACACGAAGGAGGCGGATGAGAAGAGCAAGAGGGATGCCAAACGTATTAAAGCAAAGGCGATGATGGACACGAGCGCATGTGGCCCTTTTTTAGGTGCGCCCAGTGACCCGTCCTGGCGTTTGGGGTGCACCACGAGGCTGTCGGTGCGGCAGCAAGTACAGCTGGCGGTACAGCCGCTAGTGCAGAGCTAGTGGGCAGCGATGCGCCACAGGGAGGGTTGGCGTAGCGGGCTTTGGCGGGGGGGGTCTGCGGGCTGCAGGGGTTGGGCGATGGATCAGTGGCCTGTGGTGCTGTGGTGCTGTGGTCCTGTGGAGGGGGGAGTACCCAGCGGGCATGTACCGTGGCACGAGTAGCGTGAGCTGGCAGTGACTGCAGGCGACGTGGCGGGCAGCGGAGGGGCGGTCAGAGGGGTACTTGCGGCATGTACCTGGGGGGGGCTGGGAGTGCGCAAAGTCGCACGCAGGGTGACGGTGGCGGTACGAGTGCCCGAGGTATCGCGAGGTATCGCCCAAGGTACTGGCTGAAAGACACCAGACAAGTCGACCAGGCAGTACAGTTGAACGGCCAGGCCGGCAGGGATTTCCAGCAGGGCGCTCGTTTGGTTTAGAGTTGGCGCTGCGGGAGTGCAAATGCAGACTGGGCTGTTCAGTGAGTCTTTTGCGGGTGGTTCGGTGCCGCGTCGTGAACGGTGGCGAATGATGGCTGTGTTGGGTTGATTGATTGATTGATTGATGTTCAAGCTGATTGCTTGCTTGCTTTTTGTACCGACGCCGATTCCCGCTCGATACGAGGAAAGAAAGCCGTGTGGGCTGCAGATGACTAACTGGCCTTGGATTCTTAATTAAACGATCTGATGGAGACCTGAATCCGCTTGTCTTTGTCTTGTCTTGTGCGTTATCTCTCTGGTATATGATGTTAAATGAAATCTTCAGAGTCCCGTGTCTGAGGGATGCCCAAGACAAAGACGATAAAAGCAAATTAGTCAATCAGGTAATTCGTGATGACACTAGGATCACCGTTGGTGTAGCGCAGTAATTAAAGAGAAATCCAGTCGTCGCCTTGTTGAAATTGCTGATATGCAGACAAAGAAGGCCAAAAAGTGACTATTCCGAGTCCCGAGCTGTCCGGCTCTCTCCGGATTCGTGGAGGGCAAGTCCGTGCTGGTTGGTGCTAAGAGAGAAAGAACCGCAATGTGCCCAACGTGGCGCCGTCCGATCCAGCGGAAGGGGTCTGATTGAAAGGGGATTTTTGGTTTTAGCACTGGGCTGGGCAGTTAAATGTCTGGGGGCCTGAACGAGGCGGTTGAATTTTTCCTTGAGGCGTTGTTTAATGTGTGTCTAAATCGACGTGGCGTCAGGGTAGAACGCCTTTTTCCTCTTCCTTCCTAAAGCCGTATAAAGGCTAGTTGGGCGTTGAAAACTAGAAACAAGATGCCGTCTGGTCTCCGATGAAGATCGGCTTCGTTCGGCAAATGCGGTGAACACGCCAAAAGAATGAGGTAGGCTCGAACAGGGTTTCTATTCGGATGATGCGATGCGATGCGATGCCAGATAGGACAATCCAAGAAAAAACCGGTTTCGGTAGGTAGAGATATATAGATGATGCAATCTCTTTGTCTTTTACGACAGAGAGTGGTTGGCGTGAGCTCTTCGATGATCCAATTGGAATCCAATAGAAAATAGTGCCTCGTGAACAAGGGAAACACAAGTATGTGATAAAAAGAGAGTTGAATCAATCAAAGTGCAAGCCGCGGAAATGCAGGGTCCAAAAAGGCAAATTCAGAGGATCCGTCCGGCGGTCGATCTGAAAAAGGGAGAGTAATGTTCTTTTCGTTTCTTGTTCACACCACTCAGTGGTATGCTTAATTCAATGATGTGGCAAATAATTAAGTTGAATTGAGGCGGTTATCGTAATTCACTGCACAGCAGCGTTCCAGCACTCGATATCAAAAGAAGGGAGATGCAGAGTGAGAGGGTTAACTAACAAAAAGAAAAAAAAAAGGAAAAGAAAGGAAACTGAAATTAGAATGAAGGATGAGGATAGCATCGAAATAGAATCTCTAAAAAAAGGCGATGCCACGAGTTTTTATTAACATCACGGCCACGCGTATCGGGATATTAAAGATGCTTCATGAAACACGGCAAGCGCAAATCGCATCAAAAATAGAAATCCCCAGCCATCGCCTCCAGCATCTATTTGCGGCCTCCAAGCAGTCAAAAACATCAAACATCAAACATCTTCGTCGGCAAGCATCCGAACCGGCGCAGTCCTGGGCGCCTAAACAGACGCGCAGCCCCAAGACTTGAACAAACAAGACCGGATGCTCCAGCAGCTTGACGATTCACAGCAAAATGCTCATGGATACGATGACACTGCAATAGCGCTGCTCCGTCTCTAGCTCCGTCGCGCACCGCCTGTATCCGCCACGCCATTGGCCCGCGACGCTGCCATCTTGAAACTTCAGCTCAACTTATGCTGGCGATGCTTCTCCATCGCTTCTGTTCCTGTCAAAACGTCCAAAAAAGAAACCCGGCCCCACCCCTTCGAAACGCCGCCTTGGAGCCAATGGGCGGCTCCCCGTCGACGGCAGAATCGCTCATGGCCAATCGCCAGCCAAACTTGGCGAGCGGCAGCCGAAAAGAGGAGAGCCCCAGTTCAAGGTGAGTCAAGGTCCTTCCTTGGTTCGCCGTCCACCTACAGTATACCAGCTCAGTATGAGTAGGTACATTCGTAGGTACCTCCCTTCCTTATCTCTCTGCCCTTGTCCCTGGCAAGCTGATTTGCTGCCGGTGCCTTGCTGGGCTTTTCGATGCGCTGGCCGCCGTCTTGTCCAATGGATGCCCAGTCAAAGAGATGAGTGGCTTGCTGGGTTCTGTTGCCTTTTTTCTTTTCTTTTTCAGCCACGAGCCTCAGATAGGCAAGTAGAAGCATAATGAAATTTGCTCCTGACAAGTAATGTAAGACAGTGTAGTACGCATATAGCGCCTAGTAAGTCTACTTGGTATGGATGTACAACAAAAAAGTTGAAGCATTTCAAATGTAGCAAGCAACCTCTTCCTTGCTCGGGAAAGCCACGCCGCAGCCGCGAAATTCACGCTTTGCCCTTTTCTTTCTGATTTTTATTCGTCGTTCATCCTCTCCCTTCGCCGCTCGTCGAAAAGGTACAAGTAAGACATCAACTAGTTGTACTTGGAAAGGCCTAGGTACGGTAACACGGGTAGGATTAAAAAGTAGGTGGTGCCTATCCAGGAACTCCCTTCACGCGAGCCGCTTCAATGCAGGGGCAGCAAAGGTTAAAAAAAAAACGAACAGGAACACAAAGTGTAATTTACTTGTGCTAGCCAAATTCTTGACATTTGCATTAACAACTGCGGCCCGTAAACTTTTTTCCTTTTAAAATTATGACACCCTGAACATCAAAAACTTGCGGGCGCGAAACGCAGTGTGATATGATGATGTGAGGTTCTTGAAACATAGCGTCTGTCTATCAGTCTGTCACATCAATTCTTTCTGCAAACACCAAGAGAAAATGCGGGTAAACTCTCTCGTTTCCCGCTTTTAGTTACAGTATCATCTGTCTGGAACGCCTTGTTGCCCCTAGCGTTCGATATTCGTGTGGAGAAATGAGGGGGAAAGAAGACTGACTGGATTGCCTCCCGGAACGCAAGTCAGTAGGTTCATCTATCCTTTCGTCCATCTTTAATAGAATCACTTACTCGCACGAGTGCCTATTCCATCATCACGAGTAAGACGCGAATCAAACTTTTGCCCATATGGGGCCACCCTTCCCCCCAACCCCGGTCAAATTCATTCGTGGCGTCTAGCTTTCCATCCCCGCCACCGGTACCTTTTTCTTCCCTTGCCATGGCGTCTTAAATTCATGCCTCTTTACTTGATCTGTCGTGCATACTGTAGCGAGATAATACGGCCCGAAAGTGAATGCATTCAATCCAATATTCTTTGCTTTTTCTTCTTCAAGCGACGGGAACCCTCAATCCGGCCATGGTCTCTCTCGTATACAATTACAATCCGGCTCCCTCACATGTCTAGCGGCCTCCGCAACATGCCAGCTCCAGCAACGATCTTCCATAGCCCTTTGGATAGTCTCTGGGCCTGGCACCACTGAGAATCTGTTCCGGATGGTCAGCTCCCTGTTAGATCCGATCCGCGTGCAGAGACGGGGGGCTGGGCCGGGGTCTAGCGGCTTGATAATTGCATGCTAGCTGGGCCTGGCGTGTCTGTTTTGCTGTCTCTATGGCATGTCTCTGTTGTCTAGACTGCCATGAGTTGGCTGTACAGTGGATTAATGTGCTGTGCTGTGCTGTGCTATGCTGTGATGTGCCTTGATTTGAATATTCACTCCCTTGCGTGGAGTAATATTGCCATGATGCTACCACTAGTATTAGTGCAAATCCCAGCTATCATCTCCAGCGAAGCTCTGTACTTTGCAGCTGAGCCCAGGGTACATGTATTTCCATGGTCAGCCGAACAACCCCTTCGCTTCTGCCTCAGCCCGTCTTCTTTGCGATTAATTTCCTGATGCTATAACCGGTCTAATGACATACTAGCAGCACATACATTCCATGATCCATGTGCAAACAAAATCCTTCTGACTCCTCATCAAATAAGGAAAAAGAAAAGCGAGAAAGATAGAGGAGGCGCCATCGTTTCTAGGCTAAATAGAAAAAGCTGCAGCCCTCTGAAACACAAATCAGCCCATCTAATACCGGTCTCTCTTTGGCTTTGCTTTCGGTGATTTTCCATCTTTCAGCCCGACGCCACATTTTGATCCCATCAAGCTGATGCGGGTGCAGGCAGATATCAAGGCATAATGGAGGAAGCACGCGCTATCCTATGACTAGCGAGCGACTACTTCTAATTGCTCCGCATCCCGCTATGAACTTGTTCAGTAGCCAGCTGGATAGACTCGATGCGACGCACCAATCTATCGATGCAGGTCCGCTCCATCTATGGTAGCGGTGGTTTAATTAATTAGCTAACAAACTCGCCCGGCAGCTGTGCCGTACAGGTATGTAATTGATACTACTAGTAGTAGTAGGCAGGTGTATGTGTAGATACTTGATGTCTCATTCCCAGTATACTTGCCTCTCAAGTACTGCCCACTTCCCTTTCCCTCTCCCCACAGGCAGTGATGGATGCAGGTATACTGTATCGTGCCATGTACTTGTAGTGGTGCCTCCATCAAGTCGAGGTCAGTCAGCTCGTAGATACCCAATCACGACGGCATGTGGTCCCGTCCCATCCCTGCCACGGTGCCTGAACCGCTATCGGCCATTTCTGCTGAAGCCTGAACGCCCGCGTTAAGCACTATAAATTATCAATATGACAGCATAGCATCAGATGGAACAAGCAATGGATTCAACCGCAGGAATGTGGGCAATCACCCAATTGACAGCTTAACAGAGTTTTTGCTACTCTGCATCCGGCTTTACTTGTAATTGCTTTAATCTCTTTTGGCTTTCTCGTCCGTCCATTACCACATATTCGGTGTACATCATAGATATCATGAAAATGATAGCTTCTTCGTACAGAGCACGGCTAAACACCTGCAGCAGGGTCTATCCCCACCCACTTACGAAAAGTAGGTGAAGGGATAACGTGCTGCAAAGACGCACAGAATTTGCCCCATGGCCGCCAGTTGGGCACAGTACTGCTACCTGGATACTCGTACGAGCATACAAACATGTGCTTCATCATTTAGCATGGCATTGGTATCAATAGTAGGTATTCGTCTCCTTTGTTCACATGCATTGGGGCCGATCCATGCCCGTAGCATGTACCATTACAAATTGCAGGTCTCCATATCCCATCCCATCATTGCGTGGTACTAGTAGTATTTGATGTACATTCATACATCTCTGGTACATATCCGGGCGGGTCATCCAGCGACAACACATCAAGGTCGTGGCGTGGGGTTGACCAGGGAAACCAAGAGACAAAAAGGCAAGGTCGCATTTTGGGCCACTGTTCCTTGACCGCTGAAGATGAGGATTGCTCAAGGTGGCATGGATGGCATGGATGGCATAGAGCATACCTAATGAATGGGCGACATGAATTGTTACTATACAGCTTGTGGCAGCCATCAACAGGCTAAGCACTACATACAGCTAATCAGCTCTGCAAAGGCTGAAGAGCTGCCAGTCACATCGCTCTTCACATGGGCGCCGTAGACGATACGAGAGGCCGCATGCCATGGCATCCGATCCATTGGCTCTCCCTTGTCCAGGGAAGACGAGACGGGAGCGTGGCCACCTCCACACATGCCACTGGTGGTGTGTGTGGCCACCACTTCCGGTAGCAGTGGCAGCATTCTCCCTGTTCCTCTACATGTACATTAGTACTTGTATAATATATTTTTCGGACATTTATTTCTAGATATATCGCCATTGTAGTAATCCGCATTCGCAATACGAGGGAAATGCAAGCAATTGAAGCAATATTAGACAGACAATACGAACAACCCCAGAAAAGTAAATGCGCCAAAGACAAGTTGTATCCGTATGGAAGCTGTAGGATCCATGGAGTCCAGACGCAAGGTCATAACGCATGGTTTGTTGTCAAAGCATCATACCTACATGATGCGAACGATTTTTTTTTCTCTACAAATTCTTTCACCGCCACTGTATATCAAGCATGCGACTCCAAAGTGGGAAAAGATGCAAAAAAATCAAACCCAACTTTTCCCTTTTTCGACCGCTGTCCATGCACACTAAGCAGCATGCGCTTGGTTTAACTGGAGACAATTGGGCAACATTTTTCTTTTTCTAAAAATTGCCATGAGAGCCTTGGCTGATACAGACATGACATGATACTGTATCTACTGCCCTTCTCCTTCTCCTTCTCCCCCAAACATACTTCAGGTAAAGCAGTAGTAACATACAGTTGAGGTAATGCAACATTGAAAGTTCAGGGCAGAGACCACAGTACTTCCAGCGCTGGTACTCGCCAACAAATGGCCAATATGGATCCCTGGCAGGGCTTGTGACACCCCGTAGACAATCGCCCGCCAAGTGGTCTTCTGTGCCCTCCCTAGCCCCTTGGCGAGATCTCTCAAAGCTCAAGCTCGTCCCTCCCGTGCCAGCGATTGGCCCGTGCAGCCTGAGACTGGCGATGGCGCACTTTGGCAGCGCTGATTGAGCCCAACGCGATGTCACCCCGTACTTTTGGGGTACAGCCTGAAGGTACCCAGGCCAGGCCCCATGTCCAGCTGTGGCTGACGCGTTGTTGAGTGTGGCTGGAGGGGGCTGCGAGTCCAGCAAACCACGTAATTTTTGCCTCGCCGAGGACAAAGAGTCAAGAGGCGCATACAAGATACGGCCTCTAATAGGGTAGGCGGGCTTGTGCATACGACTCATAGCAAAGCCGCACAGCCAGCCTCCTTCTCGCGGCGCAAACATTACCCTTATCGTTAATCCATGACTGACTGACTGACTGACTGACTTGTTCTATTTGACTCAACAAAACAAGAAAAGAAGAGTCAGGCACGCAGCAAATCGGCTAAGCCTCGTTGGCAAAAGCCAAAACTTAAACAATCACGCAAAAAAGAGCAATCACACATCCGCGGAGGCACTTATCTGTGGCAACTGACACTAGTACCTCAAAACGATAGGCTAATCCGCCAACAAAGAAACCCAAGAAAAACGTCAACACGGGTGCACCACTAAAAGGGAAAAAGACCGAAAGCATAAACTCATAGTAAGGCACCTAGCCAAATAAACAAGGGGAGCCTAAAAAACTCAAAATCACATCACCATTAACTGTATTCTTTGTCGTCTAAATGAACATCCAATTTCCCCTCTCATGCGCATCAAAAAAAGGGAAACATACAGACATAGAGACCCGCCCCTGTCACAAGCCTCATCAAGTGATTCTTCCCCAAAACAGGCTTTCTCACTCGCACTGCAACCCTACCCAAACCTTTTTTTTTGTTGTGCTTGTACGAGTTGTTTTTTTTTTTCCTTCCCCAAAGCCTGATGACGGCTTCGGGTCACAGGATGAGTGTCTTTGAAGTGATGGAAACACATGGTTGGATGATCATCACTGTCTTGGGTGCTAGTTATATGTATCTAGTATTCGAGGTGCATGCAGGGACTTTGCAATGTTGGGGTAAGATACACGTCTGCAGTACCGTAGCGGCTTTTTCCCTCTCTTTCATCCCTTTTTCTCCAACCACGTTCCAAGGAAAGGCAAACGGTCATGTGCATCTCCACCATCACATTCAGAAGGGCATAGCCAAGTCCATGGTGTAGCAGTAGCGAGCATCAAAAATTGGGCTCTATGCAGCATCAACAGCTATGAGTGGTGCTGCTCTTGCTTGTTATCCCGCGCCTTGGGCATACCTATCTTCGTTGTCATGCTCTGCAACACGATGCAACGAGTAATCGCAATGTTACAGCGTATAATCCTCCTTCCAAGTCTCTTCTAGCTTGCCATCTCCCATTCGCCAAGCCTAGACCTCATGTGTCCCAATGTCTCAGTGCTCGGTCGTCGAGCTTGGGCTTGGCTGGGACCGCAAGGCAGCATCGCTTATCATGGCATGATGCCACAAACTCAGCCTGCTGCTCAGCTACTCAGGCAGCCAGACGGTGGCCTTGCCTCTACACGATCCATTTTCAGAAACTGACGATACGAGTGATGAGCTGAATGGCACGGCTCCCCGTCATTCGGTATACCCGGGCCATCCCACCAAGCATACACTTGCGCACAGACTCACTTACACCCACCAAATCAGGGGACAGAAAAACAAGGAATGCCAGTATTTAGGACTTACACAGAGGTATTATGCGCATACAATTCCAGATACTACTTGGTGTAGAGAGTGCTTATGCTTCAGCCTTGTACGCGCATTTTATTTTGCAGTCCCTGTTCTTCTATCCTCTGCCTGCCACCTTCATGCTCACTTTTTCACGCTTTGGCCTATCCCTCAGCCAATACCATGCCTGCGTAGAACTTCAAAATAGGACCGACCCGTTCTAAGAGTAGTAGCACCGGATCCATCATCGACGCGAACCATCAACGGGCTCTCCTAGACCAGTCAGTGAGCTGAGGGCCTGAGGCATTAGATGGCCCATCCAGCCCAGCACCTCTCAGCCCCTATGCATGTCTCGGAGCAATATCACGTAGCAGCCGGTCATTCTTTAGACCGGAAGGACGTCGCCCAAGCCGACAATGACATGTTGCATCTTCACTATTTTCCTTCTTTAGAACAAGTTTTTATTCAGCCATAGCCGCGACTATCATCTCGACGCCTGCACATGCCTCTCTGGGGCCTCGGCACTGTCAAGGTGGTATCACGGCAGCGATCCCGCCGAACTGCCTATGCAGCACAGCCTCTCAAACCCCCTAAGAGACAATTAAACCTACCTTATTCATCGCCGCCCAACTCACCGAGCCTTTCCCGTAATTTAACTCGACCCGTGGCAGAGTAGCATTTGGGGTCCCTTCTCTTCATTCGGAATATCATTCCTCAAGCCCATCTCACCCTCCTCTCTGTTTCTTCTCCACCCATCCAGCCGCTCGGATAAGATTGAGCGTTGAAACCAACAGCCGCGGCTTGTCCGATCTCATCCATTGGCTCACAGACAACATGCAGCTTCTGTTAGACATGGGGCACTATACGAGGTGGGAAATAACCAACTGCTGTACAAGGCAGAAGCAATGAGGAAAAGAAAATACGGCACCTCCCTCTTCCGCGTTACATCCAGCCGCCTCGTCTTTGGGTCATTTGCCGCCGTAGCATCGCGCTTCTCTCGGATCGATCCTTCATTCATGCCGAAACTTCCCCACCATGGGCGGCTACTGATGCTTCCGGTGAGATTTGGGGCACTGTAATGCGCCGTATTTGGTAAACGCATTGGCAGTAAACTGCTGTTGCATTGTTTCTTCCATCGACAATGGACCTGGACGCAATCCCTGCTCCTTGTGGATTACATGCACTTGCTTGGGCGCTTAGGGGCGGTTTTGCGCCTAGCGAACCAATCGTCGTGCTGCATCCTCATTGCTGCCCTGTCGTGTCCAACGAAACATCTACAAGCGCTTGTATCAGGTCAAAGTCGTTTGGCAGTGTAAATATAGGGCTGTTTCTGAAACGGACGGCTGAGTCGAGCACGCATATCTCCTTACAATCTCCTGGCCTTCTCCACGTGTAGGATTGATACTAGGCTGCGTGGTATTGTAGGACCAAACGAGATCCGCTGAGTACCAGACAGCCAACATACATGTAATGGGAGGTTGGCTTCTGTCTATTTTTAGCATCCAGTGAACAGTACTTTGTCGAAACGTCAAGAGTATAGTGTATGTCGCCAGAGAGACCGAGACAGCGCCACTCAATCGTGATAAGTGCTTAAACAAGAAGATGAAGTGATCCACTATATTAGGTTGTAATGGGGAAGAAGGAAGTTTGTCTCAACGAGCGAGCTCATACGTAACCTAGTCTACCTACATAGTAAATATATCATTAAACGGTAAGCGAAGTCGGTGTGTTGCGTGAGTGGCATAACTGTGCTTGTATTCTCTAGCTACTGAGCTCTACCGTGCGGTAAGACTATGTTACTAGTTATGGCTATCGTAAAAGAACGAAAAGAGACGGCCAGAACCATGGATAGCCATTGCGCCCTGCCACTTCTCCAATTATCCTTCTTGTTGGAAAACCATGCTTTGTAGTGTAATCCCAGAAGCCGGAATAGGAAAGAAAACTAAAAATGGCTTCTCTAAAATTTACGTTCAAAATCTTCAGCAAGCGGACAAGTTTTTATGCAGCCTACAGTTCAGCAACTGGGCAGCTACAGCACCTTAGATTCTATACGCCTGAAGAAAAGATGATGATTTGTACATGGACAGTTTAGAGTCATGTCTAAATTTTGACTGGCGCAATTAACATTGTTGCCATATACTTTCATGCATTTTCAGAGTACTAGTAGAGAACTGTTGCTACTCCTAGCATGGCGTAAAACCTCCAAGTCCGAAGATAGGATGTTTGCCATATCATCCACCCCATTGGCCCGGCAGTCTTGTAGGAGATTGCCGATGGTCTGGTATAAATTTTCTGTTGCGAGTCGCGCGAGCGTCCTGATCAAGAGAGCCGGGATCCTATGACGTGAACTACGGCTTCGTACGTAGGATACGTTATGTAGAATCGAAAAGGCTTGTCATTCTTATGATACAGGATCGGGGGGCTGCTACATAACTATGACGGTGGTCTCCTTCCTTCCTTCTTCCAGGGACGTCGAGACAAGTGTCCCCCAACACTTTAAGGAGTTGGAGATGAGGAGCTCGCAAGATCACTTTTCTCACCGCGGGCTTCCGAGAGCTTTTCTTTCTGGTTCCTAATCGTTTAGACGATGATTGCGACCCTTTTTGACGTTGTTTCTTTTTTTTCTTCTTGCGTACCTTACTTTGTGGTGATGAAGCCAACGATATTTCCTGGCGACAGAAGCTGAAGAGAAAGTTGGGAAAATGGAAATGAAGCTCAAAAATATTGAGAAGTTTGATGTCGCCAAGATCAGATTCGAGCCTGCGTTTGGACTTGGGCCTGGTGGAGTCGAAGAAGTGAACACAGCGTTTAATCTCACAATATGGCTGTACATGTACAAAGCCTAATATTCACTTGGCAAAGCATGACGAAAGTAATGGATTAGAAGTACGGTTTTCGCGTAAAGAGTTCTCTTAGTGGTAGAAGATATGCGTCATAGTAGAATTGTTGAGCCATGTTGGGGGACACCTGCCCAACGTCTGCAGAAGGAAGGAGGTCCCCGGAGCAATACGGGCAGTATATAGCTAGCCAGCTCCCACCAATCTGGGCATGTAGAATCAACACCTTTCAAATCCCTTATCGCTGGGCTACATAGGCACCTATGTCTTCTATTCGACGAGGCTGAAAGCCGAGCGGAGAAAGCTGAAGCCCAGATCTCGAAGGCTCAAACCCTTATAGAGGCTCAAGTCCAAGCTCCCGCTACTTAGTCGGGCATGCAGAATCAACGCCTTTCCCATCCCGCCTCACTGCAATCTCTCCGTTCGTCTTCGAGATCCTAGAGGCTCAGTCACTAGCTTTAGATGCCGAAGCTCGAGCTCAAGAGGCTCAGGTCCAAGCATTAGATGCTGAAGCGCGAGCTCGAGAAGCTCAAGCGCAGATTCAAGCGCAGATTCATGCTCAAGCTACACAGCTGCCCTGTCTCCCTGTTCTAGAGCCGAGAATTCGGATCTCGGTACCCGTTTGCGTGTCGGGTGCGTCTCTCGTGCCGCCGCCAACTCAGGCATTCGAGGTTGCTTTCCAGGTACAGGAGCCCGCGTTAGTTGAAGGCCAAGAGGCCAGACAATGACAAGAAGTGTGCAATAGTATCGAGAATGGATTTTCCGTTATGTAATTAGGTAGCAAGAAGTAGCTCCGTCAGAACAAAGTGTACTTTGCGTTCAATCTTGCTTTGTCTCCATCCTGTAAAATTCCCATCAAGCGGTCAGTGTGCGAGAAGAGACGAATTCAGGACATCGACAAGGACATTAATACTGTGACTCTTACCGGCGACGATTCATTGACGGAGGCTGTCTTCTCTAAGAAGAAGTAGCAACAAAGGGGCTATGGGGAACTGGGTTGTGATTTTTTGTAATGGATTTGTATTGTACGAGACGGATAGTAGAGGAAAAGAAATGGTTCAAGGCAACGTCGGGTTTATATCTGAGCAGAGTCTAGTGTATTTTATATCAAGAATTTTTTTTCCATTAACGTACCTAGGCAGCTGGATGTAGTCTGCATCCATAAACAAAGACTGCAACCGTCCAAAAAAGCCAGCAACGCAACAACATCTACCAGGTGTTGCAAAGTTCCAGTTTACCCAAGATGAGGTATAGAATAAAAATAATAAAAACTACACATCATACCAAAACTATACAGCCCGTCATGTTTGTTCAAGGAACAACGATATGATTTAGCGGAACTGGAGTAGGCCCATCACATGTTAAAGACGACAATACAAACCATCTACCCATCGCGTCCATGTCCGTCCTCATAGATCACTGTGCAATAAAAGGGAATAGAAGTATACTTGACCAGGACGCCAGACCTGCCGAGCCACCCGCTCCTTCAAATGATTGTCCAAACACTTGGAGGTATAGCATCTGCTGAGGCGAACCAACATTCTAGGTAGCAACACTCAATCCAAGAGAGCCATGCAGACACCCGTCGGAGATGCCATTGAGAGACAAAACAATACCCGTGATTCTACGTATCCAAAGATGAGTTCGTAAAACATGGCGCGATAATCAAGGGACCTTAGCCCCTTACACCATGGTATGATCTGGATCTCAATTGCTAGACACACCACATGAGCCAAGCTGTACTTCTCAAACTCAACAGGCACAGAGCAAGCGACATCATCAAAGAGCATAGAGTCAACAATAATTTGTCCGATTCCCGCATCATGTATCCTTTAAAAGTCATTTTCCATCATTCATGTCATCTACTGTTATCCTCATACTAATTGTTATCCGTTTCCCTCCCCCCCAAAAGAAAAAACCTAGCATTGTCCCTTGCATATGCTGTACATGAAAAACACACAAAAAAATATTAGTTTGCCTAGAATGAGCCCAGTCCCTCGTGTCCATATTTCCCTTGGCTCGTAAACCACGTGTAGCGTGCTCATTCGCTTCCATAGCTCACCGAGCGTCACGATGAAGCATGTGCGTTATGACACGTCACTTGTCCTTGCTTCTCCTTCCAACGTATTTGCGTCTTCCCGCGTCTGGTGCCTACACGTATCAATCATGGGCAGAGATAGACAGACAATATCGGGCGTCGGCAAATGTTGAACGCGGTAGAAACGGCTCAGCTCTTGAGCAGCATACTCCGCGACGCTTTTGACAGGCCATTTTAAAAAAAAAATGCCAAATTACGTTTGTTGCCTTTTTTTTTTCCAACGCACACCTCCTCCAACCTATAGCGGCCTCTTGAAGATGTCGCAGTATCCTGAAAACCAGTTAAATTGAAAATGATATCAGCGTCCACGTCATCTTCCCAAGAGCCATTACCAAACAGAGCGTCACATGTATGGAGGTACTCCGCCCATCTAGTGGAAGTAGCTGTTACCGCGACCTGCTGTTGGGGCTGTTGCCGGTGTTGTCGTTGATCCCGGAGTTGGCACGTAGTCCTCGAAGTAAGGGTGGTTGCACGCCTGCTTGGCCGAGATTCTTCCTGCAGGGTCATAGACGAGCATCATCTCGAGCAAGTCTAGGCCCTTGTCGTCGAGGTTGGGAGAGAGTGGTTGTTGGTAATCTCGTTGCCACTTGGGGAACGATGCCTTAAAATCGGGATAGGATGTGACGCCAGGCCACAGGTCTTCTGTGGGAGTTCCGAGAGCACTAGAGACAAGTTAGCCAGACAAAATTGCAAAGAAGAAGTTGCCAACTGAGGGCAAAATAGAGGCCTTCTCACCGGAATATTCTGAAAATCTCGTCAATCTCAGAGTCGCCCGGGAAGAGAGGCTTGCGCGTGCACATTTCAGCAAAGATGCATCCAATGGACCACATATCCACACCAGTCGAGTACTGTCTTCCACCAAGAAGAATCTCAGGGGCTCGGTACCAGAGCGTCACCACCTCGTGCGTGTAGGTTCTCAGCGGCACACCAAACGCCCGGGCCAGACCGAAATCTGCAAGCTTTAGATTGCCATCTTTATTGATGAGTAGGTTCTGGGGCTTGAGATCTCGGTGCAGGATGCGGTGCGAATGGCAGTATCTGATACCGTCACATAATTGCATCATGAACTTGCGAATGACGGTGTCGTTCAGTCCAAGCGTCTGTACGCGGATGGAAGTGCCCTCGGGGAGCGTCTTGCCTCGACCGCCGTCGTTAACAGGAAGCGCCTCCATGTACTTTTTCAGATCCAGGTCAAGAAACTCAAAGACCAGATACAGCTTGTGGCCATCGGCGTGGACAATGTTGAACAGCTGAACGATGTTGGGGTCTCGCATCTCCTTGAGGAGAGAAATTTCGCGGATGGCGGTGCTCGGAACGCCCTCGTCTTCGGCTTCGAGTCGGATCTTCTTCAGGGCAACGATTCGTCCGCCATTAGCAAGGTCCCGAGCCTTGTACACGACGCCGTAGGTACCTGTCAGAGTCGGGATGCATCAGCATAACGGTAAAGCATAGAGTAGATGCATAGAGTGCTGTAGGGAAAAAGAAGCGAAGAAATACATATTCATGGCTGCAGCACACGAACAGGGGCAAGCTGGATAGCTCACAGCAGCAACGTACCCTCTCCGACTTTCTCCAGCTTCTGGTAATTCTCCATGGCGGCGGTTGGCTGATGAATTGGAGATCAGGGGGCAAGGCAGCAACTGGACTCGGATGGAGCTGATAGCAAGGGAAGATAAGTCAACGTTGTCAAGTAGAAAGAGGTTTCGATTCGCCCTTGTCCCTCTTCTCGGTCGTCGGCTGTTGCTGCGAACACCACAAACAGGGGCGTTGGTGTCTGGTCAAGAGAAAGAAAAAAACACGTTCACTTGGTCGTCCGGGCGAGGGGTCAACAATTCGCGGTAACTGGCGCGGGGGGGCACAAACGCGGTCTGGCTCGGGGACTGCACCGCCTCTGGATAAAAGTTTGCAGCACTGCTCGAAGCTTGATGTAGTGAGGGATGGATCAATGCTGGGTGGTCCGTTTGTTAGTAAGCACCTGCCAGGGGCAGTTCCCGCAGAGACAGCTCGAATGGCCGATGTTGACGAGCTCTGGGCTTTTGGACGTTTGTTGTGTTTACTTTTGTTACTTGGGGCACGAAGTGCGAAAAGAGGGCGGCGCTAGGCTGGGCTGGGCCTGGCGCTGCATGTTGTGCATCCGCCACAGGTCCCTGCTTTAGCGGCCTGGCGATGTGGCTCGCTGTAACACTAGAGGGTTTAATGCGATGGAACCAGTAGGTATCTGTCTGTGAGAGATACGGAAAGATATAAGTTGAATGTATACATGAATGCGGAAGGGGGTTAAGATCATTGTAATGCATCATCGCCTGCTGACTATAGAAAAAATTGAAAAGGAGCCTATAAGTAACAATATATCTGATACAACAGAAATCACGTCACATCACATCAATCAGTCGCCCTTTCGCCGCAGATCCAAAATCTTGGACAGCTTCAACGTCCCCTTCTCCCCCCATCCAGACGGCCCCGACTCGATGTCCGGCCGAACAGCCACGTACCACCTCCACGCCCTGCGATCCAGCTCTGCACGGCCCAAAGTACCAGCCCAGCTCGCAAACAGCAGTCGAAGCGCTCCCAGCAGCCTCCCCAGATTCTCCTGCCTCTCATCGTTCAGTGCTGCCACGGTCTTCTTGCCGCTGCTGCCACTGCCACCAGTCTCTCCCCTGTCAGAGGTACTGGCAGAGGCAAAGCTCCGCAAGAGATAATTCCTTGCATTTTCAGGCCGATGAATTGCCATGCCAATCGTAGATATAGCCGGCTTCTTATCCTCCGCATCGAGCCCCCACAGCGCTTCTCCAGAAAACGTCGCCGTCCGCCGCTGAGCAGAAAGCGCATCATTCAGACACTCTCGCATCAAGCGCCACCGGTCAGGCCCCAGCATGACGCCTCCATACCATCGCGCAAGGACGACGGTGGTGTTTGTGATATTCGCCTCGCGCAGGAGCTCAAGCATGAACTTGCCGCATCCCGCTTCGCCATCGTCAAAGGAAGCTTCCTGCACGAGAGATGAGTTGCCAAAGCTGGTGCGTATTGCCCACGCCACATGGGAAGCCGTCTTTTCCATGTCAGGGTATTTGTTGAACAAGATCTTCATGAGACCTGAGCGCATAGACGGCGACGTTACTGGGGCTGCATGCGCTATGAAAGTAGATCCCTTTGAACTAAGCGATTTGCTGGTTGCCCATACATTATCAGATGCCGTAGACGTCGGTGTTGATGCCGATTTGCTCGTATCTGCAGACGAAGTCTGTGGTGCCTGTGTCTCAGCGCTCTCTGACCAGGAATAATCGCCTCTTTTCAGAACCGGGATTTCTCGTCCCAAAACAAAGACCTTTGGCTGTCCAGTTGGTATTGGCGGCTCCCCACCAACCGGCGCCTTCTCAATCCCAATACTAATGGCCTTGGACCTCGAATTGGCACTTACAACCGCCTGGGCAAGGCTAAGACGGCTGCTCGGAGGCTGCTCCGGCATAGTGAAGCGCAACAGCTCCACCGCAAATGCCAGAACCAGAGGAGCTCTATTCGTCACCAGTGCCGTCTCCTTGATCAGTTCCTCATCTTCGCACAGCGGCAGCGTTAGTGATCCCTCGAGCTCTTCCGGCGTAATGGAGTTATAATCCAAATCCCTCTTGTGCATTTCCAGCTTTGGCTTTTTCCCGCCGGCTGCAGAGGCAGGCTCCTCAGCGGCACGCTTGTTGCCCTTCTTGCCGTGTGACTTGCATGCCGTGTGGAAGCTCTTGGCGAGCTTCGCGTCACTGATGGCCTCCTCAACAGTAGCTGAAGGTGCCTCGGCAATCTGTTCAATGCTGTGTCTCGACTGTTAGCTACAGCGACTCTCAGTAAGTAAGGCAAGGGTTCACGCCATCAGTGTCTCGCCTTTTCAAATTCTTGGACTGCAGCGCCTTGATGTAGCCCATGGCCGCCATCATGGATGCTTTGCGTGCAGTCAGCATGCGCAGCATCTCTTGTAAATCGCCGTGACCCGCCATTGCCGCGACTGATATCTCGAGGACTAGAGATGAATAGTCTAGATCAGATGCCCTCTCTCCTGCTGAGTACTAGTAACAAAAGCAATCAACACCCCTGAAAGCCACCGGCGATGACGTGACGTGCCAGGGTATCAATCGCACCAGCAATAGTGAATCTCTCAGATCGCATCACGCCTCACGAGATCTCAACTTATTCACTCCTTAGCAGCCACTAAGCGGCAGCCATCAGCCAGCGGCCCCACTTGACCGGTTCTTCTCTCTCGATGCAACCGCATTGCATATCCGCACCTTACTCTTTCTGCAAGCTCCGGAGTAATCCATCGATCGGGCTCAATGCCCTCAACCCACAAGGATTAAAGCTTTACTTACTCTTCTTCCTTTCCTCAATCGCGCCAATTCCCACACGATGCTCCCTCGATGAACGTCCCTACTCGCCGCCTTGCCAGGGCCGCTGCGAGCGCTACTACGACACCCTTGCAATGGCGCCTTGCAAGCTCTTCACGCCAAGCTGTGAAAACTCCTCCAGCTCGGGTCCCGTCACCCCGCGTGACAAAGTCATATAAGCCGTTTGTCTCTCTTACCTTGTAAAGTGCTATTCGACGTCTAACCTCCATGTAACATTTAGAACACAAAAGCCCGGCACTTCACCCAATGCTTCCTCGCCTCCTCCACCACCACCACCTCCCAAAGCCGATACCCTCCTCGACATCTGGCGCCGTGCCTGGCTTCCCCTAACCGGCGCCTCCGTCCTCGCCGGCTTCCTAGGCTTCTACATCTTCGGCACCACAGCCGCATCCCTCAAATCCTCCTCCTCTCCTTGCTCCTCCTCCTGCTGCGAACATGCCACGCCCACAGGCCGACCCCCCGCCCTGAGCGGCGACAACGCCGAGCAATTCGACAAGGAACTCAACCTCCCCGAATGGTGGATGGGCATCACCAAGCTGCGCAAGCGTCTCGCCACGCACGCAAAGGGCAACGTCCTCGAGCTCGCCATGGGCTCCGGCCGAAACCTCGAGTACTACAACTGGGAGCCCCTCAGCACCGCCGTCGAGGCCGCCCGGACGGGCCAGATCCCCCCGCCAAAGATCCCCCAAGGCATAACATCCTTTACGGGCCTCGATATATCCGTCGACATGCTCGACGTATCGCGCAAAAGCCTCGCCAAGTCCGTCCCGCCCATGTCTTCCTCCGCGCCGATCGTCAAGGCCTCGTCCATGGCCGACCATACTGGCGGCCAGCTCTCCTTCTTGGATGGACACGTTCGCCTCGTCAACTTAGATGCGCACCACCCGCTGCCTCCGCCCGCTCATACCGATAAATACGATACGATAATCCAGACCTTTGGCCTCTGCTCCGTCTCCGATCCCGTCGCTGTACTGTCTAACCTGGCTAACGTCGTTCGACCTGATACCGGCCGCATAGTCCTCCTGGAACATGGGAAAGGATACTATGGCCTTGTCAATGGTCTACTTGATAAGAATGCCGGGAAACACTTTGCAAAGTATGGATGTTGGTGGAACCGGGATATCGAGTCCATTGTCGAGGATGCCGTGAGCAAGACGCCTGGCTTAGAAGTGGTGAAGCTTGAGCGGCCAAACATAACACAGATGGGGACGCTGGTTTGGATCGAGCTTAAGATGGCAGCAAAAGACAAAACGGCATAAAGTTTTCGACAGGATCAAACTACAGCGCATAATCGTGGGCATAGACAGCAGGCGAGATTGACTGGCTACTACCTATACCCCAGCGACTGATTGTCATATATCATTGTACACTATTCTTGGGCGACCAAGCATTCGAGAGATGAGCGGACTTTGTTCTTATAATTGAGTGGTTTGCTCTTTTGTGTGTATTCCTAATTTTTTTTTTAAACGCCTCGTCCATAAAAGTTCCCCGCTTGGCTCCCTTTGTACTCCTTGTTCATCTCATCATCTCCATAGTATCAGAATCATCATCTAGTATATTTACAATAGAGTCTCTCTCTCCCTCCACACAAATACACATATATCCACGCCATATGCGATAAAATCAAAGGCCATCCAACGCCAGCTCCGTTTTCCCTTTTTTGAGTATTCCCAGCTCCTTGCGCCATTCCATGATAACATTAATAGTAGTAGTAGAGAGTAAAAAAATAAAAATTGAAATCAGCATGCATCTAGCAAGCAATCAAGCTCGTCTATCTCGATGCTCTCGGCGCCCTTGCCCCACTCAAACAGCTTGTTGAGTCTTTCCCAAGCGTCAGCGTCGTCTTCTTTCCGACCAGCGGAAATGCTCGGCTTGATGGAGGGGCTAGCGAGAAAAGTGGTGGTCGCGCTGGGGCGGCTATCGGAAAACCATACGTCGTCCCGATAGTAGTCCATCATGGCGATGCTGTGGCGCTCGACGGTTTCTGGCTGAGGGACTTCCGCGTTTAGTTTGCGCTTCTGCAGGCCATCTGCAGTCTGTGTGAATTCCCGCTCATCCTTCTCCAGAGGCGGGGCGTTGTTGCGGGGGCTAAGGATAACTCTGCTCTGATGTGAAGAGAAGGATCCGATGGGGGTCATGGGCATTAAGATATCGTCATCGGTATTGTCAAACTCGGTGGCAGACAGGTCCACCTCGGGAGAAGGGCTCAGTTCACGTCGCCTTGCCTCGATGTCATCTGAGCCAGAATCCTCGGTAAGAGATACTGATGGGGTGAGAGAGGCAACCTGAAGACTTGCGCTAAAGTCTGGGAGTGGCTGCCTAGGAAGATTTGTAAGGAAGTAGTAGGTGCGTCGCGGGTGTACTGCCTCAAGCTCTTTGCCCAGTGGACAGGGCGCTGAGGCAGACCAGCAGGTCCGCTTCATGTAGGAGGCGAGGCGGGATGAGATGATGGCGCAGGGGTTTGCAGATCTAGAATCGTATGGTTAGGCTCATCCGCTCAAGAAAATGGGGGAAAGAATGATCGCGGAGAGGAACATACTGTTGTACAGCCGTCAATGACTGCATGAGAACGGTCGCCAACTCCTTGATGAGATGAGGGCGATTGGCGGTCGACTGTAGCTGGACAACAACTGCTTCGACAATGTCGTCCTTAATGCTCTCGATATCGATCTTCTGGGCTGCGTCGGCATCTGGCATCTCCTCGCTAATGGCTCGGGGAGGCGAGGGCGGCGGTGTCGTCTCGATGACGGCAGTATCTGCGGCATGGGATTTCTTGATGCGCTTGTTGGGGTGCGCATCTGGAGATTCTGAGCGCGAGGAACTGGCCGCGGGTGTGGCGGACGCCGAAGTCGAGGCCCCGCGAGATGTGCTTTTGGACGAGGCAGCAGCGCGAGAGGCGTGCGTGACGGGGACGTGTATGCCCAGGCTGGGCAGGGACAACGATTTGCGGCGCGTGTTGTAAGGCATGGTGGTGCAGATATGGTAGATAGACGAGGATGACGATGACGAAGGTGATGATGTGTAAAGAAGGTTGCGTTGTATATGTATGTAATGTACTGATGTATGTAATGTATCAAGGACGATCTGGTGTAATTGGGCTGATAGGACGACGTAATCTGGATGGCGGTGGCAAAGAGGAGACGAGATCGACTACAGGCCGGCACGCATAGAACAGGCTGCAGACGAACAGACAAGGCTACGAGGAGGATATGAGGCTTTGTTTGTTTTTGCTGAAGAAGTTCGTCCCAAACATCCCGAGGGAGGGCAGAATTGTCTCGGCAGCAGGTCGGGGGGCGGTCTGCGGTTTCTACGAACGGATGGGAAGGGACTGATTGGAGGGGGGGAGGGAAGCCACGAGCCACCGAGCAAAGAGAGGCTCAGAGGGTAAGAGCTCAGGCGATTTTCCTGGCGTTGGCGGGCCAAGAGAAAAAAAAAAGAGGCAGCAAGCACGAGAGCTTGAACTTTTTTTTCTTTCCCCTTGGATCCCATTGGCCAGAGCCCCCGTCACGGCTGCCGAAGTGGAGCGCGCTAAACGTCAGTGCCCGCACGGACCACTCGCTGCTGCAGCCAAAGCCTCCATGGCAAGCAGGGCCCACAGCAGAAATGGCACAGAAATGGCACGGAAATGGCAAGAGCGATGCCTGTTACAGGCCCGTGCGGTGGGGTTGGCAAGAGCTGGTGGGGACGACGCCTGCCAGACACCGCGACGGCGGCCACTCTCTGGTTGGTCCGCAACTCGGCACTCAGGGACTATCACAGGGTGGGGTTTTTTCTTTTTTTCTTTTTTATTAACGCTTGCCATCTGATGGGGCCACTGCTAGTACCCAGTCGTTGTGTCTGGTGAGGTAAAAAAAAAACTTGAAGAGAATAGAGAAAAAAGTTTCCAGTTTTCAGGGTCGTGGGGACCACATCATGGCGATGGAGACGCGCACCAGTACTACTGTGTACTGGACTGGCTTCTAGAACGAAAAAGACGCGAATAAAACGGAGCTGCAGAGCCCGGCAAATTTCGGTATCCTGACACTGTTGCTGCGACACTGCAAAGTATCTTTTTCACTCAATTGGTGGTGGCTGGAGGAAAGCTTCCATTCGCGTCTTCCGCTGCACTGCAGCAAAGGCGGGGGAGGGGAAGAGAGAAAAAAAAAAAAAAGAGGCTGTGAAAAACAATTAGTGAGACAGTTGTTTTTGTGCGTGGGTGTGTAATTGTGTGCACACACTTGGAGAAAGGAAAAAAAATTCTCCAGTGCTACGTTGGGGTTTCGCTTGGCATGTGTCCCGACGCTTCTGGCAATCACGGAGTACGGAGTAATGCTCCGAATAGATTGCGACCTCACTTACATGAGCATTCCCTGCCGTCGATTCTGCTGCCACCGCTTCGCCACCCCTGCCACAGCGACATGGATCCCCCAAAACGCAGAGGCCAAGGGTCTTTTTCCAGCGGGGCGCGCTGCCAGTTAAAGCGCCCTAAGCGATTAAAGACCGCAGCGCGAGATTTGTGTCGTTTGACTCGCTGCCGCATTCATGTCATGTGTAAGTCGGGCCACAGCAGAGCAGAGCAGATGGAGCTCAATGCGACGGGCCCAGCCTTTGCCGAAATGAAGGGCTCGCAGTCTGCACTCGGACTAGCTGTGCAGTAGCTGTGCATGCTAATTGATGCTGGCGGTGACATGCCAGTGGCTAGGAAAGAGTGAGATTCAATGTTTACTTGGCTTTGGCTGCTGCAGGTAGATATTCAGACAAATACCTACACCGCCCTGCTTTGGCCCTTTTACCTAGAACTTACGCCAGCTGTACCTATGCCCAGATATTGTCTGTGCGTCGTCAATGCCTCGGCCCAATGCCGTAGTCAATGCTGCTAGCCGTCCTCATTCGTGCTAGATGTTTGTCCATTGAATGATCTGTACTTTGCGCTGGTGATATTTACTCCACTATCCATCTCTTGCGGCAGCCAGCACCGAAATTAACGTGTTGCGGTGTACGGCCGTTGTAGCTAGGCCACTTACAGCATACAACCCAAGGGACCACTTACACCGTCCAATGGCCGGCTGCAGGGTCTAAGTCTCGGTCTCAGTCTCAGTCTCAGTCTCAATCTCCAAGAGACATGTCGAGATTTACACGAGTCGTCGAGTCAATGTCTCACTTCGTCTCACAGTATTCCTTTTTGCCCTTCTTCCGTCTATCGTCTCGGTTACCAGTGTCTCTCACTTGCCAAGTCTAATTGCTCCCTTGACGGTATACTCGCGCTCGGTGCTCTCGCACCTGGGCCACCCGGTGATGATGCACTCGTTCTTCTCTTTGCCGTCGTCCAGCCCGGCCCATCGTAAGCCTTTGCCCATCCCCAATTTCCACCAGAGGTTCCAGTATCCCTGCTCGAATATGTTCATCCACAGCCGCACGACAGGCATGCGTAGCCAGACTGCATAGTACCTCCACCACCCGATGCTGTAGCCCACTATGACGGAGGGGTCCATGACTACTGGGGCGCCGCCTGTGACGTTGGTGATGGCCAACGGCAATAACGAGCATTCGGAAATGATGCATGCGGGCGGCTGTTGGAAGCGCAGCGTTGCCGCGTCCCAATTCGCCTTCTTGCTGCGGAGAGGCGGGTCGAGCAGCATGTCCCCATCGAGGACCACGAGGCCGTTCCAACAGGTGCCAACCTCCAACACTCGGTTCTCGCGTACAGCCTTCTTGTCCTCCTCTGCTGTGAAAAAGGGCCAGAAGCCACTTACGGGCCTTCCACAACGATCGCGAAGCACCCAAGTGTCATACACCGTCGCGCCGTCCATGTCGATGCTGCAGGCCATGCGTCTTTTGCCCGGCTTCGCGATCTGATGCGACATGGGATACTTGGCCTGCCGTCCGCCGACATCATCACCTCCTACTGCTGCAATTAGTTTGAGCACGTCGGTATGGTGGTAGACGACGTCGTTGAGGATGATGACATTCGCGAATCGCCTGTTTAATCGCTCCAGGGGCTCCAAGGCGCCGTTGCGAAGATTTGCCATGTAGCCCATTCTGTGCTCAATGCTGTGCCAGGGATTTTCCGGGGGGTACCCGCGCAGGTCTGTCGTTATGTTGACGCTGTGCGCTATATTGCGCCTCGTCAGCTCGCGGCCAAAGTGCAGCAGCTTGCTGGCCGTGTTGTCGTCGCTATCGTTTTCCGTCAACGAAACGTAAACGTTCGGCCGGCCGAGAACGTCGATGAGCTTGAGAGCCTGCGTGGTCCACGAGTCTAAGATGTCTTCGTTGTTCCAGAAGGAGGCGGCAATGAAGTAGCTCGCATTGCGTGCTTGATGCTCTTGTAACGTAGGGGAATAGGCCATAATGGACGCCGCCGTGGGGAATGGGGACGAGATGCCCGTTGTATAAACCCACATGCTGAAGAGCGCACCACTCAGCCAGAGCAGCGATTGCGCCGCTCCTCCACCTCTCTTAGCCCTGCCCGCTGTAGAAGGCCCATTGGACGGCAACAGGAAGCTGCCCTTTCTCTTCCGCCTCTTGGATGCGTAGGATGAAGAATGGTATGCCCGCCATGCCGCCAGGATCACCTTGACGGGTACGAAGACCAGCACGACGGCGAGGTACACGCTTAGAGGCCCAGAGTTGTGCGTGAAGATTATAGGGAAGAAGCGGAAATATAGCGCTGGGAGGGCTACCAGATAGGCCCCGGGATGGCTTTTGATGTGCTTGACGAGGAGCTTTAGACGGCTGGCGTGCCGAGGGCTGTAGCTTTTCGACGAGCGATTGCCATGGTCGTCGTGGCTGTCGTAACTGTCGTCTCCGCTGTGTCTGTCGGTTATGTCGTGGCTGCGATTGCGATTATGGGAGTCGAGGCCGATGCCAATATCCGTCATTGCTGGGTTTTGTGTGGTGTTGACATATTTGCTGGGAGAGGTAGGTCGGGTGGAGATGAGGATTACATAGTTCAAGGCAGCTGCTAGAGCTAGGCGCTTTCAGTTAGTGGAGTGGCTTGGTGTCATCTACCCTATACCAATGCGAGTGTTGGCCAAATTATTGATGGCTTTCCACTCTTCAAAAAACATAGATGCAATGATAAAATCTTAGAAACCGCCAGTGTGGCTGCAGCCAATATCGGGATGAATGCGAACAGATTTGGAAGGGCGATTCAGAACGAATGCTAACATGGCAACTACCGGTAGAGCTGTACTGTCGATATAGTAGAATTTTGGATGAGAATTGGAACTTGGATCTGCTTCTAATTGCGCCTATGATTTACTTTTTAAATCAACAAGATGACGGTAAATGAGAGCAGCTATATTCTTACACTGATTGGCTATAATGAAGAGAGCATACGATAAACTGGCTACCTATATAACAGCGAGACTAAGAAAGAGCAAGAGTCATAATGAAAACCAGTTGGTCAACCGTAAGCAGCAATTTTACCACGTACCAAGACTTACAGCTTAAGCCCAGATCGAGGAAAGAGAACAATTAGTGTTTTTTCCATACCTCAATTGGCGACTACTGTGCTATTCGGAGTACAGAGCATACACACATGGCCGGTACAGTAACACACTGACAACATCAAATTTCCCGGTGCGGAGTAGCTCCCGGCGCCGAGATTTTAGATCAAAACCGCCTATACCTGTCTGGACTATTTCACCAGACATCAACTTGTTTCGACAACCAGCGCTCCACATGGCTTATTCTAGCAAGGAACAGGAAGGGCGTAAAGTACATTTAGATGCAGCCTCGGTGACATTTCCCCGACATCTCATTCCGTCCCGACATCTCATTCCGATGTGTGGAAATTCCGATATGTGAAAGTAGTTCTTAAGAGTCATCCATTGATAAGTCATCATGTCTCGTTAGGCATTCCGTAAAGATTCCATATTTGGTAATGAAGCTATAGGGCCGTGAACGGAGAAGCAAAAAGTACTAATATCAAGATAGAGTCACATCAGTTGATGTATATAAACTACTTTGACAAACTTCCCCTCACTCTTCTCTCTTCCCCTCTCCATATCCAACCTTCACACTCAGTCAACCCTGGCCATTACCTTTCTGAATAACCTCACTTCTCACACTTTCAACATGGAACTTCCCTACGTAACCCTCGACGTCTTCACCCGCACCCGCTTCGCCGGCAACCCCCTCGCCGTCGTAACCATCCCTCCCTCCGGCCCCCCTCCAACCCAAGCCCAAAAGCAATCCATCGCCCGCGAATTCAACTTCTCCGAGACAATCTTCATCCACGACGTCGCTGACCCGGCCACAAACACCTCCCGCACCATCGACATCTTCCTCACCACCGCCGAGATCCCCTTTGCGGGCCACCCAACCATCGGCGGCGCCATCACGCTTCTTCCCCAGGGCGTCACCCAAATCGTCACAAAGGCCGGCCCCATCCCCGTCACGCCCACCGGCCCGGACTCCGTCTCCATCGGCATCCCGCACAACGTCCACCTGCACGCCGCCAGCCTCGCCTCCTATCCGGGCCTCGAGCCTGCGGTCCATCTGCAGCGCAATGAGGCCGTTCGCCAGCTGGAGCTTGCGGCGCCCGTCTTCAGCCTCGTCAAGGGCATGACCTTTGTGCCCATTGAGCTGCCGTCGCTGGAGCTGCTCGCCGCCGTCAATGTCAGCAGCATGGAGTTCAAGGCAGCCGATTTTCTCGACGCCGACTGGCAGCAAGGCTTTGTCGGCCGCTTCTACCATGTCATCACGGGCACCTCCACCACGGACGACGGCGTGCCGGTTATTCAGCTGCGCACTCGCATGATGGCCCATGACCTGGAGGATCCCGCCACAGGCTCGGCTTCGTGCTGTCTGGCGGCCTACATGAGCATCCATGGAGGGGACAAGCAGACAACGCAGAAGCGACGGTACGAATTCACCCAGGGCGTCGAGATGGGCAGGGAGAGCTTCATTGTGGTCGACGTCAGCCTCAAAGACGGGGCTCTTGATACAGTCACACTTGCTGGGTCGGCGGTCCAAGTCATGCGTGGACATGTTACCATTTAGTAGAGCCACTACTCTGATAAGAAAAAAATAACTTGCCCCGGCGTCATTTGTCTCACAAAAAGAAAAAAATCCATAACCATTCGCCTTTGTAATGTCCATCGTAGTCCTTGCTTCCCTCTTCATAAACTGTCATCTTGAACCCAAATGTTATCCGGCTAGGTTCCATGAACCCAGATGCTCCCAAATGCGCCACCCCTCTCGCGATGAAAAAAAGTATTTATCGTACATTAATACAGAGTATTACATTTATACCGTTCGCTCAAGTCGCCCCCCTTTGTGTATGCTCAACTGAGCAAAACTAGATCCGAACTTTTCTTTGACAGTTCACCCTTTTCCCTTTCCGTTCTATTCCCAGTGAAGAAGAAAAAAAAAAAAGACAATATAGAATAAAAAGAATAAGACAAGAAAAATTGAGTAAACCGAGTTCCTTGCTCCGACGCACCCAGATTTATGCGATTAGACTCATAGAGCCCCTCCCCACTATATCGTCGTAGCTTCGTGTCGAGTCCTTTCGATGTAAATTATACCCGTTGAAGAACAGAGGCGAACCGTTCAGCAACCTAATGTTTGATTAGCTTCTCTTGCAACTACTTTGACAAGGGGAAAAGCCGCAATCGAAACTCGGCATTACTTACCTCGGGGGTTGATCTGATAAAGGGGAGTTCAAAAAACATATTTCTCTCGTTCTTGCATATTTCTACAACTGTATAGATGAGTCCCCATGGCTGGGGCCAAAATCCCACCAGCCGCTCCAAGAGGATTCGCGTAATCTCTTGACGAATGTCTGTTTCTTCAGGATCGTTCATATCTTTCCCAAAGATGTGTTGCAAGAGTTGGCTAAAGAACTCAGTATGAGGATTGGGAAACCTTAACTGGTTCACCATGCTGGCTATCAAGTAATAACGGGCTTCCGGAGGTAGCTCGTGCACCAAAAGGGATAGCATGGCAACCTCTGGTTCGCTCCCTGAGATGGACAGTGAACCGCTCGCCGGGGGTGGCTGCTCAGTAGCATGGTGACCGGAATACAGCACAACTGCGCCGATGAGCTCAGCGTTCGCCGCGATAGCCACGTGGCCAAATGTGGTCTCGGTGGGTGCGTTGGACGTGATAGTGTGCACAATCTGTGCCACTGCTTCTTCCGCAGGGCCGCTTTGGAAAACCTGGTCCAGCACGCTCAACAGGCCAGCCTCCGTCAGAGTTGCAACTGCTTCATCAATGAGGCCAGGATATGTCTTCAACTCTTCCAGCCGATCAGCTTTGTTATTCTCGATAGGCTTGCCGTAGTTTTGCTGGGGGGTCGCGGTCAAAACCGTGTTGATCAGCTGAATACAATGCGTCGGTATCTTGGCGCAGAATCTGACGTGGTTGGCTGCCAAAAAGTCTGGGAAATCGTGATGCAGGACCACAAATAGTTTCACCGTACCTCTGGAGAGATCCTTGCCGGCGTCGCTGACGTTGAGTGCCTTCAGCTGCTCGCTCAAGCAGCTAAGCAGCTGGCAGACGAGGTCTGCGAAAGGCTTCCATCCTGCATTGTCCACCAACTGCAGCAAAATAGGCATAAAGGCCCGATGCTGGACAAGCAACAGCCATCCAAATACAAATCCAGGTAGATGCTGTGGGCCGATGCTCTCGAGTCTGGTAGCAACTCTCAGCATAACGTCGCGGCGGTCGTCATCCGGCAACTCTTCGCATACAGAGTAAATCTCGTGGAAAAGCATTGAAAAGAGGCGGAAGAAGACTCTTTGATTCAGGTGCTCCCCTCGCTTCACATGATGGTGGTTGAGTATCAAGGAGACCAATACCAAAACCGAGTCTAAAAAGGCGGCGCGGGACACGAGTGTCGCAGAGTGTACAGCGGAGAAGATGCCGATGAACTTTGCCAGCGAGTCTGTTGCGACGTATGCATCGCCAATAGCTCCAGTGTGTAGAATGTGTTCATATCGCTCGACTGAGATATCAATACCGATACGCACAAATAATAAAAAGTCCTCGCGATTGCGAATGACATGCCTTGCCTGTAGCTGCTGGATAAAGATGGTCGTGGCTTTGCTTGAGGCATTGTGATTATTGCATAGATGTACCCACTCTTCGAAGACGTACTCTAGTTGGTCTTGTTGAATGGACTGTTCCTCGGCATTAGATGGGCCTTGAGGAGGCTGAGCAGGAACCGAGCCCATCAGCTTGGTCTTGAGTCGCTGGCCAGTGGTAGAGTTGGGGTCTTCACATATCCATGTCCAGGCTGACTCGAGAGTGCGTACAAAGTCAGTATACAACGCAATCGGCCGGTTGTTGAGAATTGTAAGGTCGAGCATATGTTCGAGGAACTCTAGCGAACTGTCCTTGCGAGCTTCAAGAACCTTTGACATTGCGAGATCAATGTTTCTCCAGTCGAGCAAATCGGTCCGGATCAGCGCTGCAAGCAGAGGAAGACTCAAGAAGTTTGGCCCAGGTTGTTGGGCAAACAGAGAACGAACTCGACTGTTCAAAGCAGGGCCAGAAATTTTCCTCAGTGTCTCTAGTACGTGCACCAGACTCTCAAGCGTCAAGTTGTCCTCAACCTGCTGGAAGATGAGGGCACTGATTTGCTCGGCGGCATAAATGGCAAACTCTTCCGAGTTTTGGGACGTCTTAATGATGAGCTGTACAAGAGCATCGACGACATCAAGAACAGGATGAGGTCGGGGCAGGCCGACGAAGTGGTCCTCTTGAGCTTCTCTAGCCACGCGCAGTAACTCCTGTAGCAGCTTGTTGACCCGGTCTGCCAGACCTCGAACATCCATTTGAAACCCGGCAGCTCGTCCGTTGCCCATCGCGTTGGCTGCGGCAAGGTTATGAACAGGGGCATATGGCTGGAGCTGCGCACCCAGCTGTTGGATTGAAGGTGTCTCGGCGGGCGTGGGAATGTTCGGCAGGGTACTGTAGGTATCTTGCAGGACCTCATTTGCCAGCGATCTTGTAGCTTCTGATGCAGATGGCGCATGAGATGCTACTGTAGAAGAGGTAGTGCGAGGCTGTCTCGCAAAGTCTTCGTAAATCGCCATCTGTTCGGCATTCAGACCACCAGGTCTCGGTTGGATCTTGTAAGGGCTTGGGATAGTCATGGCCCATCGGTTGATTCCTGTTAGATGGTAGGGCTCATTTGGCTGCTGGATACGGTGCCGCCTTCTGTGCTCCAGGTCACTCTCCAGCATCTCTTCAATCTCCGGCACTGCTCGCTCTTCAGCCTGCTTCTCAATGATGCTGCAAGCTAGGTCGAGATTGGAGTTGACACACATGATAATGGTGCCCTCAGGGAGACCCGACGGCAGATCGTTGGCAAGGCTCCTCATGTAGTTGGTCAAATTTGCTCGTAGAGGTTCCTTAGACGTAACGAGAGCTAGGCTGCCGGCAGTAGCCTTCACCATGTTGATAGCGGAAGTTCGTACGCGGTTTTCATCCGGTTCGGCAATGAAATCTTTCCGAATCATCTGCTGGGTTGATATCGCAGCAATAGTGACGGATCTATCGACGACTGGTTGTATAATATCCTGAAGAGCACGAGTGAGAGCTGATCGAACGATTTCGTGCAGCCTGCTGGTGCTGACAACCATCTCGTTGGTAGGAGGAATCGTAATGAGAGGTCCAAGCTCTGGAATGGTTGGAACTTGAGGGGATAAGCCAGGTCCGACCACCGATCCGATCCCGTTCAGCGACAAGCTCTCAAAGGCCTCGAGTTGCTCTTGAGCAAGAATACTATCCGGCTCGTCTGCAGCAGGTCGGTTGAGAATCTCTCCAGACGGCTCAATGCTCTTGTGGTCCAGGTTTAAGCCCTTGCATAGAACCTCAATCTCAAATTTCAGATTAAGCTTCAGTTCTGCATGGTGATATAGTTCTATCAATAAGTGAATGATGTCCATCAGCCAGGGGTTGGGAGGTCTGAAAACTGCTGAGTTTGCGCTTTGGGTCAAAACTTTGCAGACAAACGGGATGACGACAATGAGGCGTTTGGTGTCATGCGCTTCAATAAGAAGCTGTTTAAAAGCAATGTTTCTGTGCTTAATCGGATAATCCCTGGCAAGAGTTAATAGACCAAGCCACCCTCCAAGATTTTTGAGATGTGATCTCTCCGTGGAATTCTGCAAAGTCGCCTCAGAGTTTAGCATCCTAGATACACTGATAAACGTCTCGCGGAGAACCTCGGCCCAGAGAATTTTGTCTTCAAACTGTTTGACGAGTTCCAGGTACACATGATGATAATTGGGTTGCATTTTTGCTCGTTCCTCAACGAGCTGGCTAGCAAACCATTGCTGATACCTTCGTTCGAGCATATCACGAAGCTCGGTGAACATCGACTGCAGGGTATCTTTGGTGATGTTGTTGAGGACGAATAGGATCTTGCCCTGGGTCTCATCATCTGGATCCTCGAATTCGAGTTCGGCAGAGGGTGGATCAACACTGATGGCTGCGAACGCGGGTGCCGGACGATCAATGCTAGCTTGTTCATCGCCAGTCCCGTTCGCAAAAGAATCGATGGGGAATCCCACCCCATGGGGAGTGCCTGATCCATTGCGAGCACGTACAAGCTCCTCTTCGTGGTCTCGGACAATCTCCTCTGCCTTTTTGAACGCTTCGGTTCCCTGGAGACCAGGAATTTGAAGTAGCTGTTTACAGAACCCTGGCCATTCCCGAAGGCGCACTAAGAGCTGCATCAAAGCCTGAAGACCAAATTTGAACATTGGGTCATCAGGCATGTGATCTCTTACAGCCTCTAGAATCATTCCAAGACCAATCTTCAGGGGAAGATCAGATATTAGCTTGTGAGAAATGATTCCTCCAAAAAGAACCGCGGTTGTGGCAAGAGCTTCAAGGGGATAGTCGACATAATGATTGTACTCGTCGAATAGGCCATGAATCATGCAGGCAAATACATCCTGGTCGAGCTGGTCCCGCGAATGCTTGTAGCGATCCAATATCTCCACGATTGTGCGGACTTGGATCTCATCGCCATACATCTTTTTATAATGCTCTTCCATCTTACTGTTGGCTGCTTGCGGTAGAGCATTTCCGTCTTTTCCATTGGCATCGATAATGTCATCGTACCCCTCTCCATAGTTGATCAAGCGAGGGTACGCGGTAATGCAGTGACGCTGGACGAGAATGAGATCGAGAACTGGTGCTTTGGGTAAGAAGTCCTCGAGTATCTGCAACAATGCCGAAACAGTTCGCACCTGGAGACTGGTACTGGTTTTCACAGGTGGCTGGCCATCTGGCGGTCGCTGGAACTGGATCTCTAGGTTTGCCTTGATCATGAGGAACTGCAACAAAGTTCGAGCAATCTCATTGCTTCTCTCAGCATTGAACTGGGCCCATTTTGACAAGTCCAAGTAACCTTCCGCGTGAGCAAAGGCTGCAAGATCAATGCCGAATCCGTTTGGAAGATACACTAGCTCTTCCAGCCAGTTATGCTTGGCTGCATGGTCGAAAATGAGTGGAAGATCTACAGGCTTGACCGCATGCGCGTCAATAAGTCGCTGCACAACCCATTCCTTGTCCTTCTTCCAAAGGCTATCGAGCACAAAGTCGTACTCCGGTGAGCGCTTGTATAGAAAGGTTTCGAACAGAGAGTTCAGAGTATCAATGGCCATGACTGCCCATGACTGCCTAGGAACCTCAAAAGCGGAGACTAAGAAGATGTCAAGGTTCGGGACGACTACCTCTTGGAATAGTCGCTTGGCTTCGACACTCTGGGATGCGTGGACTGAGTTGAGAGCAACGTTGAATATCGCCGACAGTGCCGCTACGGATACAAGTGGATGCTTGACGACAACAGCGGCACGTTCCTGCACATTGGGAGGCGAATTTGCATAGTCTTCAATCTTGATGCTCCGTTCGAGACCGGGAATTGTGGTAGCATCGAGTTGATCAGGGCCCAGGGACGCGTAGGCGCTGACGAAAGACAGTTGTGCCTCCGGTTCGCTCCAAGAGCCACCCCACAGCCGCTGAATATCGAAGTTATTCGCTGGCTCCTCGGCAATAGGTAAAAGAGCCCTGTAAAGCCGTAGGAACTGAGCAGAAGAGATACGCGCCGAGGGCTGATCAAAACAAAGGACCACTTCGGTCCAGTCGAAAGATTTGGGCACAATACGGAGGAGCGCGCTGATGAGAACAACGGGATCATGCGAGGGAGTTTGGCTGACTGTAGCATATGTCAGTGCCGCAGAAACCTGCTCAGGGCCGAGCTGGATGTTAGCCGGACGGCCCCGCAGGATCTGAAAGCACGATTCCTCATCCCGTGTAGAGTCCGGCCCAGACTTTTGAATGTAGCGAGCCAAGGAATTGGCAGGCCGATCAGCCAGAACTCTGCTGATATCGAGGGCTGCCAACACTTCGGAAGGGGGCGCTTGGTCCACAGACAAATAGCGCTTGGCAACCGAATTTTGGAGGTCTCGGCGAGAAGCTGCATTGAAGCTCGGAGGATAGTATTGCAAAAATCTGTCAATGATGAGTGATACAAAGGCGGGGGTGAGGTCAGAGTGGGCTTCAATATCCGGTCGAGAGATGATGTCCATGAAGGTCGGGAAGTTGGTGGACAGGATGGCATCCGCTAGAAAAGAGCCCGGTCGTTAGCGGTGAATCCAAGAAGGAAAATTTATGGGAAAGTGCAATCTTTGTCTCACCTTTCGTTTTCAAGTCAGGGCGAGACCCAAGCTTGAATGCCAAAGCTAACAAGGTCTTTTCCAAGGCATCGAGCTTGAAGTGCTCCATAAATGTTGACAGGTCGAAATCGCGGAATATGTCCTCCGTGCCACTTTCCACCGACTCTGCGATTTTTGTGGCCTGATCGACATCGTGTGCAATCTTGCGCATCTCACCAACGAGGATGTGGTAGTTGCCAGGGTTGGCGACGGGTCTGTTGAGGCCCGGGAATATCTGGGGTGCATTGCCCGCCACCAACCGGGTGAAGTATTTAGAAAAGACCTCCATGCCGTGTTCATCGATGAGCTATAGTTGGCCAGCGGGGTTAGAACCATCCGGGAATTTGGAGCCAAGGAAGGGCTTACCTTTCGTAATTGCTCGACTTGCAGCTCCCACTTGGCACGATCCTTATCCTCCTTAATGGTACTGAGCAAGAGATAGACTTGGGCGACGACAATTTTCGTCAGGGAGTTGGCCCCCGTTGGACTGCTTGTGCTGGGGCTCGCGCCAGCACTGAGGATACCAGTATGCGATGGATGGGGTGAGTGGTTACTGCCAGTTTGAAGAGTCTGCGCAGGATTTGGTGAGAATGATCCCGCTCTTTGTGGAGGGGGGACCATGGAGGGATATTCGCGGCGGTCGAGAGTGGATGAGGTGTTGTCTGCCAACGGGCCAAGGCAGACCGGTGGATTAAGGACAGGAGGAGATTAGGGTTAAAACGAGGTAACGGCTAGGTATCAGAAGGTAGAACCGAGAGGCGCTCCTACATGGAGGGGCAGAGGCGTTGAGATGATTGCTGGTCGAAGTTTGGGGAGAAGAGGTGGAAGAAGAGGAAGCTTCTTTCGAGCCAAGGCGCTGGTAGCGAAGCTTGACTGTGCGGGACGTCGAGCCAAAGTGGGTTCGCGTGAAAGATCCTCGTGGCAGTAATACCAAGACGCCGAATTGGCAGATGGCGCAGGGAATTGAGCGACTTCTGGGAAGGCGATAAGCAGCAGTCAGGTAGCAGCCGAGAGGGTGGTCCACCAAGTGCGTCGAGGTACGTTTGAGCGTCTGAGGGTCTCGTTCGAAGGCTTGGGTGCAGGATGGGGTGGAAGAGGCTCCGGACAGTACCGCAAAAAGAAGCGTAGACGAGGGCGGCGATTTGTTCCGCCTTTGTCGAGGCAGGGTGGCAGCCCGCGCTGCCTTGGCCAGCCATTAGGTTCGCTGCGGAGGCTCACGTGATGCAGCCGCGCCGGGCTGGGCTGTTTCCTGGCCAACGCTTCAGCCACTCTAAACAACGCCACTGTCCTGGCTTGGCGGTGCGGCGGCTATCCATCTGGACGGGCTCTTATGCACCATACCCGCATCCTCTGCATCTTGCAACCACCCGTGACATTTCGAGCAGCTGCGCGTTGATATATGCGACAGAGGCCATCCGAGCTCCCTCGACACATTTCCGATCGCTTTTTTGGATTTTACGATAAAATTGGCACATACAGTCGACCCCTCACTTCGACCGGGCACCATGCCTGCCGCAATCGCAGACGCTCCGGCGGTAGCAATGTCTTGTCAGTACCATGCGCCGCGAACCCGCGCCCAGATAGAGCAGACGATGCTGACAGTAATATCGATGCAGTTGCCAACAATTTTTGGGGCAAAGACGATGCTGGCGTCGGCCCCCTTCTCGACCGCATGGTCAACTCAAAGCAGACTTGCGACGAACTCAAAAGCTTCTATGGCGGTGAGGATGCCTGCCCCAAGATGATGAACTGGTGTCCGATGCCGACCAAATACTAACTTGCGACATCTACAGCACGAGCTTCGATCGAAGATGAGTATGCCCGAAAGCTGTTGAATCTGAGCAAGAAAACCATAGGCACTCATGAAACCGGGACACTCAAAGCTTCTATGGAAACGGTCCGCAGCGAACTCGAGGCCATGTCCAAGCAGCATCAAAGCATTGCCGCGCAAATGAAGACAGAGCTCGAAGAACCGCTGGCCGCCTTCTCAGGAGGCATCAAAGAACGACGCAAGATTGTTCAGGGCACTGTGGAGAAGCTGCTCAAGATCAAGGTTCAACAAACAAATCAAGTAAACAAAGTAAGGGGCACACGCGAGATGCTACTAAATGTTCCTCGGCTGACGTAACTAGACTCGGGACAAATACGAACAAGAATGCTTGAAAATTAAGGGTTATCTCGCACAAGGCCACATGGTGATGGGTCAAGAAGAGCGTCGAAACAAAGCCAAGCTGGAGAAGACTCAAATCAGCCTCGCGACTTCGAACACGGAATACGAGAATGCAGTCAAGGTATTGGAGGACACCACAGTCCGATGGAACAGAGAGTGGAAGGCCGCTGCCGACAAATTTCAGGACCTTGAGGAAGAAAGACTCGATTTTACCAAGAACAGCCTCTGGACGTATGCCAACATCGCGTCGACAGTTTGCGTTAGCGACGATGCTGCTTGCGAGAAGATTCGCCTCTCTTTAGAGAACATGGACGTGGGGACTGACATCATCACTTTCATAAACGAACGTGGTACTGGCCAAGAGATCCCCGAGGCCCCCAAGTACATCAACTTCGTCCGCGGCGATGTCCATGATACCAACTCTGAAGCTTCTGAAGACGAAAACAACTATACCGTGGCGCAATTTCCCCGGAGTATCAATCCGGCTTTCCGCTCGTCTTCGCCGCAGCCTTCTACGTTTGAATCGCATCACGATCCCAATTCCGCGCTGGCGAACGATTTGGCCCACAGACCTCCGGTCAAGCCAACTGGCCGCGAGGGTGCGGCAACTCCTCAAAAGAGCCCTCAGAAGATGCTGCCAGCTGCACGCGCATCTTCGGAGGATCAATTCCGCAAGCCGCAACCACCAGGCATGGAAGATCGCCAATATCGGGCGCTTCCGCCACCGGGAGAAGATCAATATCGCCGCCAGCAGCCTGGCCCAGACGACCAACTTCGCCGACAGTTACCTCCACCTGACGAGCAACAACAGCCGCCGCAACAGCAGCAGCAACAATATGGGAGACAGCCACCACCGGCTGCTGATCAGTATCGCAGGCAACCACCTGCGGCCGAAGACCAGTATCGTAGGCAGCCACCGGCTACAGACGACCAGTTCCGCAGGTCGCAAACAAGCTCAAACCCTCCATCACCGTATGATAATCTTCGGCAAGGTCCTAAAGGAACAAATCCCCATGACCCATATCCAAAGGACGGCATGACGATGCTGTGCCGCCCTGGCCCTCCGTCAGCTAGCAGCTCCCAGATCCAATCGGCCAGACCGTCGAGCCGAGACTCTCGCAGTGAATATTCCGATCCTACGTCGGCTTCCAGCCAGGAACATCAAAGCGGCAAAATATCCCCTGTTAAGCAAGACCCTCCGCTGTCATCGCCGCTCTCGTCAAGCCCTGATAAGCAAGCCCTCAAGAAACGAAGTGGATTCTTTCAAAACCACAGCCCCTTTAGACGCAAGAGCACCAAGGATCTGCAAGCTGCTGCCGCCGCTGGTGGTGCACCTAGCAACAGAAACACTTGGCACCCGTCTCAATCCCAGGGATCGACAAGCCCTGTCCGCCGACCGCAGCCCTACGGAAACAGCGAGCCGCAGACTAGGAATCTGCTGAAAGAACGGACTGCTAGCCCAGAGCCAATTGATGCTAATGCAAGCTTGGCTCTTGGTGTGGGACAGAACGTGCTCCCTGTTACGACCCCTGACACCAGCCGACAGAAACCACAACCGGTGCCCCAGAAGGCTGAGCCGGCGGATCCCATTGCAGCGGCCTTGGCCGAGCTCAAGAATGTCAATGTAGGCAAGCAAGCTTCGGTGAGAATGTCGGCCGACCACTACCATGGCATCTCTACTCCTGTTCCAAACACAGAGGCAGCGATGACAAGAGCATTCCCGGCTCCCGGCAGCCATGATGCAGCTGCCGCCACGCGCGGCACGCCTCCGCCTTCGTACCAGGCTCAAACCCAGGTGACGAGGCTGGGAGTGCCGCCTCCAGCCGTCACATCCAAGGCTATGAAGCAAGCTTCCCAAAAGGTGGCGAACCAGACACGAAGTGTTTACGGCGATGACGGTCGTAGAGGGTCTGCGAGCAACGCTCCCTCTCCTATCTCACGACCTGGTACGCGAGGTAACGATCGCTCGGCCTCTCCAGCTACTGCTCGTGGCGCATCCCCCCAGCCTCACCGGCAAATGAGCAATGATCCTCGGCACTCGGCGTCTCCAAACCCTTATCATCAGCGGAACAATTCTTCAACCAGTTTGAACCGTCCTCCAGATCAAGGATACTACCGCGGAGCGTCTCCCCACGGGTCCACTAGGGGCTCGACCAGGGGGGCTTCGCCAAATCCGTATAGAGGGGACTATAACAACTATTCTCAGAGCCGTCCGGGAAGTAGCTATAGCGGTTCTGAAATGGCGATGCAATTAGCTTCTCCCGGTGGCGGCGATGATCGTTATGGCTCTACCAGAAGCCGGGCCTCTAGTCGGCCAGGGTCGCGAGCCATGGGCCTTTATGATGGAGGCCACCAGCGCAGCAAAAGCGTGGCCGACCCGTCTAGACAATATTCACGAGATGGACGACCAGTTATACATATGGGTAAGTGATTTCTCACGCTTTTCTAATATGTGCCCATGAATCTCTACCGTCGGGTTGGCTAACATATGTGATAGCGCGCGCGGTGTACATGTATCAAGCTGCTATCCCTGAGGAACTCGGTTTTGCTAAAGGCGACTACCTTGCTGTCTATCGTCACCAAGATGATGGATGGTGGGAAGCAGAAGTCCACAACGGAAATGGCCAAATTGGGCTGGTCCCAAGCAACTACCTCCAGCCTTGTTAAATAGGCAACGATTAACGAGCTATTACTGGTGATGGTGCTTTTCTTCTTCTTCTTTCATTCCTATTCCCCTTCGCTTCAACCCCCCTTATTTTTTTGAATGTTAAACACGACGAATCTGTTTATGGCTGGTTTGAATGTATATGATCTTGATGATGGTTTTTTTGCGGTTTTGCAAGGACACTCAAACTTAATTGTTTATGCTTGGTTTCATTCGATTATAGTGGTGCGATTCTTATATGGGTGCTCTTTGTTAATAAAACCTGTCCTTTCCTTTCTGCTCACTCTTTCTTCAGATGCGTGAGTCTGTGTATGCCCCCTAGGTACTGTTTCTTCTTTGGGAAATCTTAGTCTGTATGTAGCCTGCTGTAAACTTGGCATTGCTGTGATGCCAAGTCCAGCGCTTAATTGATATGGCAGGCCTGCCAAATGTGGTAATTAGCTGAAACTACACGCGTACATAGTACACCTGTCCCTATGGAACCTTAGGATTTACTGCGCAGGCTGTAGCCACGCTAGCGTCAGGAGAAAGTAGCTTTCCAGTACCTTTTGCTGCCGCCGCCATCGGCTAAGACGTCATGTTGATCACATGCTCTGAAGCTCATCTCAATACCTAAATCAACAACGCAGGTCCCAAACTTCGAATTGCAAGTGCGTCGCCGTGTTCGCACATCTTCCTCGACGTTTCATACGCCTTGCAATTTTTTTTGTCTCCTAATTGGAAGGACACCACAAAAGTCTATGGGATGATCTAAACCTGCTCGACTTTTCTGCCATGGTAATCGCTATCTGCTTCGCTATTTGGTCTGCATCTTGAAGCTCCTTGAGCTGACGCTAGTCATGTACGCCAGGAAACATTCCAGGAGACTGCGCGCGTTATCACCTCGAAGCCCGTCCAGAGGGCCGCTGTCAATCTCGCGCTGCTCGTTTCTGGAGCGGTGACACTGCTTGGTCTGGCTGCGATTGCCTCTGTGCTATTCTTCCAGAATTTTGTTCCTGATCAGTTTGTCACTACGCCAGTTCATCTGCAATATGGGTGCGTGTAGTTGTAATTGCGATGATATAGCGACGACGGGCGCATCGTTTGCTGATTATTTGCCTGTGTAGGACGGGTCTCAATCCATATGGCCTTACGGCGCTGACCGTGCCACTGCTGAAGCCGCAGCAAGACTACGACATCTCCGTTACCCTTTCAATGCCGCGATCGCCTCCCAATGTCGAGCGAGGGAACTTTATGGTCAGCCTATATCTACTGGGCTCCCAGAATGGCTACGCATTAGCTGAAGATGCGCGAAAGTTTGCCAACCGTGAACCGAGTTTCGAGCAGAACGATGTGCTTTTCCACTCACGAAGGCCGGCCTTGCTCCCTTATATTGACCCCGTGGTGTCTTTGGCATCGCGTGTTCTGTTCTTACTCTACCACTTGATATTCCCAACGGCGCAAAATTGCACGATGAAAATACCAGTAGCCGAGCGAGTCGCTTTCCCAACAGACTCTTCTATTCCCTTGTCGGCGTATGTGGAAATCGAGGCAGGGCAGGACATTCAGATTTACAGCGCTTCACTTACGATGACGGCGCAGCTTAGCGGCCTCCGATGGCTCATGTTTCACTACCGCCTTTTGACCTTTTCCATGTTTACGACGGTTTTCTGGGTCTGCGAACTTGCCTTTATGAGCGTTGCTTGGGCCATCTTTGGCTCTTTAATGGGATCTTCGCCTAACAAGCTGGAATACAAGACTCGAAAAAGCCAGCGCCGGCCGACAACAGAAGAAGCGACAGATCCGGAAGACTCTGAGGGGAATGAGGAGAATGATGGTGGATCAGACCATCCGCACCAATTCCCTACTTACGGAAAGCAGCCTGCGTTGAAGCACGAACCAGACATCAAAGACGAGGAAGAGCATAAACAGCCTCTTCATGAGATACCTGTTGCCGGCGAAGAAGCTGATGACGAAGAAGATGTTGAATCGCCTCGAGATTCGGGTATAGGTACCAGCTACAGTGGGGAAGGGAGCAGCAGTGTTCGCAGGAGAAAATCGCAATCGCGCTTGGAGCAGTAGACTGATCTTTTAGTTGAGAGGTATTGCAAATCCATAGGATACCCCAATGGCAATTTATCAAATGGTGTTAGCGGTAGAAGCGTTTTCTCAGGTTATCAATTGATTTGCAATAGTAGTCGTATGAAGATGACCCTGTAGTAGCACCCACTTAGATGAATCTTCTAGACTAGTTGTTGGGTATTACTGTTGCTAACTGCTATTCTCTTGAAACGTCTTCATCGCCGTCTAGGTTGATAAAGCTGCCAGGGCTACTAGTTACCTTACTTTGAATCAATAAGCGCCAGAGTAGGGCCTCATTTGGGCTCAGGGCTCAAATTCATTGGGTAAACCATATGCCACCCTTCTATCCCCCAAGGCCCTGAGACCCTAGACCGGTAGGCGCTATTGCTGCAGCGCCGCCAAGCTGCATGATCCAACGGCTGCCAGCCAGAGGGAACAGCTGTCCTGGCGGCAAATGCTAATAATCCTTGCCGGCACGGCTGGATTAGGGCACAGCCAAAGCACAGATGCAAGTCAGTGCCAGCGCATGCGCTCCATTCTTGCGGTGAAAACCAGCTGGCTTGTGGCATTCATGCATGAGGCGGCCGTGACAGCACCGCAGCTGGCGCCCAAGCACTCTAGAACAGCGGGCTGGAATTTGTACCCAGTAGGTCCCGATCGGACTAAGAGATGATCCGCTGATGCGGGCGGGATTGGACCCCCCCAAATAGCCCCCCCTTCCACCATTCACTGACGAGCCGTCCTCGGGTGCTTATTCGCAGCAGCAAGTCATGGCCGTGCTTCTTTTGAGATTATTTTGGTGAACGCAAAGTCAACTCATCGCCTGTGTCTTTTTGGTCGTCCCCCATTCTTGCTTCCGTTGCGCAGGACTCGCCCTCCCCCTACGCTTTCTGCTCGTCACATGGATGGCTAGCTGGTGAATCGGAGCTTCTATCGCCAAGCTTAATCAGTTTCCCCCCACCGCCCTCTCTTGGTCAAACAGTCGACGCCTCCCTCGTCTCCCAACGCCCACCAGCTCTTAAACAGCCCAAATCTCCCAAAATCCCATACTCGAGCGACAATTTCCCTCTCGCAACACGCCTCGTTTCCGTTACGATGCCCTGCTTCAAGGGTATTGCGGTTAGCATCCATGCCAACTCCGCTCCGCTACCCGAGTACGGCATACAGAAGCAGTCGAGGCTGTCTCGCATTAGCACATACATTCCCGTGCCGCAGCCAACCCTCAACCCAGGCAACAAGCCGGAGCCCGCCAAGTTTGCCATCTCGATCACGCTGCTAACTCCCGGCCTCCCCATCCCGTACTCGGCCCCAAAGCCGTCCGAGGCGAACCCGTACCCGAAGCCACAATTCGTTGGAGGTCTCCACCCTGGCCCCCAGAATGAACGAGGCAAGCCTGGAGCTGTGGCTCCCTACGTGCCCTTGACGAACTCTGAAAACGAAACGATTGCCGCCTACATTTATTTCGATGGGAGGGGCAAGGAGGAGGTGGCTACTTTGCTGCGCCCAGGCGAGGAGACTTGGGTCAATAGTCGCTGGGTCCAAGTCCCTGATGCTGAAGGCGGCGGCTTGGCCGAGCGTGAATTCCTCTTCCGCGAGGTTGGTCTCGAGCGCTGGCTTAACGGCTTGGATCTCAAGGGCCACGATGCTGCAGAAAAGCTTGAGAGGCGGCGTCAGAAATTTGAAAGACGGAGGCGGCGACAGGCAGCGACCTTGGAAGGCAACTCCAGCGTGGATTCAGATGCACGAAAGGGCACTCTGCGATATGGCGACGAATCCTCGCCAATCGAGCCCGTGTATGACGACTCCGATTCTTGGTCTGACGACGACGACGAACCTCCGGAGGCAACAGGCCAGATCAAGGTAGCCATGTTCCGCGTTCTAGCGTCTGGAGAAATTAAAAAGGGAGAGTACTCTCCTCAGTTTGATGCGCACGATGGAGATGACGAATATGAGAATGGCAACGGGATCGACGCAGATGTTGAGCACACTACGAGTTTCGCTAAACCCAAGACGCTCGATCCCAAGACCATCAGCACCCAGACAGTTACTGGAATTGACGGTCCAGACAAGCCTTATGCTACTTTTACATTCTTTTACCGTGGTGAAAGTGAGTTCGATCACCTACTTATATGCGCTCTTCTTTTTCTCAACATCTCTGGCTAATACCGAAATAGGACAACTGCAAAAGATTGGCGTCCTTCAGTCGGCCAAGAACTCACAGACAACAGCTCTCGCGGCCAAACGACGCTCAGGTCAGATCGACTTTTCTAACCTAGGACCTCTCAAGGCCGGTGGCACCGTCGGATTTTCTGCGTTCCGAGATCAGGAAGCCGAAGAGGCACGACGACGAAAGGCCAGGAAGAAGAGCAACGGCAATGTTGCTGATGACAGCGACGATGACGATGACGAAAATGAACTCATTGGCAAGATGGAGGAAGTAGCCGACAAGGAAACTAGCTCCAACAAGCTAGCTCCAGAAGATGCCAAATTCCAAGGCGAGTTAGCAGATGGCGTTAACCGTATACACGTACGATTCAATTTGACCCTTTCCGAAACCCTATGGAGCTCAGGCGCTAACATCAATTCTCATATAGCTTAAGAGGGCACACTCGGCCGAACCAGACGCAAATTCCACCCCAGAAACATCGCAACGAACCGATTCACCGGCCGATCCAGGATTGCTGGGCGGATCAGCACCAAGTGCAAGCTCAAGCCTGCAGGCCAACTTCGACTCTCTCGCTGCAGCAATGGCTGGCAGCCCTCTCAAAAAAGCACGGCCAAGCGTTGATCAAACCAATATCGGAGATAGATTGTCGACTACTCAAAGCTTGAGTTCAGCTCTGGGAACAGTTACTTCAAGCGGTGCCGAGTCTCCCACCAAAGAATCGCCAGCTTTGGTGAAGCCCGAAATAAAAATAGAAGAAGAGGAAGAGCTATAGTAAGAGCGATACGTGTGCTAAAGCATGACGCTATAACTTGGCGAATTTGATGACCTCAAATTTATACATGTTAATACCTTGCTTATTGGAATGATCAAACGAAAGCATGCAGAGCGAGCCAAAGTTAGCAGAGAGAATTCTGGACCGGTCACTAACGACTACACTTTACGGGAATGGGCCATGATGTACGAACGATTTGCAGAGTGTGGATTGAAACCAAATTTTTTTTTACCCTTTTTTTATATTCATTCTCACTTTTTCTTTTCACTGGATTTGGTAAAATGGAGAGCCGGAATAAATGCGGATGGGAACAAATAGGGGCGCCTGGGAACTCTGAGATGCTGCTCTCGACTTCCATTGCAGCGCTTGAAAGGAGCACTTCTACAGGCTGCCGGCTGGAGATGGGCTATATGGACTGGTTTGCATTCTCTAACTATAGATGATGGCGATAACTTCCGAGCTGTCCTGCTCATCCACCACTTTTTGGTATGCTATAGTTTTTACGGCATGCTGAAAGGGTTGGCTATATACGGGAACTGAAAAAAAAAAAAACTTGTTAAACATGCATCAGGAATCGAGTTTTTGTCGTGCTGAGCGGATGTTGCTTATAAAACGACTGAGGAGTCGTTCCTTTAGAGTATACGCAAGGAATATGAACGCAATGACTAAAGCATATTTTCTATGATATTGCTTGAATTTCATTTTCGTGGTCAAGTAACTCTGGTTTTTTTGCATTAGATCTTACCAAGTAGAAAGATTGCATGTTTCCAAGATTGACGTAAGATGGGAGTATCATATTACTAGGTACTATGCTTATCGGCCTATGCCAACCGAATAGTCATGCAAACGCAACGTTGGGCCTGTGGAGTTTACCGCATTGGTTCGCAGGAATTAGGTATTCGAAGGATCCGTTGACGTAAGATGGGGTACTATAGCCGCTGCCTACTCCAAGTACTACATGGTTGTATAAGTACAGCATTAAGCCTATAGATTGTACTGTGATAGCTTTGCCTTTTTATTTTATATCTACAAGAAAGGGATTACCGAAGTACGGCTATTTACGTGATCTAGTTATTTTAGACACTCAGTCATGGGTCGACCGTGGCGCATCATTCCGACCCTCTGCCTCGCTGCGAGCGTCGTGTCAGTGAGGGGTCAAGGAAATGCAGCAAATGCCCAGGATGAGCAGAAGCCAATTGCATCTTCAGAACACACTGCGAGTGAAAACCCGCTGACTCCTGAGTTTTCGGAGTTTGTTATTGAGAGGTTGGATAAATGGAAGGTCCCTGGCGTTGCGGTAGCTGTGATTGACGGGGACGAAGTCTACGCCGAGGTAAATACTACCGTCGAATAGCTGGATACGCATGTCAAATTTTGAGTGTCTGATGCTGCTTCTGTAGGGCTATGGATATGCGACGCTGCCCGATGTTCCGGCTACTCCAGAAACTCTGTGGTATGGCGCCTCGACAACCAAGGCGCAAGTGGCTGCGGTCCTATCCGCTTTGATTCATTCTGGCAACTATTCAGCTTTGTCGCAAGGCTGGGAAACGCCTATCTCGTCCATAATCCGCGACGATTTCGTGCTGCAAGACGAGTGGGCGACGAATCACATCACCTTGAACGATGCTGTCAGCCACCGAACAGGCATGGCTCGTCACGATCGTTCCTTTCACAGAGTTATTGATGGACAGGAGGTAACTCCGCGGGATATCGTCCGAAATATGAGAAACCTGCCACTTACTTACGAACCTCGCGTAAAGCCTTTGTATTGCAACTTGATGTTTGTGGTCCTCTCGCATGTTGTCGAGACGATCACGGGTAAGTGGCTTGGAGAAGTGCTCAAGGAGAAGCTATGGGGGCCACTGGGCATGAACTCGACCAAGTTTGACCTACAGGAAGCTCTAGATGGGCCTGAGCACTTGGCCTCAGGCTACTACTGGGATCTGGACGAAGAGAAGTATAATGAGGTTCCTCACATGTCTGTGGTAGAAGTCAGCGGAGCAGGAGCAGCACTCTCCAATGTTCTTGACTATGCCAAGTGGGTGAAAAGCCTGCTCCACCAGTCCGGGCCTCTTTCTGAAGATGTGCACAAGGACATTAGATCGCCCAGGACGCTCTGGGATGCCAATCCCGCGCCTGGATATGATCTTATGCTGTATGGGCTGGGCTGGATGAGGACTTTACACAAGGGTCATGTGGTGTATACCCATAGTGGAGGTATGCATGCTTTTGCGTCCGAGGTATATTGGTTCCCAGAGGCCATGTATGGAGTGGTGGTGTTTGGGAATACGGCAATAAGCCAGCCTTTGGAAGAAACCATTGCGTGGAAGCTCATCGATGATAAGCTTGGAATTCCCCAGAAAGAGCGTGCGGATTACGGTGCCAAGTATGTTTACGTTGACCTTGAAGCCCAGCGTTCAAATTACTCGTGCATGAGTTACTGACTTTAAAACAGATGGGACAAAGTGGTGAAAGAGATGTCTTGGCAGTATGCAAATGCCGTGGACATCCTTTACCCCGAGAGACAAGATCCCGCATCGCCCCCTACGTTGGCTGTGAGCGAGTTTGCGGGCACATACTACGATCCAGGATACGGCAATATTACTCTTCGCGAAGAGCCTCACCCAGATAAGCTGGGCGAAAGCATCTTGGTCGCCCATCGTCCAGAGACAACATGGAACTATTCAATGCGCTTCAACCATGTCACGAGCGACTATTGGATAGTGTATCTACCTGCGTCGATATGGTCTGGCCTCAGATTCGAGGAATTTGTAGCAGCAGAATTCAAGCTGGGGGCAGATGGGAAAGCATCTGGCGTTGAGATTACATGGGAGAATCGGATGGATGCCATGTACGAAGGCAAGTTGTTGTTCAAACGAGTCGCGTAGAGGGTTGGAAAAAACCGCCATTGCCGAGCTGTATTGCAGTCTTGTTAGCGGCTGTACATTTCCCATACGGAATGTCATATAGCGAGAAGCACGCAATGAAGAGTGTGTTTGTGTAGTCAGACAAAAAGTTGGTGATTAAGAATTCAACATGAAATTCAGTTGGCCGTTCTTAAGTTTTATCATCAGGAGAGAGGGCGGCATGTAGCTGGTATAAAAGCCAATTGACTTACCATTATAGTTGTAGATCAATTCATTGCTGCGATTGCAGCAACAAGATACACAGGAAAAAGGAGAAAAATGTGTCGGGTTACTTGCAGCTTTGGCCCTAGAGTTGGAGTGGAAAATCCTACACTCTGCGAAACTTTGAAAAAATTTGGCGGCTTAAGATATAGACGGACATCCTTTTAGATGCATGCGCCCCGCTATCAGAGCTCCTATCCCACCATTTATGCAGCTATACAGCTACGACCCAGCTATATGCGCTTAGTCGATAATTTGCACTGTGTGTCCCTCTTCTGCCTACCCCACCATCCCTCCCTGCGTTTATCGTCTTCACAGCCTTGGGCACATTTTGCGATAAATCCAACTGCCAGTTACCATCTCTTGTTCGCCTCCCCACGACCTCTCCGGACCTCTGATTTCTGAGTCGAGACTTACAGCCGCCAGTTTTCCACACGAAAATCGAACCCCCAACCGTCAAAATGGCCAGTAAGACGTCAAACAACCCCCTCTAGCGATGCGCCGTAACGAACTAATCACGCAAAACTGCAACAGACGTCGAGGAAATCGCCAGTATGTGTCTACGATGCAGCTACCGTTGAGCTGAGCTTTCTAACGCGAAATCGCTTCCTCGAACAGAGCAGTTTGTCAATGGCTTCTTTACGGGCATGAGCACCAACATTGCCGGCCTCGCTGCCGTCTACGTAGGTTGCGACTCGGTCAAACGGCGTGTCGATGAGGTTTTAACGCTCTACACAGACTCCCCAGTCCGTCCTTACCTTCGAATCTCAGAAGTTTGAGGGTGCCAACGCTATTCTGGAGAAGCTCACGGTATATAACACTCTTACCTATGCACCGGAGAAGCTAGTTCTAACGGCTGTGTAGAGCCTCCCCTTCAAGATGAGCGGTCACCAGCTCTCCACCCTCGATGCCCAGCTCGCCGATAACGATCTCCTGATTCTGGTAACAGGAAAGCTCAAGGTAACAGATACCCAAGTAATACTAAGTACCATGGGATGTCGCTGACGTATACAACTAACCCTAGGTTGACGAGGACGAGAACCTGATAAACTTTGTCCAGAACTTCAAGGTCAGCGTCAGCCAGGGTCCCGGTGGCGAGATTACTGGCTTCCTCGTCAAGAACGACATCTTCAAGCTGGTTTACTAAATTCTTGGGACTCGGTACTGGAAAAATCTTGCTTGTGGATGAGGCGTGAGTAATGACCTGGCGATACAGAAGCTCAGAATCTGAAGATGAGGATATGGGGGCCCAGAAAGGATCAGAATAAAGGCTGGAGATGTCATTACATTCTCACATCAAAAATTTCAATGCTGTTAGGCATAGCTAAATCTAAACTATATACCACCGAAGCCGTTGTAGCTCTACAGCTTTCCGCGAAAAGAATCTTAGTCTTGTAGCCGTTGACCCCCACTACAAACACTGTGTGAAATTGTAGGCTTCCCGTTATCCATCACAGTGCTTGTTAGGTTACTGGACGCCTCTCGCTTTTGGTGTGGCGGCCGTCAGTTGCTGGGGCAATTATGTCATGGCGTCTGCAATTTACTTGCGAGTGACTGCTGGCATGTGGCAGCCGTGAATGCAGCTGTATGGCCGTTTACGACCGCACGGTTCCATGCAAGATGCAGTGAGGACGGCACAACGGAACGAGAAGCCAACAGCCACCAATCATGACCTTCGTTGCATTTCTCTTCTCTCTTTTACCTAATTTAAACAGGTTTTCCTGCTTCTCGTTCTCTCCTAGTGATTTCGGCCCAGGGCATAAAAATCGACGCCCAATAAGTCAACAGTTGGACCCTTAAAGCCTTGCCCCGCCATTGCCCAAACTCCTACTTTGACATTCACCAGTCTCTCTCGAGCAAGCAACTCCAAACATGGTCAAAGAAAGAACGCCGCGGACTGCGGCTGCCAGCAGCGATGGCAAAAAGCGAGAGCAGTCGCCTGATAGCGACACTGACATCACCGTTTTGATGAACGACTGGTCCTCTCGCAATGGCAATGCGCAAGCTGAGACAAGCAGCGGATTTGCGTCTGCAACGGAGCGTCCCACCTTTGGGCATCCGACCAAGATGATGTCCTCTCGTAAGCAGAAAGCCGACATCTTTATCCGTCAGAAGACCCGTCCAGAGCATCATCTCGACAGCAGCCGAGTGTCTGGACCCAGAGCGCCAGCCTACGAAGCTCGCCATGCTCCTCCGCCACCCATGTTCTCTTCGATCGGACCGGGACCGACATCGACATCAACGCCAATACCTCACCAACCGCGTCTTGTAGACGAGACGTTCTACACAGATCCTGCCAAAGCTAACCAGGATCTAAAGGCCTTGCTGGAGGGAGGCATGGAGGGCGATGACGATGAAGGAGTGGAAGCCGACGAAGCGCAGCAACCACAACTACGAGGACAAGACAAGAAAGTCAAGGATAGCTCAGTGCCAAGAGATCCCAAAACCATTGCCAAAGACGGCAATGTGGATGGCCTCAAGGTGCCACTGCTTCCTCACCAAGTTGAAGGCGTCAACTGGATGCGAGGCCGTGAACTTGGGCCGGTCAAGAAGGGAACCGTCCCCAAAGGCGGGCTGCTTGCCGATGACATGGGCCTGGGAAAGACGCTGCAGTCGATTTCACTCATCCTCCTCAATCAAAAGCCAGGAAAGGACGAAGATGGCTGGCAGAAATCGTTCCAGAACATTAACAAGTCGACTCTTGTTGTTGCCCCTCTAGCACTCATCAGGCAATGGGAATCGGAAATCAACGAGAAGGTAGTCACAACACAGGGATTGAAAGTTCTCGTACACCATGGGCCTCAGCGGACAAAGAGCTCTGAAGATCTCAAGGTCTATGACGTTGTCATTACTACTTACCAGATTCTCGTCTCTGAGCATGGTAGATTTACGGATGGCGACAAGGGAGGCTGCTTTGGGCTTCATTGGTGGCGAGTAATCCTGGATGAGGCGCACACTATCAAGAACCGCAATGCGAAAGCTACCAAGGCTTGCTGCGCACTACGATCCGAATATCGTTGGTGTCTTTCCGGTACGCCGATGCAGAACAACCTCGAGGAGCTGCAGTCTCTCATCAATTTTCTTCGCATTAAGCCCTACAGCGATCTTCGAGCGTGGAAAGATCACATAGAACTTCCTCTGAAGGGTGGAAAAGGTCATATTGCTCTTGGAAGACTTCATAGCTTTCTTCGCTGCTTCATGAAGAGGCGGACAAAAGAAATCTTGAAACAGGATGGCGCACTCGTTCCTGGTGGAGTGCCGTCTGCTGATGGCGCAGCCACTATCAACGGGTTCAGACACACAAACCGCAAGGTAGTCACTGTTGCTGCCGAGCTGTCTCCCGCGGAACGCAGATTTTATCAAAGATTGGAAGCTCGCGCCGACCGAAGCATGACCAAGATGATGAAGGAGAAGATAAGCTACGCCAATGCCTTTACACTGCTGCTACGTCTAAGGCAAGCGTGCAATCACCCAAAGCTTCTCGAAGGCAAGCTAGGAGCAGACAAGGACGCCTTATCCACGGGCTATTCAAGTCCAAAACAGCAAGATACGGATGTTGACTCGGTGGCCGATTTGCTGTCAGGTATGGGGATAAGTACCAAAGAATGCAGCATCTGTGGCCGGCCGGTAGAGAAGAAACAGCGGGATGCTGGGAGTGACAACTGTGCCGAGTGTGCTTCGGATCTGGCGTTCTTTTATGGAGAGACTGAGGTGCAAAAAGGGGAGCCCAAGAAGGCTACAAAAATCGTATCTTCCGGATCAAAGAAGAAAGAGTCCAAGAAGATGGAGCCGAAGAAGAAAGAGCCGAAGAAGAGTGCAAAGAGCAGAAATGAAGAAGCAGAAGAAGAAGAAGATGATGATGATGATGTAGAGACTAGACCAAGAACACGGAGGCCACGAAATCGCAATACAGTGGTTGACAGCGATGAAGAAGAAGAAGAAGAGCCAAAGCAAACTTCTCGCCGCCGTCAAAATCGAAACACAATCAACGACAGTGAAGACGAAGACGAAGAAGAGGCTGATGGCAGCTGGCTTGTCTCGGAAGACGAGAGAGGAGCTTTGCGACTAGGCAAGGCTGGCGGAGAGGAAGATGAAAATGCAGAAGGTGGAGGAGACTCGATAGGATCAGAGGACTCTGAAGATTCTGAGGAAGATGACGATGATGAGAGCAATCTCGACAGCTTTGTGGTGGATGACTCCATCGCCAGAAAGGAGAAAGGGTACAAGTCAGTGGATGACGATTCAGATGATGACTCACTCTTATCTGTTTCTGAAATTACCAAGAATCTGGCTGCTCAGACGCTTACAGATAAGAAGCCCAAGAAATCAAAGGTCGCTGTTTCTGCTTCTGATGATGCTTCGGATGATTATTCTGAATCCGAGACTGATTCAGAAGAAGGAGACGACGAAGAAGACGAAGAAGAAGAAGAAGGATCGGACTCTGACGAAAGCGAGTCTCATGGTTCATCCGAGTATGACCCTTCGCCACCAGGCGACAAGCTCAGCATTCTCTCCTCCGCCAAGATTCGCGAACTCACCAGGCTGCTACGCGCAGAGGCCCACGAGCACAAGTTTATCGTCTTCTCGCAGTTTACTTCCATGCTGGACCTGGTTGAGCCGTTCCTTCGTAAAGAACAGCTGCGCTTCACGCGCTATGACGGTAGCATGAAGAACGATGAGCGAGAAAGGAGCTTGCGAAAACTGCGAGAGGACAAGAAGACAAGAGTACTTCTGTGTAGCTTGAAGTGTGGTAGCTTGGGCTTAAACTTGACTGCTGCGACGAGGGTTATTATTATTGAGCCATTTTGGAACCCCGTAAGTCTCCTTGTCTCTTTTTCCCTTTTTTTTTTATATTAGACAAAGAAGATACTTCCTTCAAGAACAGTGTACTAACTCGTTATAGTTCGTCGAAGAGCAGGCCATTGACCGTGTCCATCGTCTCACGCAAACCATCGACGTTGTCGTCTACAAACTCACCGTCACTCACACCGTCGAAGACGGTATCCTCGCCCTCCAAGAGAAGAAACGCCTCCTCGCCGAGCAGACCATCGAAGGCAGCTCCAGGAAGGGCGCGCTCAAGCTGGGCATCAACGAAATCATTGATCTGTTCAAGCCGATTCGCGGCCGGGAAGACAACAATTCCCATTTCGTCGCTGTCAACGAGGATGAGGTGGAGGCTGATCTCAGGAGAGCCCGAGATTCAACGGGGATGATGAAGATGGCGAGGAAGAAGGTGCAGAGGCCGGAGGATAGTGCGTATGGGCGACGGTGGTAGAGAGCGGGCTGGTGCCTTTTGTTTAACTGTTATGATTATGATTATGAGATATGAACTTGGGGGTCAAGCTGGGCTGGGAACACATCTACGGCATTATAGGAGCCTGACTTTGGCTAGATTGTTTATGAATTGTCATGATACATATGAGTATAACTGTGGTATCAATTGATGAAGATGAGTCGAAGCATCAATTATCATTCTAAAGATATCTGTTTTCGAGAAGAATTAATTACGATATCTATTACACAAGGCAAAGTAGTGGAGTTATTGGACAGCAGAGAATCATTCAGTATCAGGATAAATAAATCAGGGAATAAGATATCTGTGCCAGTCCACGCTAGACAATTCATTCATATGACCCCAGAAATCAAGCTGAAAGAAAACAACAATCTTCTCTCTTTGAAAGAATATAAAAGTAGATTCGCCTTTCCTATTGCCGTGACCATCGTTGCACTAATTACATACGCACAAAAAACCAGCTCTTCTACCTACGTCTCCCCCAACACACATTAACCTCTCTAGCTAAATTAATAGACACCAGGTTGGCGGTAATAATCATTTGGGCCTGGAGCACTAGGCTCCGATGAGCCAGGAGGCACATACGGCCTATATTGACCTCCAGAGCCTGCGCCCGCGCCCGCGCCTGGTTGACCAGGTTGGTTCTGGCGACTCTCGTAGCTGGGTCCCGAGGGATGCAGCGGTGGAGGGGCCATGGCATTCTGGGGCTGTTGTGAGGGTGACTGCTGATGAGGCTGGTAGCTCTGATATGTCGGCTGCTGCTGCGTAGAACAAGGAGGAATGGCCTCATTATCGTTCGGGTGAGGAACGGCAGGGCCATCCTGGGAATAGACAGAGCTGCTGAACGTATTCGCAGAGCTGGGATTGTTGGGAGCAATGGGAGAGTCATATACGGAAGTAGCTAGTTCCTGGGCGCCGTAGGTGCTTGGAGGCTGCTGGTTGGGAGGCTGTTGAAAGGGATTGAAGTTCTGAGGTGGCGGCGACGTGGTAGTTGTGAGTGGAGGAGGCTGACTGCTATTGGAGGGGATTCCATGTTGACCAGCAGGTGGCTGGCCTGGAGTCTCAGCACCTGCAACGTAAAACGGCGCTGGTGCAGGATGAGAAGAGCCCTGTGCTGGTGCACCAGGCTGTGGGAAGTTAGGAGGTGGGGAGGAAGTCTGCTGGTACTGTGGCCGGCCTTATACAAACGGTTAGCAACTGAACTGATATCCTCGCTTCCTAGAGTTATAAAAATGGTGAGAGCAAAATCGAACCTTGAGGACCAGGAGTATAGAATCTCTGAGGATCTTGCCCCTGAGGTGGGTATGTGCCTGCAGGTGGAGGATACGCCTGGTGACCTGGGCGCATGGCATACTGCTGGTAGTTGTGCTGAGGAGGATGAGACATGGACGTTTCTAGTAAAGATTCGTAGTCTCTTCGGGCTTTGATGAATTTTTCGTTTAGCTGGGTGAAATCATCTATACGACCTGTTGTTAGTGACACTGCTCTGGTTGAGTAGAATGGAGACTGGATATTCGTGGCTTTGGTACCTTTCTTTTGCGAATACTTCTCAATCAGTTTAATTAGCTTTGGGCGGATCGCGAGCGTCTGGTGGTATAATTTCTGGTTTTGGAAAAAAGTTAGCGATTTCATAACACACGACAATTTCAAGACAATTGTGCCTAATCCCTTGCACAGCTTCACTCACCGAAATCTCTTCGTTATCCTCCTCTCGTGGTCCCATGTTCGAAGCGCTCAGGAGCGTCAAGAGCTTCTCAACATTCTTGATCTCGGCAAAAACCTCAGCCTCCATCTGGGCCTCCCGCTGCATCTCTTCCGGCGTAGGGTCCGTCAGCTTCTCTACATAGTTGAGAGGAAAGATGCCCGTCTTTCCCTTGAGCGACCCGCGCCACCAGTCTTTGTATACGCTCTCCAGCACAGCGATGACATCGCCCTTTTTGAACTCCAGTTCGCCGGGTTCGGTGGGCTCAAAGTCGAACAAGGCACGCACTCTGCTTACGGTAGCAGCCGTAGTCCCCGATGGCACCGCGGTGGAAGCAGGAGCATTCTGCTGTTGCTGGTTGCTAGATCCTGCAGCCGAGTTTGACGACGCTGCTTGAGTCACCTTCTTTTGTTCCTCGTCCTGCAAGCTGAGCTTCAAAGCAATCTGCAGCTCGTCGTCCTCCTTCTGTCGATCTTGATCGGTCAGGCCCTGTTTTTGGGGGGCACTGGGCGGGTGCAGAGAAGGGTTGGTCTGCTTCAGCCTTTGGAATGCGTCGCTCATGATACCCAAGTCGGGGTCACTGCTGAACATGTCGGTCCACTCCTGCATCTTCTCCAAGATCTTGCTCTTGACCTGGTGGTGGGTATTGCGGTCGTTGGCGAGTTTTAACAGGGCTTCGGTAAAGGCACGGCTGGAGACTTCGCGATGCATCGCCTTTCCGCAGTTTTGGCACAGAGCGTGCGCAAGCTGGTAGGAGACAAGGCATTGATTAGCTACCTATTTGCCGCGAGATTCTGGGAGCGGGGGAATGCCACCATCGCGACACACACCAAAGGGAAGAACATACCTCGAGGGTGTAAAGCTGGACATTGGCATTGCGATGAGCTAGCCTCTTGATCATGCTCTGGACCGCCTCCTTGGCGCCGTTCGGGTCGCCAGACACCTTATCGCATACTTCAATGATGGCGCCCCAGTCTTCCGACGTCAGATTCTCGTCAGTCGCCTTGGCTGCAGCGGGCGTTAGCAAGCGCACAAAGGAAAGGGCAAAAGAAGAAGAAAAAGAGAAGACATCTCTGAGAGTCCTCCGCGATGCTTCTCCTACAGGCCCGCAGGATACTCACTGACGACTTCGTCAAACGGCCCAGCCGCCGCTGCTCGGAACATGGTGGTGGATACAGAGACAGAGGTATGACGAAAGCTGAAGGGCGGAACGAGCGCTGAGGCCAAAACGGTCGCACGAGGTATTGGGCTGTCGTCGGATGCAAATCGCAGCGCCTTGAGGGAAAAAAACAGCACAGCAGCTGCTTGGCGATATGAAACTTGAGGTAGGGAAAGCGACAGGATTCTTGAGGTTGTAAAAGGGAAGATCGCGGAGCTGGTGGCCGAGACAAGTTCGACAAAGGGTACCTGCAAGCTTGCTGGCTAAGCCACCCAGTGCGCAGATGCATGCAAGTACTCAGCGTACCTTAAGCACGAGTTTAAAAGGTGTGGAGTTACGTCGTCCATTTTTAGGCACTGCGGTGCTCCTTCTACAGCGCCTTGGCCAGGAACCTCGTCATCCGCAGCGAGGCTTTCGGGTATCTGCACCGCAAACGAGGGGAAAAGGAGAGGGCCCAAGTAGATTACAGGTTATTATCCATGGAACAGCTTGTGGCATTGTTTCCTATTGTTTTGATTATTTGTCGCCAACTTCGTCTGTCTTTTTATCAAGTCTACCAGCAACTCTGTTCTAGGCTGTGCTCGGTAGGTACATGCCTATTCAGTGCCAGCAATGAGCAATGCATTCCCTGCACCTGCAAGGCAACTTCTCTATCAGATACTGTATATACCTTAGAGAACATGGACGTTAAACTGCCTATAGCACCAGATGCTTAGTTGCAAAATGCGCTAACAGCCCAAGCTTGTTCCGCCCCTCTTGTCTGGACGAGACTCAGCACCGCAGCACAGCCATGACGTGGCTGGCCGCGCGCCACGCTGTCGCCACGCCTAGGGATCGCTCGCTTCCCTGCCCATCTCGTGATCCCGCTGATTCGTGCCCAAAACCGGGAGTAGCAGTAGGTAGTATTAGCTGGACTACTAATACTAACTTAATAAATTAATACTTGCTGTGAGGCTGGTAGGAGACTCATATGAAGCTGTCGTAGAGCTACTGCAACGCCGTAGAGATATATAAGTAGTTATAGCCAGATACAAGTATGCACAATGAGAACGACGCATGACATATACCTATGTATGCATATATGCACCTCTCATACGTTTTCGTTTTCACGTTTGCAACCATTTAAATAATAGCTTCACCTACTTCACACATTGCTTCAAGGCCGCCATACGTTCTCCAATGCTGCACTCATTGTAGACCCAACAAACACCTGTCCAAACACATCATTCAACTGCTACCTGTTGATATATACACAGGCTCTTCTTCAGGCCAGACCCATAACCCAAAAGGGGGTAGGAGTGGTAGCAAAAACTAGTAACAACACAGCAGAAATAAACAAACCGCTCACAAGAGGAGAAAAAAAGGATATTGCGTAGAGTAGGAGAGCAGGTACAATTGATAATGCGGAGATGAGTAGAAAAGAAGAATAAATGGTGAGAAAAAGATGAAGACTAACTCCAGATATCCGTGCCATTGAGGTGGCTTCCTTGTCACCAATATCCGATATAAAAAGTAAGAGAAAAAAAAGCACTGAAATAAAAAAAGACAATTTTATGAGAGAAACCAATTAACGCCGCCAACTGTGGCCCAAGTATCCAAATCATTCATTATAACAAAGCGTTATCTCGAAAACCCCTTCGGCGTTGGGGGGGAATTTCAGCAAGATGACGAATCTATTAACCAATCTGTTTGTAATCAATCAATCAATCAACCAATCTTTAATCAGCAGAAGCAAAAAGTTGTAAAAAAAGAAAAAAAAAGGTCATGAGTTTGAACAATTCACTCAGCCCATCCTCTTCGAGTCACACCTCGCGGCTCAAAGGAAGGTCGATCATTGGACGCGGCACCACTTCCGCGGCGCTCTTCTAGGCTTCGCCTTCCCATTGCATCCATCTCGGAAAGAGTAAATACTAGCGGCTCTTCGCCAACGGCTTCTTCATCTGAGCGACCAAGCCTACTGGTCGACCCATTGAAGCTGCCTCGAGGCGTGTTTCGGCGGCGGCCAGCCATACCGGGATACCGCCGTCGCTGTGAGGAAAAGCTCGACTGCGAGGCTGATATAAAGGCGTCCGGGGGCGTATCACTCACTGAGCCTCGCTGAATCATCTCCGATGACTCGGAAGTTGGCATCTCGGCTGTTGGGCGAAGCGCGGTCGATGCGCCTTCCTGCTGTCCGGAGCACTGCTCTTCCATTTGTCGGCCGAGAAGAGTGCTCAAGGTTGGGGGCTCTCTATCATTTGCCCCAAGACTAATGCTCCGATGTGTAGCGAATGGCAAATCAGCCTCCTCATCATCGGTTATAGCTCGAACCTGCTGAGCAACTGAGCTGGATCGGCGGTGATAAGTGCCCAGTCTAGGGGACAGGGGAATGTCAATTGCAGTCGTGCCATCTTGAGTCGTAGTGCCTTGTCTCTGGGAACGAGTAGCCTTGGGCGACTGTCCCTCTCCTCGTTCTGGAGGCTCTACCCTCTTGTAGGATGGAGCATAGTCAATAATGGAATTCTCGCTTAAGCGAGATGGTATCGCGGGTGTGTGTGGCGTGTGCGGTGACACCGGCTTCCCAGGAGACGTGGATGTAGATACCGCAATCGGTCCACCAATACCGCCAAAATTGTTGAGCTGTCTGCTAGAAACGGTCGAGGAGCGGTTGAGCTGCATCGAGGATGTCATCGACTCTGTAAGCGCATTGTTCGAATCCTTCATCATGTGAAACTTGGACAGCTGAGCTACCGTCCTGCTCGTCGCCGACTCTCCCTTCTTTGTCGTCGGCTCAAATGACTTGAGTGTCTTTTTGCTATCCAGAGCCTTTAGGAAGTCGGAAATATCATCCTCATCGGTCTGGAGGGAACTATAGCTTCCGGCTCCTACCTCGGCAAGAAATCCGGAGCCAGGCTGCACAATTGACGAAGACAGGCTCTGTCTTCCACTGCTGTTCTGTTCTTCATCACCTGCCCGGCTCGTGGCTCCAATCGACAAACGCCCTTTCCGGTGCGTAAAGCTGCTGCTATATCGACTAGCGGATGCCGGTCGCGGAGAGCCTGTTGTAGGCGAATCAATGGCATTTACCGCTGGCGGCCCACCACGAAGGGAAGCTGGCATGCCCGCGGTTAATGAAGATCGGTTTCCTGGCTGTCGAAGCGATGGTAAACTAGGTCTAGTAAGTGATGCAGGCGACGCTGGCTCACTCTGTCGGGGGACAGGAGATCCAGAGAGGGAGCCGGCTTTGAAAGGTTGGAAAGATATGGATGGTCTTCTTCGGTCCTCCCCAACGCGGACCGTAGGCCGCGCCGCAGATGCTCGCCCTCCAGAGGTCGGCAGTGAATGAGGAGCCGCCCCAGCATCAGTTTGGCGAGGCAGTGATGCCGGGGGTGAGCTCGTGTCTGAACCTGGCGGCTTGACATTGCGAAGTGCAGATATGGGGCTCGTGCCCATCGGTCCATCACCATGGAAGGTTGATAAACTACCATACGTCTGTTGAACGTCGTTCATACTCACTCCCCGACGGTGGTCCTTGAGCGAGCCAACCTCAGTCATGTGTCGCTGTGGCAATGATGGCTTGAAAAAATTCTCGTCAACTCCCATGAAGCGGGAGCTTAGAAGCGACTCTGAGTCGTCAACGCGGAATTGGCAGTCGTTTCGGTAAATGACGCTGGTGCATAGCCGTCCCACCGGCACTTCAAGATCTCCAAACATGTACTCCGTAACTGCGTCCCGCCTTCCATCTATGGGATTCTTCAAAAGGTCAGGCCTTGGTCTATCAGAGTTTGGTATATGGATCCTGCATTGAGGAATTAGAGCAGGGTGAGAGCCCTTGGCGATGCTTTGGCTAGCAAATTTCCAGGCTGGTAATAACTTGGTGGCTACAAAGAGAGATCGGAAGAAGACAATGGCCTTTTTGTAAATGGTCGGTAAGATCGGTCCAAAGTCGTCCAAATGCCTGTCGGGGGTCGTTTTCAACTCCACCCGCCACCTTTCGAGTATTACCTCAGTAGGCCTTCTCACCGTGGCGAGGGAATCGCTGCCACTTGAAGATGTTGATGAAGTGAGCTGCTCCAGGACATCCCACCTCTTTCCATCCTCATCGATGATTACGAGGCTCTGGTTCTCTTTCAGGCTTGACGCATCAAGATAGATCTCAATCTCCATCGGCGGCGGGTGGTTCTCGAGGCTACCGCTGTTCTTCCATATCCCCAGCTCTTCCTTGAACTCGTCAATCTCCTCGGTTTCGAGTTGGAACTGTTGTTGCACAATAGTCAGCCCATAAAGTCTCTCGTCTGCTGCAGCAAAATGAATCATACCCATTTATTGATTTTTGGCACTCCACTAGTTCCGCAAACTGGATTTACTTTCATACGCGAGGCGACGACGACGGCAGCAATTTTGGTGTGGAAATTCTATCAGTGAGATTGACGTTAGCCCATTGACCACTATATAGAGGAGCATTTGTCCAACCTACCTGGACTATTTGATCCAGCTTCTTGACTGATGCGGCCGGCAACCCTGCTTGGTCCGGCAGTCCTCCTCCTCGCTCCGGTGGCAGCTCTCCTTGATCCATCATCGGCGAGCTCGTATATTCCCTGGTCGATAGGTTCGATCCCGCTCGCGGCCGAGATCCTGATACACCGTCTCTCAGGCTATTGGATCGCATCGGGGATCTTGCCGGCGAGGCGAGCCTCGGAGGCACTCGGGCTTGCTGATGCATCTCTGGTCAAGGAGGAAGAGATGGGAAGAAGAGAGGGGATAGTGTCTTTTATCGGCTCCCGAAACCGAATGTTTCAAAGAGGGACGTGAAGACAGAGGGAATCGGAAGGCGATCGATCAAATTCGGATAGGGGTGTCGGTCTGGTACTGAGACTGCTCTTCCATGTCGTAGGCGTGGGCGATGAGGTTCCGGGAGTCGTCGATGGGATGTGTCGTCCGTCCGCTCTCGAATGCGGCAGACCGGCGCCCTCACGTCGAGCAGATATGGGCAGCAAGGCAAGGATTTTCGACCTAATTCTGGCGGCCCTCGAATGCGGTGCAGCCAAATGCCAACTGAGGCCGATGACTGGTCAATCGAGGTCCGCGAACGAGGCAACCTGGGCTAATTCGCCAGGCAGCAGAGGGGAAGATGGGATAACGAAAGGACCTTGATGGGGTCCTGCTCGGCCAGGCAGCCAGAGCAGATGCAGATGCAGATGGATAGATGGATGCACAGGACTAGATGATATGGACGGATTGGGCAAAATGGCGCTACAGATTATCTGCGAAGCAGAGAAGACAAAGGCGTTGCGATCCGCCCGGCAGAAGCACGTCTAGATTCCAGCAGCAGCAGCAGCAGCAAGCCCGGTATCGAATCGATAGAGGCTGTGGAGACGGGTATCGTCACAGGACGCGAGCTCCCTTTTAACAGGCAGAGTCACTCGCCCCGGCACTCGTCCGACCCAGGGACCCCGTGATAGCAGCGCCAGGGGACGGGGGTGTTCGTCATCGGCCAACGGGCAGCGTGCGAGCTGGGCAGCGGCGCCCAGACTGTTGTAAGGCCCTTGGCCAGCGGCGGGATCTGAGGGTGGGAGATGGGCGAAGCAGGGCCTCGGAGGGGAGATGAAAGAGCGAGGATCAGATGCCTTTCGTGCTCGCCCGCGAGATTGATGGTTGCTGATAAGGTTTTGAGACGGCCGGGGGACGGAACGACGTTGGTGGAGGCCATGGAAGCCGGTTTAGCGGCGGTATGTCACAGCAACTGGCAAGTACCTGCAAGGTTGCGCAGTGATGGGACCAGGAGCAGTATAGGCCTGGGGTGGGTACAAGGTAGAGTCAGTGCTATGGATTGAAAGCTCCAGGTATCGAATGCTACGCTTTAGCGTCCAGCAGTGTTCCTTACTGTGCTCTAGCTGCCCAGATACCGATACCGCGCCGGCTCATATCAGCTCCAGTCATTGGTCTCGTGCTTCGTATAAGCCAGAGAATAGCGTCAGTAGGACATGCCTTGCGACTCAGGCACCGGCATTATCAACCAGTGACAGAGCCCGTGTGTGTGTATATTAACCAATGCATTGCTTATCTACCACAGATGACTGCTGAAGAGAGAAACGATCAAAGAGGCAGCATCTCTCAGCCCGGAGTTGGTACCTCCTCGGAACCTCTGGCTCAAGCCACCCACTGCCGACACACCGCTGGGCCCAGAAGCGCTGCAGGGCGGCATCGAATTGAGTCGTTTCGCCTGGCGCCACCAAAAGCACAGGCCTTTGATAGCGAGCGAGCAATCCCCCAAGCTGTGGTGTGGGGAAGTGCCATTCTCGCGCCATTGTCAGAGTCACATCAATGATGTCCATGATCTCCGGCCACGCGCTAAAACCATGTCAAGGCGACGGACACAGTTAATGGCCGCGGTACCTGGCAGACACAGCTGCGTGCCCTGGTAGCGGCGGTTGACAGTGCTACAGTACACTACAGCATAAGAGAGCACGGAGCATTCGATGTGGACATTGGGCGATGCAGTCCATTTGGTTCAACGCAACGCACGCTGCTCGGCTAGCCGGAATGGGCTGGGCTGGATCAGCTCAATCGAGGCTTGCCTTGGCACGGTGAGACATGGAGATTAACAAATCCTGGGTGTTGAGCACGCAAGGGTATGTGGCAATGGCTGGATATCAGCAGCGGCTTGAGTTATACCAAGACGGAATTGTCAGTCCCCCTCATGGAAACCTACTGCTACTACTAGTAGTACTGTACAGGTAGTCTGTATCCTAGCGGCTTTGAATGTAACTCGCACACGTGAAAGAGTGCTTGTGAAACATGAAACGGCATCGGAGCTTGCAACGTGCAAAGCCGTGTGCTGAGGGCCCTAAAATTATGTCGGTGAGGCTCCAAGGCTTGTGAATGGCTGGTGTCACCCAGCAAGATGCGCTGGCACGTCTGATGAACTGTGCTGGCCCTTTCTCCGCCATTCTCCTGCTCTCGGGATTCATGCACAGCGTTTGATGAGATGAATCCGACCTAGCGCTGCTTCTCCTTCCTGCAAGCCTGCTCCCGTGGCCTGGAAGTCGGCAGTCATTGGTACATAGTAACACAGACAGCGTGTCAGATCATGATTGATATTGCTAGTATAAAGTAGCACGTACTACGAGAGAATGCATCAAAGTAGCGGGATATCTAAAATAGGTATTAATCGACGGGGTAGCCGTCCAATGCGCCAAGCAAGTCAAACAAGAACGGGAAAAGAAATCACAACCCCCCACTGGCAGCCTTCCCTTTACCTCCTCTGCTTCTGCCTCTGCCTCGAGATGCATTACCACCAGTCTTGGCTGCTGCTTCTTTGGAATTTGATCCTTCAACATCCGCTTGCTGGGTTTTTGGCGGCTCGCTGCTTCGGGCCTTGCCCCCTCTTCCCCGGCGGTTACGTCGGCCTCCTCCGTCCTCTTCCTTTCCTTTCACCGTACCCTTGGCCTTAGCATGCCGCCTGGCTTCCTCTTCCTGTGCACGACGACTCTCTTGATCCCACCACTCTTGAAAGGCTTGTTCTTCTTGAATTTCTTGAAGTGACCGCTTCGCCACGGCTTCCTTGACCATCTCTTGCTCTCTCTGTTGTTGTCCGATAATATCAGCCATGCTTACTCCCAGAGTCGGCTCTGTCTTTGGCGCCGGTTTAATATAGGACTTCGAGTGGGGTACCAGAGGTCTACTCGGTGGTTTGTCCACCCCTGGCTTTGTTTGATTTTGAGAAGGTGAGTTGCCAGGGCGCCCCTGTCCAGGGAATCGAGTGTCAGGGGACGCAGTCCGTCTTTGCGCTGATCGAGCATCAGACTCCGACGCAACTAGCGGCTTCGTATTGGTAGATATCGCAATTCGCTGTGCAGCATCAGATGCCATAGCCTGCTGCAATGAGGTCTTTGGAATAGAGGCTGCCGGCTTCCACGGCGGCTGCTTCTTGTTTGATGGCGATGGGGCTTCCCATGGGATTGCTTTGGCCTGCTCTTCTTGAGCCGCCATCTGCGCGTCCAGCTGTATCTGCATCTGCTTCTTGCGCTCCTTTTGGGATAACTTGGAAAGTGGTTTGCCAGCTGAATCCTTCGTCTTTTGTGCTGATAAGGCAGCTGTTAACGCTGATTTCCCTGAGGCCTCAGACATGATGTCTTTAAGATCCAATTTACTGGTAGATAACGCCGCAGAAGCCCACGGAGAGTTTGACGCCGAATACGGAGATTCCAAGCTTTGCTTGGCCTCTTTAGAAATGGGCGTTACTGATTCGAGGATCGGCTGTTGGTGAGAAGGTAGGCTCGAGACAGGTGATTGGAGTGGCTGGAGTGGCTCTGCCTTTTCCTTGCCTTTTGACCTCTTCCATTCGGTTGGAAGCTTCGATATCGGCCCAACGTCACTATCAGTACGAGTCAGAGGCGACGATAGCTGCGGCGATGCAATACTGCTTCCTCCCGAAGGCCCTTCATCTTCCATATCAAAGATCATATCGGCCATAGAATCTTTGGGGCGCAAGGCTGGGCTAAATGGCTCGTTCCGAATCATCTTGGATTGTCTGTTAGATTTCTCTGGGGTTTCCGGTCCTCGAATAGAGTCGTCTAAGCTTCCAAATCGAGTCTTGTATGAAGATGATGCTCTTCTTTCTTCTTCTCTCTGTGCTTGTTTGAAGGCCATTTCCTTGATACGACGTCGCCTCTCTTCTTCAATGTCCGCTGCCAGATCGGGATATTTCTCATGAAGAAGCAATTCTGCTCTTCCGCTCCTCGCAAACGGAAAACACGCAAGCTGGTTGTCTCGGATTTTGTCATCAAGCTCATATAAGAGCTCTTCGTCGAGGCTGTCCAGGTAGTGGTTTTCAAGCACAGATTCGAGCTGTAGACAGATGTACTCCAGCCCAGTAGTCTTGAACTCTGCGACTGAACACGGGCTAATCTCGTTGAGAAGATTAGAAATGTTGCGGTTCGTCACAAATTTGCCTATCAAAGACTGGCAGATTTGTGATAGTCGGTCTATCATGAGTTCGTTGGCTACACTAAGCACATCTAGAACTAGTTCCGAGAACTCGTCGAGGGATGTAGCCATCACATCGTCAAACATTTTCTCGCCAACATCGCCGTATAGGAATGTGAGTATGTATGAGAATGTCTCCGGGTGAATGTGATTCAGGTCAACTCGAACTGGCTCGGCCTGCTCCGTTGAGAGACGCCGATCAGCCAGCCACTGTCCTTGTGATCTGCCATTGAACATTCCGTCGAAAAACGGGCATCGCTGACACAGAAGATGGCTGTGGACAGTAACTTCGTCTCCGTCCAACTCCAATACGACGTCGCCGTCATCAAAGAAAACGGGGTCGTTTATTGCTTCTTGCAGATCTATATCAAGTGTTTTTTCGAGGCCGGCTTGCAGCCGGGCTGCGGCCTCAAGCTTCGGCATATTGAGCCTCGTGGCGAGTTTCATCAGATCTGTTCGAACTTGACGAAAGCGATGAGCTAGTGAAGGAGCTTCACGCGTGTATTTCCATACGGGTAGGATGTTGTCCTGGTACATATATACCACGATATTCAGCATCGTGTAAATATCAGCGTGCAGCAGGGTTAGCACCATTCTATCGCCAACATTTTCGACCGTAAATGATTCTGAAAGCGTATGGGAGCCTTGAAAACGGAAATCAGACAGGGCCGTGCGAAGTATAGTACTTCGCCCAGAGAAAAGCCAGCCGTGAACTGGTATCCTGATATCTGGGGCAGTAGATGTACGAATTTCCAAATCGGTGTCGTACAAGAATGAATTGGCTTGCAGCCACTGCAGCATATCTGTTTCGATATCAGAAGAGCTCAGAATCCGATGGGCCACAGTACCAGGGCCCTCTCTCATAATGGAAGCAGTCCAAGATTTCCGAGTCAAGTCGTTCTCAAAGCTAGCTTCAGGCGCATAAAAGTCTTTCAAGCAAAGAAGAGACGCAACATCATTCCAGATATTCTGCTCACCAATTCGAATCTCCTTGGACATGACTTTAACATCCTTGCGAATGGCGGCAAAGGCCCCAAAAGTAGAGCTTCGCACGGCCACGCAATCTGTGATGTATGGTACACGCTGAAATTTGAAGTCTTTTCGTTTGGTATCAGTAGAACCGACGAAGGATTCAATCTTGCTTTTCATACGCTTTACTCTCCTCCAAACAGCGCCGGATTCAGTGCAGATAATGACAGATCCATGCTCTCCCACACTGACTGAAGTGACTCCGTCTTTTCCAGAATCCCATATGCAGAGCGGTTGCGTGATCGCACCCTTTATCTTAACAGGATTAGTCGTTGATCCAAGGCCAGTGTTGGAACGAGTTGGAGCCCCAGCATCCCCCTTGTTACTCAGCTGCATGGTGAAGAGATCACCATGCGCCGTAACTGCTGCAATGGTCTCCCCGCCAGAGGCAATGTATTCAATGTCCCTTCTGGACATGCCGAGCTTGTCCGAATAGACAGATCCCAAGAGACTATGATCGAGGATACTGTCGGGGATGGGAAACCTGATAAGATTGTATCCATAGTTGGTAAATACCCAAACTGTGTGATTCGCTAACAAGCAGGTGGTGGCTTTGTCAATCGCCGCAACCATCTCGATTGGAGCAGTTAGCAGAGATGCAGCAACTTTTCGAGGCGTCTGCTGCAGGTCTAGAGATCGAGAATCAGAATCCATCAGTGCAAGCTGGCCAACGTTGCGGCCCCAGCAGTACAGCGATGATCCGGTGTGAGCCACAGAGTGGATAGAAGAGGCCGCAATGCCGAGAATAATCTCTTTCTTGAGGGGACCAAACACCTGTCGAGGGATGAGACTCATCGGCTCTTCATCTGTTCTCAATGGAGGCGGCAGCACATAGCCAAGCTGCGAATCAGAATTGAGGCCCCAAGTCCATAATTCGCCATTTCCAACAACAGCCATCGAGTGGTTCTGCCCAAGTGCAACCTGGCGGACCTTTTTATCTGCGAAAGCACTATGTAGGGGAGTGAATTTGAACTGGGTGTTTTCATCGCCAAGGCCCAGCCTTCCACCACGGCCATGTCCGCAGACATACAGATTGCAGGTCGGATCGTCGGTAAGAATAGCGCTATGCAGTTTCGACATGACGACATCTAGGATCACCAAAGGTCGGTTTTGAACTATGATGGGAATTGTGTCGAGATCTGTGGCAACATCAAGAGGGGCATCCACGCGCTTCTCTGTGAGATAATCTTGATAGAACCGCTGGATCAACTGATCTGGCCGCTGAAGCATGATTCGCTCAGGATACTGCCTGTCGTCCTCATCCCCAACTCCTAGGGACACATTTTTGTTGCTTCCAAACACAAAAAGCTCATCTCCTTCGACATGTTTGCTACTACCATGCGCGATCTTAGCAGTACTATCGCGAAACAGGTCAGCATCAAATGTCAAATGCTACTCCATATGAAGCTACAAATACTGACCTTTGATCCAAATCGCCATCGCCAAGGTCTGAGTCATCGTCGAGTGGGGACTTCAGAGGCGGATGTACGAGCGACCTCGCAGAAATGGTCGAGTTATAGAGGTCAAAGGGGCTGTTGCCCTCGTGGTCCTTGGTCTTGATTAACTGGCCAACTTTATTCACGGCACCAACAGTATGACTGAGCAAATCTCCACGTTCTTTCGCCAGTAACGCTCTGGCTATAGATGCATTTCCGGCATAAAGCGACCTATGCAGGGCATTCCAGCCACTCTCGGGGTCTTGGGCGTATAAGTCGATATGGGGATGGTCAATCAGGGCCTGGACGAAAGCCAGAGCGTTTGGATCAGGAGAAGAGGCTGCACGCAGCAACAACGTCAGACCGGCGTGGTCGCGACTGTTCACTTCCGCTTTACCTAGACCTGCGCCACCATCCTTCGCTCTTCCAACGCCTGAATTGTACCCTGGGGTCTTTCGCGGTTTGGCTGTAGCTCTCGGAGAGGTCCCGATACTACCGGGACTCGCTCCCAAATAAGATGCGCCAACGCCTACCGCAGGGTTCTTCGCAGTTGTCTGGGAATTGGCGCCGGCCGAGGCCAGCAGACGCCGAAACCTGTCGACATCGTTTTCCCAGAAGTATTTCCACAGCAAATGACTCATCGGCCAGGGGTAAGCAGCTGCCGTACTGATGGTGAGCCCAGGCGCCTGAAAGTTGCACCTCGCTGTGAGTCTCGCGGATCACGGCTTGTTTAAAGGTGCGGTTCGAAGCGCCGGAGAGTTGCTGGCGTCTCGGCAAGCACCGTCGATGTATTCTTCTGCCGAAGTATTCGAAATTGTGATGTTGTGCGACTCGGCGTGACTACAGCTAAATGTGCGTGTGCGGGACTCGACAGGTTGTTATCGCCGAATAGGTACGAAAGCGTGAAGCAATCTAGGAATGCGCAAAAAGGTCTTGGATCGACGTTTGGTGGCCAAATTCTGTTATCGATATGTCAAGGGGCGATGCAAGACTGTTGGCTTCAGCTGAAGGCACGAATTGTCAGGGTCCTTGGGATAAATGCAAGGAAGAGAGCAGTGTGGATGGAGGATGAGGGAGTTGGCTGGTCATTAGATATCTCCAAACTCCCAGGTGCGTGGCCTTGCCAGTCATAGACTGTTTCTAGAAGGCGGTACGTCTGCCGAGACCTGGCAGCTGCTAGGCCGAGACTTGTAGGGCTCTAACATCGCCCCGGCTAGTAACCAAAGTTTCAGCTGTTTCTAGCTTGAAGACAATGGATAATGATTGTCTAAGAGTAAAGTTGTGGGTTCTTGTTTCTTCAGTCCTTTCGAAATATAATCATCGCAGAAATCAGCCTTCTTTATCAAATACAGCACCATCGCTATCACGTACTCATCTATCATTCCGTGTCTCCTAGCGATGTACCTGCGTTCTCCCATTGTGGTTGACGTTGGCGGGCGGCGGGGTTTTAGTTCCGGGCCACGGAGGGCTTGCGCCGATAAGACGGACAGCCCTCGCTCAAGCCCTGGCCAATCGCAGCCCGCGAATGCAGCCTGTGGTAAATTGTTTTGACACCTCATTCCCAGATCGGCTGCCCGCGAAGATAGCACATGGCGACATTGCGTGAGTCTAATTTGCCGGGCTGCAGCGTGCTAGTAAGCTTAGCTGCCAGAGGCTAGAACGAGCTCGGGATTTCTCGTAGCCAGGCAGCGCAAGTGAGTGATGTTCAGCATGTGTGGTTGCTAGTACCGCATAGCCGGGTCTTACAGGAGGCTATCGGCCATTGTGCATTGTTACTAGTAGTATAATTGCGGGGGACTTTCATATTACCTACATGTACCTATAAACCGCTCAGAACAGCACTGCGTGTGAATATACCAGTGCTGGATTCTGGAAATACTATCTTAAAGTACGTGGCAATATTACACAAATTGCAGTAGGTATCGCATCTTATACTTAGTGCCACGTTTGAGCGATTCCCGTTCCATTAAAGTAAAAGACATGAGATTGGCTTTTGCATGAAGGTCGTACGCTACCAATCGCTATCCCAGGGTTAAAGCCTGATCTAGACATATCTGATCTTTTATAGCTGATTTGGCACATCTGGTCCGACCAAGTAACACATATTCTACTCAGTTCATCCAATATCCAGCTTCTCGCAAGCGCTTGGCGTCAGCATGGCTCAAGTAGGCAAATCACCGCCATCTTCATCGTATCCTCTTCGTGGCCGAGCTAGTTTCAAAGCTCCAATTTCGGCATGAGTTCCTCTAGCGCATGTTAATGCTCAGTGCTCTGCCGCACAAGGCATCAAGACACCAATGCAAGCCGTCGATGTTTCTCGCATGCGCCTAATTTAACGCTCGAACTGGTGTCGCGTGTTCTGCGCCGCTAGACTGACGACCGACACAAGGGTATCTGCTAGTGCCAGTGGAGTTTATCGCTTACAGCCGGCGACGCTCACCCCACGAATTAGCCTGGTCGCCGCTAAAGAAAAAAAATCCCCTCCGCAACGACCCTCCGATCTTCCTCCGCTACCTAATTATAACTACAGCCGCATCTGCGCTCGGCCCCTCTGTCGCGGAATTTCTTCAACATCGCAATTGATTCGAGTCAAGTGTCAATCCGTCAAGATGGCCGAGCCAAAGCCCCTTCCCTTCCAGTACCAATTCGCCGCAGGTAGGCACTGATGCTACACACTCCGCCATGTCATCAACAACAGCATTGCTAACATCAGCCCAATTCAGGCGCGATTGCCGGCGTCTCGGAGGTATGGCATGATCCATAGCCCCAACACCCTCTACGGAAGCTTCAGCTGACGATATATGGTGCCCCAATATAGATTCTGGTCATGTACGTTACACTACAGTCACGACGCCCACCGACCCAACCATACTTACAAATTACAACTTAGGTATCCTTTGGATGTCATCAAGACTCGAATCCAGCTGCAGACCGGCACGAGTGCCGCCAGTGGCGAGGCATATACCGGTATGCTGGATTGCTTCCAGAAGATTGTCAAGACCGAAGGGTAGGCTTTTTTTACCTCTCCTGTTCCGCCTATTTCTTTGTAGGAATTATCTCTCATGACAATATAGATTTTCACGTCTCTACCGCGGTATCTCCGCCCCCATTCTGATGGAAGCCCCCAAGCGAGCCACCAAGTTTGCTGCCAACGATGAATGGGGCAAGGTCTACCGCAAGATGTTTGGTGTCGACAAAATGAACCAGTCATTGTCCGTCCTTACCGGTGCTACGGCCGGCGCCACGGAATCCTTTGTTGTTGTTCCCTTCGAACTGGTCAAGATTCGTCTCCAGGATAAGGCATCAGCTGGAAAGTACAACGGCATGGTTGACTGCGTTGTCAAGACAGTCAAAAACGAGGGTCCTCTCACCCTTTACCAGGGTCTCGAAAGTACAATGTGGCGACACATTCTATGGAACGCTGGCTACTTTGGCTGCATCTTCCAGGTCCGACAGTTGTTACCCCAGGCTGATACCAGCAGGGGCAAGATGGTCAATGATTTGATCTCTGGTGCTATTGGTGGAACTATCGGAACTGTGCTGAACACTCCATTGGACGTTGTCAAGAGCAGAATTCAGAACACCCCCAAGGTGCCTGGCCAGATCCCCAAGTACAACTGGGCATTCCCTTCCGTCGTGACTGTCTTCAAAGAGGAAGGCTTTAGCGCCTTGTACAAGGGCTTTTTGCCCAAGGTGAGTTTTTTCAAATCCTTCAGTGGAAATGTAGTTACTCACGCCTACTAGGTTCTCCGTCTGGGCCCAGGAGGCGGTATTCTATTGGTTGTTTTCACCACTGTCATGGATACTTTCCGCAAGTGGCAATCATAAATTCAATCAAGATGCCAAAGAAAATAAAAGTATAGAATCTGGTTGGACTAGCGGATAGTCCGCGATGTCAACTTGCCATACACTGTCTGGAGGACTTCATACTCAGCGTTTAGACAATTTCTATTGGGTTAGATAGGTACTGTATCTACATTGTATTTCTTGTTTCTTTTTGTTTTTGTCTTCGGAGACTATGTTTGCGGATAGCTTGTGGAGTTTATAGTCAGACGGTTCCTATCCCTTTGCTACCAAGGGCAACAGCGAGAACACCATCATGAATATCTTAAAAGTATAGACGTGCCAAGTCAGTATCATTGTTCGTCCACTTCAAATTATCCCCCCTGAGCCTCTTTTCTCCTTGAAGTGGTCAGTAACAGCTGCAAAATCTCTACGTGGAGGTCAACCATCTGGCCTTCATATATTAAATTTCTTTGTTCTTAGCCACCCGATATTTGTTCAGTTATCTCTCCATATTCCTGTTCATCTCGATTATATACGATCATATCGCTGCTATATAACAGCCAGCTGGCATGGCTGCAGATTGTCTCTAGTCAACCATCACGCACTACACACATAACGGTTGTGAGGACATACACAAGAGCGCAGCAAGAGTGCGCACGCTCCCCCGTATCCTTTAAGTATCCCTTTCGCTCTTTGCAGCGCTTCAGAGGAAGAGTCGGTGAAGCTCCACGTGATGCTGCAGTGCCTATATAATCCCAAGTTGACACTCTTCGCCTTCTTTTATCCCTTCTCTCTTCCCTCTTCTCCTCTTCTCTCATGCCTGCACAACGCGTTGCTTGAGCACTTCTCAAACCCTCATCGTGCCCTTTTCTCTCTTATTGTCCCTTCTTATAACTTGCACAAACCATCCACACTCTCATTTGTTTCCCTCCGCCCTCATCCAGACCTCTGGTTGAACATCCAGCGATATAGAGCCAACTGCAACATCTGTTCTACCAGCGCCAAGCAAGATCGCTATGGACAGCGACGACGAGCTGCCGAATATTGACCTCAACCCGTCAGGGTTTGATACTATCCCCTCTGGAGGTGGCGAAGGTTCCTCATTCAATGGAAGTGGTGAACCTTTACCAGGCGACCATAGCCAGGTTTCAAGTAGTCATGACCAACCGCCGGAAGATGGAGATTTGCCAAATGCTGCTTCAGCCACTAGTGAGCCTATGTCAATCGATTTGAACTATTCGCAAGGCGAAGAAGCGGATGTTTCAGACAATGAGGATGATGACGATGACGATGATAACAACGATAACGATAATGATCATAACGATAATGATGATGAGAGCGCACTTCCCTCATCTTATCGAGGTAAAGATGCTCCATCCATCCAACCGTGAAAGCGCACCCGCTAACGTCTGTAAAGCGCCGAGACTGCCAAGATCATTAGAGGACAAGTTGAACGCTTATCACGATGTTATCGAGGACTCTGATGAAGAGAGGGTAGTCGAATTTACTGGGTCACGTTCCGGTAGATTTCTACCTCTCTGGCATCATGTTCACGAGAAGTCATACAGCAGAAAGAAGACAATAAGCGAAATGCATAAAAAGATAAATAAATTACAGCAGAAAAAAAGGGTTCTAGAAGAGGAGGTAGCTAGGCTTACACCAAGGGTAGGGCTGCGCACCCAAAAGGTATGTAATTTCATCAACCCTGAGAGGATTCGGAGCTGGCTTGACTAACGGCCAGCGCAGTCTTGGTGGACTCTTATTGAGTCTGAAATGACAAGCTGGAGTACTATCTATAAAACCGCGTGCCAGGAGGGAAATTGTTCACCCCATCCAAAGAAACTGCATCCAGACCTCCACTTGCGAAAACCGACAGACGATGAACTTAGAAACGATTTGCTGCAGACGGGTGACCAGCCAAGGGCTCAGCAGCAGGAGATGTCACGATGCTTTGATATTCCTGCAGATGTACAATTTCGGATTTTGAAGCACTTCTTCCACTTCAAGGGCTGTGTAGTTCATGCCATCTCTCGTCTGGACCCGGAGCATCCTGTAGAGGAAGTCCCTCTGAATCGTTTTGGAAAGCCGAGCTATTTGCATCGTCTACATGTGGGAAGAAACGCAGTCAGCATCACATTCTCACCGGAGCCGAACGACTTGCTGGCTCCGTTGTTGGTCTGTAAAAGATGGCATTTCTGGGGCAGTCACATATTCTATGGCGAGAACACGTTTGCTTTTTCCTCTTTGGGCGAATAGGATCGCTTTGCCAGCGGGATTAAAGCAAATGTACAGCGCCTACAGCATGTCGAGATCCTCTGGGTGGGATCGCAGTACCTTACTCATCCTCCAAGCAATCGAAAGAAGGCTACATCGCGCCGCACGTTTCCGCTGGTACATCTTCCGGAGGCTATCCGTCTCAAGAATCTCGGCGTATATGTCCAGGAGTCCAACCCGAGTTACATGCGTCGCAAACACGAGCCGAGGGGCATCATCCGTCATATGAAGGTCAAAACCCAGGTACAGCCTAACTTCAGACTTTTCCGAGCACTGCGCACGATTCAGGGCATGGACTATGTCACCTGCCTTCGGGGCCTCAGCCGAGCCGAGTTCTGGGATTTTGATCGATGGCTCGACAGCGGCGAGAGGAAACGGCCAGTGCGAGACTTCCACTTCATAATGGATGTGAACAACTCTACGAGAAGGCCCAAGGAAGCGCGCGATCGCATTAGATCGCAGCTAAGAAATATCTATCCGGTAATCACCTCGTTCATACCATCAGGGGAAGACTGGGCAACCTTATTCAGAGGCCTTGGCTATGTTGATGAAGATGAAGAATATAAAGACGACAGCTCGCCGTCACCGTCACCGTCGCCGTCGCCGTCGCCACCCCCAGACGATGGATCTGGGCCACCTGGGCCATCAGAGCCATCAGAGCCATCAGAGCCATCAGAGCCATCAGAGCCATCAGAGCCATCAAAGCCATCAGAGCCATCAGAGCCATCAGAGCCATCAGAGCCATCAGAGCCATCAGAGCCATCAGAGCCATCAGAGCCATCAGGACCATCAGGACCATCAGGACCATCAGGACCATCAGGGTCACCTGCGATAACTGTTGATAGCGACTCTGATGATGATTCAAATTCCGACGATGACTCTAATTTAGGCCCAAGCTCAAGTTCTGGCCCAAGCTCTAGTCCAAGTGGCCGGTCCAGTTTCACTCCCTCCGAAGGAGACCTCGCCGTTGATGGTTCGCGCCACTCTAGAGAGAGCTCGCAAACGAGTATTGTTCCCATGGTTGAAACGCTAAATTTGCGAGATGACGAGCATCATAGCGAATACGAGAGCGATGATGAGTCGACGATTGTCCCAGACAACCGATCTGTCACCGATCAAGAAGTTGTTGACCTTACCAACGAGGGACATGGAAGCGGTGAAAACAACTCTGAAAGTCAATTGAATTCAACCGAGTTCTCCAGCAATGATATGCCTGAAGGCTCACTGTTTGTGGAAGACGGTTATGTCGTCTCACATCCGCCATCGCCTCAAGACGGTCGACGTTCCTGGGACATTGAATCCAACCAGACTAGCCGGGCAACGGTGAGATCTGGCGGCGAATCCGATTTATTCGTGGGCAGTGCACCGACATATACGAACGAAACGCCTTCACGCGTCCCCACACTCCGCCAAAGCAGCCTGGGGAGTGAGATTGAGGCCATTGACCTCACAGGTCCTGATGATATAGTGGACTCTTTTTTGCCCTCGGACAGTTGGAGTTCGCCTCCGATTTCCAGGAAACGCTCTCTTTTCAAGGTCGAGGACGACGAGGATGAAGATGACGAGGAAGACGAAGAGGGCGAGGAGGACAATACGAGTACCTGTACCCCCAGTAGTTCGAAGAGAGTTCGTACTCTATCGCCAGCATCATTGCTGCGTACAGGCACAGGAGGCGAGAGTATCTTTTTCTCCGCCTGATTTCTCCAGTTTATTGTCATTCGAAGTTTTTATTCACTTATATGCTCATTTACTTGTTTTATTTTTTCATCGTTTTCTCTATCCCTGGTTTCCGGGAAATTTGGCGCATTTTTATGATACCTATTTGCTTGAGATCGTTCGGTTGATACTAAATCCTCTAAATATTGCTTCTATACATGGGTCTTATCTATTGGAATCGATCATGTGTTTTACACGATCAGGGATATGAGGCGACTGTGGGAGAAATTGGGATCTTAAGACTCGAGCTGGGTGCGAAATGATCTACGGAGACTGCGTTATCGGTTCAATTTGCTTGAGGACATAATATGGGTACCTAGAAAGAATCAACGCCAAATTTGCTATTTATTAATTGATCTTCAAATTAGCCACGTTCCAGGTTTGTGCGATGCTGTGATATCAGCAGTATATTCGGATACTGTGACATCAAACTCTTCTGCTTTCAATTACTCCACTGTTGATTGGATCAGGCAAGATGGCGAGAACCTCGATTCATGTACATATAAAGCCTCAGGCTGGGCCGCTCTATTGTACTCATTGGCCAAACATTCTTTTAGAAATTCAATGTTTGGCTTGGCTTCGTACCTCATTAGCCACTACTCTGCATGAATACGCGGCCTCTCACTAGAAAAGTTTACTCTGGAAACGTAGAGCGAGGGTTACTGGAATTGAAGTTTTCCAGCACCCCAATTCTGTTGCCCAGCACTCTAGCAAGCATCTAGCAAGCATCCATACATACATGTATGCTATCAAGTGCTACATCTGCTGCTACTGCTGCTACTGCTATTATATCTACTACTAGTAGTGCTGCTGCTACCGCTGCTGCTGCTATTGCTGCTACGTGTCAACGGTACGTTTAGGTGTGTTTGGCAGTTGTGTATTCCATTTGATGGGTGGACTGGCTGCCTCGTTAAACTACAGCTAGGGTGTTGAATAGCGAAACTGCGGTGCTGGATAACTTCTCCCGCATTATTGCACCTATGGTGAGGGACACATGCATGCAGGCACAGCAAATGCAAGCTATAAACGCCCTGGACGTTAGCAGTTGGCACAGAGGCCCACAGCCTGCAGAGAATGACCTCACAGCTCGGAGTACTCCGGGCCAGCAGCAGGAAATCAATTCCAGGCGCGCCGCATCGGAGTCGCCTACTGTAGGTACCTTGCTTGGAGATCACTCGGAGCCCCCAAGCCGGCGCGCACCACGCATATCACTGCGCTGGAATCAATCTCGCATACGCGCGTTCCGACTTTCACAGCTCGCAGTGCGCTGGCTTTAGGGTAAGCTTGCGCTGACGGGCTTGCGTCTAGAATCTGTAGTCGCGGGAGTATTTCCCGCAGCAATTAAGTTGCGTGGCTGGTGGCTGGGGCATGCTGTAGCCCAAGTACTTGGACGGCCACGCGCGTGACGTAAGGTACCCAAGGCTTGTCGATTGAGCTGTCACAATGCGCTGACAAAAAAGAGTGCGACAGACCCCGGCGCGATTTGCACGGCCAGCGCGGCTTCGGCTTGCTCGGATAATTTTGTCCAGGCCGGCTGGGGACTTGTTTCGGCTTTCTCTCCCCTTCTCCTAACGTAATCAAGCGCTGAGCGTACGTATCCTGGGCCCAAGCTAGCTGCATACAAGGCAAGGCGAACCGCCTGATAGACCTGCATTCGACCGTCCTCTGGACAGTCTCTTCTCTCCTCCAACACACATCTCTCCGGCCAGCTCCTCCATCTGCATCGCCGCCACTCATCCACCATCGAGGCGCTCGTGATTTAGCCATTGCCCGCGGGACAAAGACCGACTGACTGTCTGCTTGCGTCTCCCCTTTGTTAAGCGCCTGTATTGCGATCAGCCGCCCCACGCCAAAGGTTACAGCGGCCGTCATTCTACGCCAAGCTTGCCGCCGTGCAATCCGACGAGCGATTCACCTAGTTGCTACGAATCCTCATCAGCGTTTGCAATTCGCCTTTGCTCTGCGCGGTCACCTGCAATCGCTGGAGCCGTTTGCCAGAAACTCGGCTCGCACCGTCTAGCGGCTGAACCTGTTGCGCACCCCTACATACAGCCTGTCTATCTCATTTCTCGTCTCCTATCCAGCTAGCTGCGACTTCTGACCAATCCCATCAACCATTTGCGCGCCGGATTCGCCAAGACAGCGACACTCATCTCCCCCCCCTCTTCTTTGCAACTTTTCCATCTTTGCAACTTTTAATTATACCGTTTATCCGCCATGTCCAAGGTCATACGCAGCGTGAAAAATGTGACCAAAGGGTACTCACACGCCCAGGTCAAGGTCCGAGATGGTTTGTCGCCACCACCACCGGAACATCTGTCGTTTGGTTTAGTCGGTGATACTAACTAAAGCTGTATTATAGCGACGAGCAATGACCCATGGGGCCCAACCGGCACACAGATGAGCGAGATTGCTCAGATGACATTCAACACGTATGTTATGACTTGGGGAGGCGGACCGCATTCGGCACCGAGCTAATTGAGACGTAATCGCAGGTCCACTGAGTTTTACGACATAATGGATATGCTTGATAAGAGACTCAACGACAAGGGAAAGAACTGGCGCCACGTTTTGAAGGCGCTAAAGGTTCTCGACTACTGTCTGCATGAGGGCTCTGAGCTGGTTGTCACATGGGCTCGCCAGAGCATCTACATCATCAAGACGCTGCGAGAGTTCCAATACATTGACGAAGAAGGCCGCGATGTTGGCCAGAATGGTGAGCTGATTTTCCTTGCTATCCGGCCCGCGATTTACTGACCATGTGCGCAGTGCGTGTTGCGGCCAAGGAATTGACTGCGCTGATTCTCAACGACGAGCGATTGCGAGCTGAGCGAAGCGACCGAAAGTCCTGGAAGTCGCGCGTAATGGGCCTCGACTCTGATTTTGGTCCCCAGTATGCCGAGCAGTCTCAGCGACGACAGCCACGATCAGAACGAAGACCCGGTAATGAAGAGGACGATGCCGAGTATCGCCTTGCAATCGAAGCTAGCAAACATCAAGAGGAGGAAGATAGGAGAAAGAGACAGAATGCCGCCGGTCCTGAAAATGATGATGATCTTGCAAAGGCCATCAAACTCAGCCAGGAAGAAGAGGAAAGAAGGCGCCGTGAGCTGGAAGATGCCAACGCCCATTCTCTATTTGACGATGAAACTCCTCAACCTTCGCAGCAACCCCAGCACACTGGATTCAACCAGGGATACCAGCAGGGCAACGCCGTGGATTTCTGGGCCAATCCAATTGACCAGCAGGCGCAGCAGATTCCTCAGCCGACTGGCTACCTGGGTAACGCATATACCGGATTCCAACAACCGCAACAACAACAACCGCAGCAGACCGGCTGGCAGCAAAACTTTAACACCGGCTACGGTGTCGATGCGTTCGGCAATCCTCTTGCTCAACAGCAGCAGCAGCAACAACAACAATTCCTTCAGCAACAACAGTTTGCTCAGCAACAGCAACTGCAGCCTTCTCAGCAGGCTCTGGATTTGGCTATTCAACCTGGAAGCAACAATCCTTGGTCGACCAATAACCAGTTACAACAGCAGTCTCTTAGACCCACGCCGACAGGTTCCAACAATCCTTTTGCCCAGAACCGACCGCAGTCAGCAAGACCCGCGACTTCTTCTCTCAGCCCTCTACCGGAGCAAAAGACTCTATCCAACTTCAACCAACCCAGCTTCAGCCAACCCAGCTTCAACCAACCTCAGCTTCAGCTGCAGCTGCAGCAGCAACAGCAGCAGAAGCCCGGTTTCACTGCTCCTCAGAGAGAGCTCAGCGAACACGAGAGGAAATTGAACGCTCTGCTGGCCTCTGGAGACGGTCAAGATACTTATGGAAACACTGGTGACCTGCGAATCCCCGCACAGCACACGGCTCCAGGAACGTTTATCAACAGTGCTGGCGCGGGTCTTAGCCGACTTAACCCAGAAGCTACCGGCAACAATCCCTTTTTACGGCAGCAGTTTACTGGTATGCCGAGCATTACCTATGGTGGCCAGCCTCAGCTGAACAGCAACCCATTCGGAGCCCAGCAGCGACCGCAGCAACAAGGCCAACCACAAGATTTAATCCAGTTTTAAGGTAGAGAGGAGAATAAGTTAATTTTTGATATACCACGGGCGAGGGATTGTCGGATTTTTCTTTACTGCTCTTGACGCTCTTTCTGATACCGCCATTTTCATACTTTCTTGTTCATGGGCTGATACCTCGCCACCTGTTTATAAGGCGAACGGTCTCCTTTTCTCCGTGGCAACGTCCTCGTCTCTGCTCTGTCACCCATTTTTTTTTTCTTGATTTTACTTGGGGAAAGGAATAAGATATTTCTCGTTGTGGGGTGGTTGAGATGGAATAAAACTGGCTTATTCATTTTATTTTTCTCATGGTCCACGTTGTATGTTCATTAGACAACGCACCTCTGGAATTTTCAAAATTGTAGACCTGAATTTTCGACCTCTTTTTCAAATTTGTCCAAGCTTTCCATCTCGTGAATGCCAGCACAGCTATCTCATAACACCTATTGTAGCCCTAAAGTCGAAAGCAAACTTTGCTATCATCTACCTCGTTATACATGACCCTAAGCAAAACAAAGCAAAAACAAATAGATAAGCTCAAGAAAACGCAAACTGCCGATACGCCATCCCCAAAATGATATATAGGTGACCATTGTGCACATTATATGTGATCCATTGATCTTCACCAGAGCTTTGCGACAATCCCGAAATAGCTCTCCTGGAGCGAGTCAGCTAGCTCTCATATAGCTCGGTCGACGCGGGTCATCGGGATGTGCCCAATTAGCCAGCCTCTTCCATCATCTGGATGAACTCTTCGAGGTTGACTCCGCCCTTGCCGTCGTGATCGAGATGTTCTATCATGGTCTGAATCTCTTCGTCCGTCATTGTGCGCTCTTCCTTGATGTCCTGTGCCAGATGTCGCATGTCTTCGACCGAAATAATGCCGTCTTGGTCGTAATCAAACATGTTGAATACCTTGATGGCTTCTTCGCGCGGGTCTCGTCTGGCGATGAGCTTTGCGGCGCATAGTCGGAATTGATCGGGGAAGATGAGCAAGCGGTTAACGGGACAGGTATGGGGATCCCGCCAGTCCGGAGGCACTTGGCCGTAGTTTTCCAGTTCTCTGCAGTAGTCGGGCTTGGCCATGTCGAAGCCGAGAGCGGCAAGGGAGTGTTTGAATTCGTAGCTATTCAGCCATCCTTTCTTCTTCATGTCCATCAAATCGAACTAGGCCAATAACACATGTGAGTATACAGCAACGAAACAATACCTGACAAGGCGGCTTGGTAGCGACTCACGACTTCATCGATATGTTCACGATCCTCGTCGGCGATGGTGCCGTAGTCTTCGTTGGAAGACACTTGTGGCGCGGGGGGATTCCGCGACTGCACATGCTGGTTGGATCCTCCTGCTATTGATCGCCCGGGAAAAGGACGAGGCGTGTGAGAGTTCATGTCGGACAGGCAGACCGGCTGAAGAAGCCGTTCCGGATGGGTGTGAGTGTGAGCCCGCTACCGTATCCAAAGAATTGGGCTGCTTTTTTTTTTCTCCCTCCTCAGTAGAGCTTATAAACGAAGGAACCCCAAAAAAACAAGAGGTGGCGCAAGGGTTTGGATGAGAGAGACAACGGGCCCAAGGTCGTATGTAATGGAGCAAATAAAGAGAGAGAGGAAAAGACGTACAGAGTACGGAGTATGCGCCGTATAACCAAGGATTAAAGAGAGAGATATGTAGCTATGGACGAGGTTTATTGCTTGGGGTTGAAGTTATTTTGCCGACTAGCTGGATGCGACGCGCCAGAGCTTGACACGCGCCTACAGGCGACTGCGCTCGCGGTCCAGCGGCTTCAGGCCTCAAGCCCACTGTTGACTCGTCGCTGGCCGCAGTTCCTAGGGGCTGCGCCTGAATACGCCTGACCAAAGTACCTGCTAGGCAGTGGCGCAGGCACCAGCGACTTGCCTGCCTGGTATCGCAATTGGCGGCGCTGATTGGTCCGCGTTAGTCATCAGGGTGCCTCGGACCAATGAGAGCAGAAAGTTCTTGTCTGAGGCACCAACAAGTCAGCCTGGTGGGAGCAAAGCAGCAGCACGAAAAAAAAGCTGCGCTGACCAAAGCAGCTTTGCTTTGACCTTGACCTTGACTTTTGCCTCCCGTCTGCCGCCAACCAGCACCGAAGGTGACCATCTGCACCCCGAGGTGATAAAAGGGCTCGTCACCCCTTGAATCACTGTGCTGCGCTGGTCTCTACTCAATCAATCGTTGGTTTTTTTTCTCCTTTCTCTATATCGCATTCTCGCATTTGCGCCACGCCCTGGTTTGCTGCGTCGCCATCCGTCGCGGCTTCCCCAAGCGGCCCTTGAGCAGCAGCAAAATATTGGACTAGTCCCTCTGCCACCAGAAACGCGACTTTTCCCTCATCGTCTCATCACCTTGCAGCTGGGCATGGTTAATCTGAGCAGTTTTTCTTACCCTCAATTCAAATAACGCTGCATATGCGCGCTTTCTTCCGCGATTCTCGATTTGTTATTCGTATCCGAGTCTGATCGCGCCCTCTCGAGTTGTCTCGTCTTTCCGAAGCACGTCTTTTCCATAGCCGAGCCTCGTCTGCGGGCAGCTTCTAGCATCGCAAACTTCCTCCCAGCACCGCGATATACGAACGCCCATCATGTCGTTCGGCGGGTTTGGGGGCGGCTTCGGCTCAAACAACAACCAGCAGCAGCAGCAGCAGTCAAGTGGGTTTGGCGGTTTTGGAGCAACCGCTAGCACCCCTTCATCAGGTACATTGAATCTCGATCGCGACAAGGCGTTGCTCCATTCACTGACAGAGAAACGCGCAGGCTTCGGATCCAACACTCAAGGCGGCTTTGGTGCGACTAGCAACACTGGCGGCGGCCTGTTTGGCCAAACCACCCCTACTCCTAGCGGCTTCGGCTCAACAACTGGTAAGTCTTGCTCCTCAAGAAACAGATCGATCGCCGGGGCTCTCGAGAGGCTCATGTGCTGCGTTCTTCATTCTTGACAATCACCACCCCCCTTCACAGAGCTAACGAGGCTGTAGGAGCTTTTGGGTCAACCACGAGTGGCTTTGGTAGCAAGCCTGCTTTCGGCTCGACACCCACTCCCACCACCACTTCAGGTGGTCTCTTTGGAGGCTCCAGCACCCCCAGCACCGGTACGGGCTTTGGTGGGTTTGGTTCAAACACCAATACCACTACCCCCTCAGCGTTTGGCAGTAACACTGGCAGCGGCCTATTCGGCAATGCTAATAAACCAGCAGGCGGTTTCGGAACTGCGGCTACACCTTCGCCCATGTTTGGCGGCGGCAACACCGCCTCCAACACTGGCACAGGCTTTGGCGGTTTTGGCGCGACCAATACCCTGGGCGGCGCAACTGGCGACCCCCCCGGCACCGCCGTCACCCCCTTCCAAGCCTTTACAGAAAAGGAGCCCAATAGCAGCACCAACCAGTCCAACGCCTTCCAGAACATCTTGTTTCAAGATCCCTATAAGAAGTGGTCTGCCGATGAGCTGAGATTAGCAGACTACGTTCAGGGTAGACGACACGGCAACCCCAGCGGTGCTGGCGCTTTTGGCGTGGGTTCAGGCTTTGGCGGTGGATTCGGCAATACCAACCAGACGAATACTACAACTGGTGGATTCGGAGCCACGAACAATACTACGGGCGGATTATTTGGAGCGAACACCAACACAAATACTGCATCTGGCTTTGGTGGTGGATTTGGTGCGAATAGCAACACTGCGGCTAGCAATACTGGAGGTGGCCTTTTTGGTAACGCCAACAAGCCGGCGACTGGAGGGCTCTTTGGTGGTGGAAATACTACACAGACTCAAGGCGGCGGCATGTTTGGAGGCGGAAACACCAACACCGGCACTTCTGGTTTTGGAGCGACAAACACCACTGGCGGTGGGCTCTTTGGCGGAAACAACAACGCCACCCGCAACACTGGAGGACTATTTGGCAACACTGCTCAGAATAAGCCTGCAAATACTGGATTCAGCTTCGGCAACAACACCAATACGGCCTCAACAGGTTTCGGAAACACCAGCGGCGGCTTTGGCTCGACTACGGCCAACACAGCTGGCGGGGGCCTTTTTGGAAACGCCAACGCCAATACGAACGCTCAAGCTGGAGGCGGCCTCTTTGGTGGCAACAACCAACAGCAACCCAATCCCTCAGGAGGCTTGTTTGGCCAAGCCCAAACCCAGCAATCAGGAGGTTTATTTGGCAATCAGCAAAAGCCAGCTACAGGAGGCCTTTTCGGTTCCGCACCTGCGGCTGCCAATACCAACACTGGCGGCGGTCTCTTCGGCAACACCCAGCAACAGGGAACGACGGGCCTTGGAGGTGCAGCCACCGGAGGGCTCTTTGGAGCTAAGCCAGCTGCTACCGGCGGTCTTTTCGGTGGCAGCAATGCCACAGCAGGCAATACCGGAGGAGGGCTTTTTGGTGGTGCCGCAACCAATAACCAGACTCAACAGGCCGCTGGAACAGGCCTTTTCGGAGGGGCTGCGAACCAGCAGAAGCCAGGCCTCTTTGGAGGTACGAGCGCTGCCCCGAGCGGTGGACTATTTGGCGGTTCCACAGCTCAAAATCAAGGTGGACTCTTCAGCAACGCCGGCAATCAACAGCAGCAGAGCATTGGTCTCGGTAGCTCGTTGTTGGGTGGCGGCCAACAAATCAACAATGTTCCCCAGGGCCTCACTGCGAACTTGAGCGACGTATCGGCCTATGGCTCGCCATCACTGTTCTCTGGACTTGGTGGCAACGAGGTCCCTAATCCTGGCCCGCTCGCGGTACCCCTGAGCGGACAACCTAAGCCCAAGAGGCCCTCTATTTTCCCCATGTACAAATTCACACCTGCAGCATCAGGCCGTTTTGGTACACCCCAGAAGAGAGGATTCGGCTTTTCTTACAGCACCTATGGCACGCCTGCTGGAGCAAGCCCGGCAGCCGGTACCCCTAGCTCTCTGGGCCGTAGCTTACTTGGCTCTACCCCCAGTGGAACTGCTCTCAGCAAGAGCGTGTCATCCAATAACCTCCGCCGTAATGTCAACACTGATGACAGCATCCTCTTACCTGGCGCATTTTCGAATACTAATAACACGCGTTGGTATGGAAGCACGGGCTCCAAGAAGCTGGTTATTAACCGCGAATTGAGAAGCGACCTCTTTTCCACGCCATTAAAGGACAAACAGAACAATGACAACGGTTCCGGGCCACGAAAGCTGGCGAAACGTGTTAGCTTCGATACGCACGTGGACGGAGAGGACTCCCCCCCGGTGCGTGCGGCTCTACCAGCCCCTGGCGATGTCCCAAGCTCTCCTGCCGAAGAGACTCCTCGTCTGGAAAAGCTTACTCCCGTCACGAACGGACTTCGAACGCCTGAAATGGAATATCTCAAGAGCAAGGACAAGGAACTGGCAATTGTTCCTGAAGAAGAGAGTGCTACCCCGGAACCTGATGTCAATGGCTTTGACAATGCCCCAGGAAAGTACTGGATGGAGCCTTCCCGTGAAGAGCTTCAGAACATGAACCGGATCCAGCGACAGCGCATTGACAACTTCACTGTTGGCCGAGAGAATGTCGGCTCAATTACGTTCAAAGTCCCCGTGGATATTAGCGGCATCGACTTAGACGAGCTCTGCGGTGGCATCATCCAGCTGGAGCCTCGATCCGCCACCGTCTACCCCATTGCAGCGAAGAAGCCGCCTGTTGGCAAGGGCCTCAATGTGCCCGCTAGAATATCATTGGAGCAATCTTGGCCTCGTGGCGGTCGTGATAGGAGAGTCGCAAGTGATCCTAAGCGCTTCAACAAGCATATTGAGCGGCTCAAGCGCATTGTCGATACCACATTTGAAAGTTACGATGTGGACTCTGGCGTTTGGACCTTTTCTGTTGAACATTTCACGACCTACGGACTAGACGATTCTGATGAGGAGACTGACTTTGACATGACTGTCGACCCTCCCGCCGAAGATTCGCCACCTGCTACATTTCACGCGCCTACCTCTTCACAAAACGACGATGCAATGGTGTTTTCCCAGTCGCACATGTTGCCTGGCGCATTTGATGAGCAGCAAGGACTGTTCGCAGCTGAGCTGACCAGGCCGCAGTCTTTTTTAGGGGTTAGCTCCGCGGACTCTGCTACACATGATGTGAAGTTGTCTCTAGAAGATGACCACATCGCAGAGTATGAAATGTCCGAGGATGAAGACATGACGAGGTCTTCTTTCGGACACCATCTCGCCGCGGAGCATGACGATGCCTCGTCCGAGGGTGGCCATGATATTAAGCGCGCAACTTCAACCCCTGGTGGCATTCTCAGAGCTAGAATGAGAGCTATGAAGGACTCAGCTGGTCCTGTTAAGCTTGAAGTCGCAGATGGCGACGATTGGACGGAAATGCTGAGGAAGACTGTCAGCCCGATGAAAC